CTCATCCCTCCTGATCCTGCTCCTGCTCCTACACCTGTTCGGTTTAATGACTGTTCTCATCCTCGTGCTATTTCCCATGCTCCCCCTCCCATCCTCAATGTTCCATCCTGCCTCCTCCCTCCCTTCTCTTCCTCCCTCTCTCCTCCACCCCCTCTCTCCTCTCCTGGATCCTTCCTTCCACCCCCTCTCCGCCTCCTGCTCTCTCCCCTACCTGCTCCCTCCCCTTCTCCTCCTCCTCCTCCTCCTCCTCCTCCTCCTCCTCCCTCCTCCTCGTCCTGGTTTTTCTCCTCCTCCTCTCTTCCTCCTCCCTCCTCCTTCTCCCCGTCCTCCTCCTCCTCCTCCTCCTCCTCCTCCTCCTCCTCCTCCTCTCCTCCTCCTCCTCCTCCTCCTCCTCCTCTTCTCCTCTTCCTCCTCCTCCTCCTCCTCCTCCTCCTCCTCCTCCTCCTCCTCCTCCTCCTCCTCCTCCTCCTCCTCCCCGTCATCCCCTCCTGCTCCTCCCACCCTCCTTTCACGGCCCGAAGTCCGTGGCGGACACGATGGCGGTGTCGTGGATGACGCGGAAGTGCTTGAAGCCCTTGGCGGACACGACCTCGCTGGACTTGCCTGGGCGGGCGCTGGACAGCTGCTCGCGATGATGGGCGCATCGGTGGCGCTGGCGCAGATGCGAGGCACTGACGACTTCTCCCTCCTCCTCGTGTCCCTCCCGATCGATCACGGGATCTACAGTTGACTGGCTCAGTGTTGCGATGTGGGAGCGGACGAATATAGTGGGAGAGGATAGGCAGACGCTGGTGGAAGCGTCGGGCGAAGGGATATGAGACGGAGGAGAAGGAGGAGAAACAGAGAGAGGTGAAGCAGGGATGGAAGGGGGAGAAGGAGAAGGAGGAGAAGGAGGTGGAGAAGGAGGAGGAAGAGGAGGAGGGAGAGGAGGGAGCAAGGGTGAGATAGCAGGAGCAATGACGAGAAAGGTGATGATGAAGGGGCTCCGATTCCAGGAAACCGCGGCAGCGGCACCTTCGCTACCCTGGTCCATGTCGAAGAACTTCAGGGCCAGATCCTCTACGACCTGTGGGGCAACCAGAGGAAAACGAGAAAGAAGCACCGATGGGGCCTTTGTATGTATGTCGCAGCGCAGGGTCGGGGACAACGTCTAAGACGCCTATTTGGGAAAGAAGAGCGGCAGAGGGGGCAACATGTCAATACCCCAGGCGCGTTGCCTGGACCACCCACTCACCACGTCCCGTCTGATGCTGGCCACAGCGGGTTGACCGGCCACCATCACCTCAAGCGGAGGGCTGCCGAGGCTGCCGAAAACCAACAGAACGTGCTGCCGTCGAGTTTCGAAACCACCACCGCGTCATCAACTCGTCCGCGTGACGTACGTGACAAGGGGCGGGGGGTCGGGGGGGGGGGGGAGGCGAGAGCGGCCGGGCGGGCCCCCGAAAGCCGTGCGCACGGGCCTCGCGGGCCACTCGCGTCTCGCGTGGGCCCTCTGGCCCTGCCCCGTCCGGTGCTGCCCCAGCAGCCCAGACCCCCGACGCCTCGGCTCCCTCCGCGGCGTGGGCCCCCGCCTGCACCTCCGCGGGGCCGGCTGGCCGTCCCGGGCCACTCCTGGCGGCCCTTAAGGGCACGGAGGAAGGGCACCCCGGAGGCCGAGATCGGCACCACGTGCTCCCTTAAGGGTCGCCGGAGGCCGAGGGCCGGACCCTGGTGAGGGGCACCTCGGGCGCGAGGTGCTGCTCGGCCCGCCGGAGATCAGGGTCCCCGCAGCCCCGCCGCCGAGCCGCCGCTGGCCCGCGCGCACCAGAGGGTCGCGCCAGGGGAGGGGGGAGGGCCTTCTGAGAGAGGCGGGGGGCTGCTGAGAGAGCAGGGGGCTTCTCAGGGACTCTTCCAGCTTCTTGGAGGCCCCTCTGAGAAGGCCCCTGCCTTCTGATAGCCGCCCCCCCGCCTCTTGCCATCGCTCGGACGTCCATTCCCCGTGCGCTGTTTGCTTTCGCGCGTGCTTTGTTTTCGAGATTGCCAACGGTCCCAAGGTGCGCCAAGATGCGGGCAACGTTTACATCCATATCAAGGCGCACTGGACATGAACAAAACTCGAGCCTCCAGGGGCCAGATCTTTCCCCACCTCCGGTGCACCTCGGATTCCTAGGGACAGGAGCCCGGACCCCCTGGCCCCGACGGACAGATATGGACACCTTGCCGTCGCTCGGACGTCCATTTCCCGTGCAGTGTTCGGTTTCGTGTGTGCTTTTTCTTGCTCGATGGCCCAGGATGGTCCTCGATGGTTCTCGCCGAGAACAAATCCACACATCCGAGCGATGCCAAGACACGCGCCGCAAGATGGTCCAGATTGTTCCGGCGCTGGCCTCGCCGAGTCACGTGCACACGCCCGGGCCTCAGGTCGTGACTTCAGGTCTGAACACTCGGCTGTTCTGGGCTCTTGGCGCCATGTTGAGCACGGGGACCGCAGAGCTGTCTGGATTACCCCCAGCATACATGTACATATATATATATATATATATGTGTATATATATACACCTATATATATAGTATGCTGCCATGTGATGCAGCATTGAGGAGTAATGCTTGAGGTCTTGAGAAAAAAAGGAATGCAGACGTCCCAGCGAGGCCGAGGCATTCTCAGAAGTTGGACGCCCGACTTATCGGGGATAACTGCTCTCCAGGGTGACTCCAGTTTGGGCCCCCGAGGCGCGAATCTGTAATTACCCCGGACTGCCCCCATCCCTGATGATTCGGGAGGGTTGGACGCCCGAGTGATCTGGGATAATTGCGGTCCGGGGTAACTCCGGTTTGGGCCCCAGAAGCGCGAATCTGTAGCTATCCCGAACCGCCCGAAGCCCTAGAGGAGCAAACAACGGCGTGAGCATAAACTTTCGGCGCTCCGCGCGGACTTCTGGGATTTCTTGGGGTCCCAGCGCAGATCCAAGAAATCCGCGCGGAGCGTCGAAGGTTTATGTTTCTGCCGTTCTTTCGTCTTCGAAGCCCTGATGATTCGTCGATGCATCGGCGATGCATCGGCGATGCAACGTCGACGTCGGCGACGCATCGGCGACGTCGACGTGAAGCAAATCGGGCTCCGCATCGAGCCGCATCGCCGATGCATCGGCGATGCGGCGCGATCCTCCGACCCCATCTAGGAGGCCTTCTCAGCAGGCCGCCCACGCCCGCGCCAGCCCTCGTTCTTCCCCCTCCTGGGCCTCCATGGGAGGCCCTCGTGGCCACCGCTGGATGCGCCTCGAGGCTCTGGTCCGCGCGAGGAGGCAGGCTTGCGCGGCGGGGCGGGGGGAGGAAGAAAGAGCTAGGAGGAAGAGCGAGTTACAGGCTCCGGGGCCAGGGGCTCGAGAGGATTCGGGGATGGACAGACCCCCCTTTAGTAAAACGTGGTTTAATGAAAACGATCTGAGGCCCAAACTTGGCGGGCGCAAGCCTGGAAAATAACGGCCGCGGCGACATCTCGAGAACCGAAAACGGACAATTCACTAATCGACGTGTCACTGTTGGGGGTTCTGTCCACCCCCGAAGGACCGACAGGAAGAAAGGAGGAGCCTCAGCTCACGCGCGAGGGCGCGGCGATCCTGCGAGAGATGGCTGGCGCGGGCTGCCGGCGCGGCACACTGCGCGGGGACGAGGGCGCCCGCAGGCTCACGGCTTCACGCGAGCAGCCGCACGCGCGCAGGGCTGCGCCGGCGAGCGGCGGCTCCCTGCGACGCCGTCCCGTCCGGCAGGCCTCGGAGGAGGACAGCGTGCCCAGACCGCGCTGCGGCGAATGACTCGGAGGAGGGCGAGTTGGTACGTGCAGGAGGAGGAGGAGGAGGAGGAGGAGGAGGAGGAGGAGGAGGAGGAGGAGGGGGAGGGAGGAACGGTAGCTGGCCCTCGAGGGGCCCCCCCTCGCCGCCACGGCGGGGCGCCGCTCGGAGGATTGGTGCGTTGGAGCTGCCGCGGTCTGCATACGCCTCGCCCTGCTCCGAGCCACCCCTCCCTCGTTTTTCCCCCCTCCTGGGCCTCCTGGGAGGCCCTCGTGGCCGCCGTCGGATGCGCCTCGGAGCTCTGGACCAAACGCACCCCTGGAGAGGTCGGGGGAGCGGGCGCGAGTGAGGGGCAACGTCTGGGGGCGACCAGCTCAGGGCCGGGAGCCTCGAGCACGACTCGGTGGTGCATGGCCGCGGGGCGAAGAGCAGGGCCGCTCAGCGGCGGACAGGCGGACGCCCAGGAGCTGCACCACCCTGTGCATGCCCCGAGCGAGCAGTGTCGGTGCGGGGGGACGTCGTTACGGGGGCTGGCTCAGAGGGGGAAGCATAGACCCGTAATTCACCGGCGATGCGTCGCCGATGGATTGGCGGTATGCCCCCGACAGCGAGTCCGCACTTTCCTGGGCGGGGCCCACATCGGCAATCAGATGGCGCCTGGGGGTCGGTGCGTCCCCCCCACGAACCAACACCCCCACCCCCTGCAGTTGCCCCCGAGTTCGGGGTGGGCAGCTCAGGAGTGGGGAACATCGAGCACGCATCGGCGGCACATCGCCGATGGGTCGGCAATCAGTCCCCCGATAGCGAATCTGCATGGTCCTGGGCGGGGCGGGCTATCGGGCCCCTATCGGCGATCGGTTGGAAATTGGGGGTCGATGCGTCCCCCCTGGGCCCATCCCCCCCCCCCCCGGATGTGGCACCTGAGCAAAGGAAAGGCAAAGGCCGAGAACAAGGACGCGGAGGAGGAAGGATAAGGGGGGATCTGAGCAGGATGAGAAGGGGCGTATGACGTGGGTATGATGGACGGGGAAGGGGGGAAGGGGGGCACGGAGCTGGGACAGGAGGTGATGAGGAGGGGGCGAGACAGGAGCGGCAGCTCACCACTGGAGCGCCGGTCTTCGTGTCGACGAGCGCAAACTCCAGCACCACGCTGGCGCCGGACTTGACGCTGATGGAGCCCAGCCTGGCCCCCCGCTATGGGTCCTACCCCACGAACAGATGTCCTGCCCTGCATCCTCATATCCAATGGGGTGCTCCACGAAGACCTCCTGGTCCACTGTTGCAATGTTGAAAGGAGTGGATCCCGAGCAACCATCGCGTCGTGTCAGAACTCACGATCGCTGAGCGGCCACTGCCCCTTCCCCTTCCCCCCCCCCCCTCCCTGTCTCCTCTGCCCTCCCCCGCCTCCGCATCCCCCTCGACCTCCTTCCAAACCCGCCCCTCTCCAGGTCCCCCCCCCCCCTCCTCGCCCTCCGCCCTCCCTCCCACCAGCCCGGCTGTGCCAAGCAGCGTCGCTCCACATGTCCCCACGACCGGGCTACGGATGCGGAGGAAGCGGAGGAGAACGATGAGGAGGAGGAGAACGATGAGGAGGAGGAGGAGGAGGAGGAGGAGGAGGAGGAGGAGGAGGAGGAGGAGGAGGAGGAGCGTCTCTGGAGTGCGTCCGATCCTGCCTTTGTCTGCCTTCCGCGCTCGACGGGCGTGCCACCGCCCGCCGCCGCGCTCGGCCGCCGCGGTGCGCACACGAGGGCGCGCGATCGAGCGAGCGGCGGGCGGCAGAAGGCGGCGGCAGCCAGAGCCCGCAACGGAGGCGGCGGCAAGGGTCCCATCCTGCCACCTCCCCACCCTTTCCTTCCCATTCCCCTCCCCTCCCCCTCCTCCTCCTCCTCCCCCTCCTCCTTCCTCCTCCTCCTCCTCCTCCTCCTCCTCCTCCTCCTCCTCCTCCTCCTCCTTATCCTCCTTCCCCTCCCCCTCAATTCCATTCCCTGCCCGCCCGCCCCCCCCCTTGCCCCATGGCCAGGGAGACGCCGCGCCATTCAGGCCCACGTCGCACGGCGAGTAGGGGCTCTTGGGGAAGATCACCTCGATGGGAGGGCCAGGGAAAGAGAGACAGAGGCTGTCCAGGGAAGGGAATCGGAAAGTAGAGACGGGGGAGACGGACGGAAGAACCAGAGCTTCCATACACCCCTCTTACCAGACAGACTCGGCTCCACCCTTCCCCCTGGATCCCCTCCCCCCTCCCCTCCCCATTGCTCTGCTGACCCGCTTGCTGTTTGTTCTCAACGACAACATGCTCTACACTGCCCCTGCGTGACGACAGTCGGTCCGATTAGCGTGACAAGGGAGCGAAGTGCACGCTGACCTAATTACTTGCCTGCCAGAAAGGGCACCCACACAGACTCACACACTTTTGGGCAGTCGCGGCCTCGCGCACGGCGACGAGGCGAAGCAACTCAAGTACGGCGGCCGAAACCCAGGGCGCTTCCCGCGCGCACCGGCTCAGATGGGGGACGGCACACTGCCGTCTGGGCGAGGGTGGCGGGGAGAAAGGGAGAGCGCACCCACACTCTCACACACAACACACACACACACACTCTCACTCTCACACACTCACACACACTCACTCACTCACTCCCTCACTCACTCACTCACACACACACACACACGCACCACACACGCCACACACACAAGTGCCCCAATACATTGCTTGCACTTCGGGGAGCTCGTGTTTCCTCTGAGGATCTGGGTCTGCCTGCCGCTCTGCACGCTTTTGGCGCAAGCGGCCTCTTGGCTGAGATAGCAGAGGGTAGGGTAGAGAATCAGCTCACGCGGCTGGTTTTCCTAGCGCCTCCTGGCGCTGGGAGGCGCCCGTGCATCAAGGAAAGGCGCCCGGCGGCCGGGCCGGAACCAGCTGCACGCAGCAGATATTTCGTACCCCGCCCCCCCCCCTTTGGGTCTTGCCAGCAGTGCCCCTGGCCCAAGGTGCCCCCAGGATCTCCAAGGAGGCCCCCACGGCCTCCAGAGCACCCCTCACGCGGCCCGCAGGGCCCCAGGGGCTCGAACCTTGAGCGAAACACCGGGAGCACCTTGGGCCAGAGGCACCTTTGGCCATCCCCGACCCCTTTCCCCATCCCCCCCCTTTCGTCCGGCCCGATCCTCTCCTTCGTGCCTCTCCCTCCTCTAACCCGCGGTCGTCGCCAGGTCCGCGGCCGCGCCGCCGACGTCCAGGGCCCGCTCGTAGCGGATGTTGGGCGGCCGCGACAGGCGGTCGTCCTCCTTGCCGCCCGAGTCCTGCAGCGGGGCCCGGCGGGACGGCCAGGAGGCTCCATCGCGCTCCCATCCCTCGTTCCCTCCCTCCCACCTCCGCCTCCTCCTCCTCCACCTCCTCCACCTCCTCCCTCCATCTCCTCCCTTCTCCTCCTCCTCCTCCTCCTCCTCCTCCTCCTCCTCTTCCTCCTCCTCCTCCTCCCTCAACCTCTTCCTCATCCTCCTCATCCTCCTCCTCCTCCTACTCCTCCTCCACCACCGCCTCCCTCCACCTCCTCCCTCCATATCCTCCCTCTTCCTGCTCCTCCTCCTCCTGCTGCTCCTCCTCCTCCTGCTCCTCCTCCTCCTCCTCCTTCCTCCTCGTCCTCCTCCTCCTCCTCCTCCTTCTTTTTCCTCCTCCCCTCCCTCCCCCTCCTCCTCCCTCCTCCTCCTCCTCCTTCCTCCTCCTCCTCCTCCTCCTCCTCCTCTTGCTCCTGCTGCTCCTCCTCCTTCTCCTCCTCCTCTACCTCCTCTTCCTCCCCTCCCCCTCCTCGTCCTCCTCGTCCTCCTCCTCCTCATCCCTCCTCCCTCCACCCTTCTCCTCTTTCCCCGCCCCACTCCCCTCCACTTCCCGTATTCCTCTTCTTATCCCCTCCCTTTCTTTGCGTTTCCTGCTGCTGTTCCTCTCCAAACGTCTTCTCCTCCTCGTCCTCCTTCTCCATCCTTTTCTATGTGAGAAGGCTCTTCCTCGTCGCAGTGCCGACCAGAAGTACTGGGCGTCCCGCTCGAGGTGAGGTAACGGCGGAGGCAATGACAAGCTCCTGAGGTCGCAGCCGGCATCATCAATCCCTGGCCCCGCGCTCTGCTTCTGAGCGAAAGTCACGCGGCGGCCACGGTGCACGGTACAGCGTATTCGACGGTCTCCTCCTCCCCCTCCTCATCCTCCTGCTCTTCCTTCTCCTCCCCCTCCTCCTCCTCCTCCTCTCCTCCTCCTCCTCCTCCTCCTCCTCCTCTTCCTCCTCCTCCTCCTCCTCCTCCTTCTCCCCCTCCTCTTCCTCCTCCTTCTGCTCCTCCATCCTCCTCCTCTTCGTACTCATCGTGATCGCATCGTCATTATCATCATGATCCGCATCCTCATCATCATCCTCATCAGCCTCATCAGCATCAGCATCAGCATCAGCATTATAATCATCATCATAACCATCATCATCAGCATCAGCAACATCATCAGCATCAGCATTAAGTTCGTATTCATCATGTTCATGTTCTTCATCATCACCATCCGCATCATCATCAGCAGCATCATCACCCTAATCAGCATCATCATAATCGTCGTCATAATCATCAGCAGCATCATCATCATGATCATCATCATCATCAACGACATCATCATCACCATCACCACCATCACCATCATCCTCATCATCAACTTAACTATCATCATCATCATCATCATCATCATCATCATCAGCATCATCCTCATCATCTTCATCATCACCAGCACCATCATAAGCATCACAATCGTGACCATCCATCAGCATCATCAACAACGTCATCGACTGTATCAGCATAATCATCGTCGTCATTATCACACACGCAAGCATCACCAGCATGAGCATCACCATCATCAACAAAATCATCATCATAATCCGACTAGTCGCCAGCGGCATCATCATCAGCAGCATCATTATCAGCATCACCATCACCATCACCATCACCATCACCATCACCATCATCATCATCAGCGACAGCATCATCATCATCATCATCATTGTCATCCACGTCACCATTATCAGCATCGGCAGCATCACCGACATCGTCATCAGCATCATCAGCATCATCAACAGCGTCATCCTTTTAATCATCAGCATGATGATGCTCATTATCATCAGCATCATCATCAAGATCATCAGCAGCATCACCATCACCACCACCACCACCATCACCATCACCATCACCATCACCATCATCATCATCAGCGACAGCATCATCATCATCATCATCATCATCATCATCATCATCGTTATCAGCATCAGCATCATCACACTCAACGAAAACAGCAGCATCATCAGCCCCATCAGCATCATTATCACAATCTTCATCAGCATCACCATCACACTCAGAATCATCATCATCAGCAACAACATCACCACCATCACCATCACCATCTCTATCACCATCGTCATCACCATAAAGATCACCATCCGCATCACCATCCTGATCATCATCATCATCAGCATCATCATCACCACCATCATTATCATCATCATCATCAACAACAGCATCGCTAGCATCACCAGCATCACCATCACAACCACCATCATCATCATCACCATCCTATTCCTCTCCATCTTCATCAACATCCTTATCCTCATCCTCATCCTTTTCGCCGTCGTCATCATCGTCGTCGTCATTCTCCTGCGTCTCCTCAAACTTCTCCTCATCTTAATCCGTCCTCGGACCGTGGCATGAGTACCGCAATCGAGGCCGCTGCCACCCTCACCTCCTCCGTCTCCTGCTCCTGCTTCTGCGCCTCCTTTTCCTTCTCCTCCTCCTCCTCCTCATCCTCCTCCCTGTCCCTCTCCCTCTCCCTCTCCGTATCCCCATCTTCCCTCTTCATCCTCCTACCCCTCTCATTATCTTCCTTCGTCTCCGTCCCCTCCTGCTGCCCCCTCTCCTTCTCCTCCTTCTCCTCCTCCTCCTCCTCCTCCTCCTCCTCCTCCTCCTCCCCTTCCTCCTCCTCCTCCTCCTCCTCCTCCTCTTCGTCCTCGTCCTTGTCCTCCTCCCTCCTCCTCCTCCTCTTCCTCCTCCTCCTCGTCCTCATCCTCTTAATGTTATTTCTCCTCTTCCTCCTCCCCCTGCCGCCGGCCGACGGGGCCTCGCCCGGGCCGGCGTACCCGAGGTTGTTGTTGGTCACGGTCTCGAGCTTCAGGTAACGCCTCGGCCAGCGCCCGCGCATGTCCCCCCCCGCCCTTCCGGAGGGCTGCCACCTGGAGTGCCGAAGCCGTCTGCGCCGACAAGAGCATTGCTGAGATACGCTCCACGAAAAGGAGGTTACCGAAGGGGAGGACGAGATTGGGGATGAGGGGCAAGCGAGGAGGTGTGGGGGGTGATGGGGGAGAGGCATGTGAGGAGGAGGAGGAGGTAGATAGATAGATAGATAGATAGAGCGGCAGTGGGGGGCAAGGCAGTGCATTCGGCCGCAAGGATAAGCCCCCGCCGTCGCCGCTCAGAGCGGCACCTTCATTGTGATCACGGCGCCACGCACGCCAATCACCTTGCCGAGCGAGGCGTAGTCGTACCGGCCATCCATATTCTCCTACTCGTAGTCATAGCCCTGCCCTCCACGCAGCCAGCTCGTCCTCCATGACTCCCTTAAGTGGTTGATCCGTCTTCGCCGTAGCTCCCACTTGGATCAGCGCGCTGTGGTTGCTGTCCTTGGTGTTGCACTGCTGCTCCTGCTCCTCTTGCGGAACCTCCTCGGCATCGGAGACGGTCCTGGGCCCCTGCACGAGATACAGTGTGAACTTCGCGTGGTAGCTGTCATCGCACTTGCTGAGCTTCAGGTGCTTCACTTTGTAGAGGTCTATCTCCACGCTGAACTGGTCCACTAACTGCCCGTGCTCTGTGAGACTGCTCTTAGTATTGTCGCCCACGTCCGCGGGGCAGGGGGGCGAAGCGAGCGAGCGTCCCTTGCCCGCCTCCTTGCGCTTGTCTGCGTAGATCTCCCTGCAGGCATGGAGTGTCTTGATTCCGTCGGACTGAGCCGACATCGGATACGTGCTGTAGACGGCGAAAACGACCCAGGCGATCTGCTGAGTGTTGGACATCACTTGCTTGATCGTCTCCGTGAGCGACTTCTTCAGCTTGAGGTCGCCCTTGGCCTGGTAGGCTTCTCCTCCGCGGCGTTGGCGCGCGGGGTATTCGCGACGCCAATGAAGCCAGCAGCCGCGAGCCTGAGGAGGTAGAAGTGGCCACGGCTCGGACTTGAAGCCGACGCGGCACGCGTGGTTGAGGGCTGGCTCGAAGCTCTCCTGCGCGAGGGGGAGCGCGGCGAGCTCGTCATCGTAGCCCACGCCAGTCGTCCTCGGCTGCTGCTTTGTGAAGTAGGTGGGCTGGAAGGTGATATGGAAGATCTCGGCGGGCAGTATCCAGTCTGGCACGGGGGCGCACTTCTTGAAGTACTTGAGCCGCTTGGTGACGCCGTAGATAGCTCGCTTGATGCCGTCCGTGGCGTCCTCTTGTTCCTGGCGAACTTGTAGGTTGTGCTCTGTGGTAAACTCGTGGGAGGTCTCTTTCGAGATGCGCTGCTCCTCCTCTAGGTCGAGCTGGCGAGCACTAAACCCTCTGTGCTGGCCGTCTGCTGCAATGTGAACTACCCACTCCTGCACACTGGGGCGTGCTCTGGTCGCGCGGCTGTAGTTGCGGCTGCGCTTGCCGTATTTGGAGCTGGCCATGATGCGAGACTGTTGAAGAACTTCGGCGTGTTCTCGTCGTTGCCTAGCCTCGTAGGTGCGCTCCTCGAGGTGTTGACGTCTTGCTTCGTGCTGGCGCTGCTGCTTCTTGAGGGCTCGTGAGAAGACCTCGATGTGGTACTCGATCTCGTAGTTGGGGTCGGTCCCGGAGTACTCCATTCTGAGCTTGTTGCACGCCTGGGGTAGCCGCAGACGTTCGTCCTTGAGCTGGTGGTACAGTACGAGCTTGGACTTCGGGCGCTCGAAGACGGGCATGGCTGCCTCCTTCATGGGGATCGCGAGGAGCCCCACGACCGACCAACTTCTTCAGCTTGTCCTGGTGATTGCCGAAGTAAAACTCCGTCACGCCATTGAACTCCTTGTGGTACTTGCCCTTCTGCAGAGCCAGGGCCGTCTTGTCGTAGTCCCGGGCGGTCCTCTTTAAGTCGATGAACACATTGGGGATGATGACGTTGGCGGCTGCATTCGGTAGGGCGAGGTCGCGCGGCACGTTGTAATTGATGAGTTTGGGGGCCTTAATCATTCGCCGCCAGACTCTGCAAGAAGTATTGTGGTAGCATAGACCGTGAGGCACTGCAATGTAGTCGAGACTTGTGGCCTGCCCGTGGGCACTGAAGTACGTGGGCCCCGCTTTCCAGGAATTGTTCAGGATGCACCTGCCGTGCACGTCGAGCGTGTAGTGGATGGCAGCGGTTGCCGCTCCAGGTACTCTTGTAGCGCCTGGGTCGCCGATCACGTTGCTAAACTTGGCGGGAAGCAATCCGTCCTTGCCGTAGTTGTCGTTCAGGACTGGGCCGATGATCGGCGTACTCCTGGTGTGCTTCACGTTCTGAGTCTGGTTGGTCCTCGTGAGCTTCTCGTTGATCGTCTTGACCCGAGCGTAGTGGTGCTTGGCGAGCCCTGACCGTAGAGGTGGAGACGCAACAGTGAACTTCGTGTCGAGTCCTCCTCGGCGAAGGCGAACTGCTCCTGCACGTCCTTGAATGCTGGGTGGCGGGCTGGGAGGCGCGGTCACACGATTGATGCGGTAGAGGTTGCAGATCGCTCTGGCCACTCCCGCTTGATTGTTGGTGGTAGGGGCGCTGCCGAAGCTCCTCCTGACGAAACGGTGCAGGTAGGTCTGGTGCTGGTCGTCGGGGCTGGTGGGGGCGAGCTGCCTCCCACGAGTGGCTGGTAACATGATGACGTCGTCAGCGCTGAACTGTCTCGACAGCTGCCAGCTGCTCTGCCAGTTTCTCGGCGGCGCGACCGTGCTGAGCGGATTATACACACCCCATCTCAGGAATATCGTCCAGAAGAACGCCCCCGAAGTAAATATGGATGGACAGCCGCGCTGGCATGACATGAAGGGTGCCCTGGGGGCGGAAGCTGCTCTGCGTGGGGTGCCTGCTGGGCCGCGAAGAAATGGGCTAGAGCAGGAGACGGCGGCTGAGGAGGAAGAGGAGGAGGAGGAGGAGGAGGAGGAGGAGGAGGAGGAGGAGGAAGAGGGGGGTTGAAGGGGGAGGAGGGGGAGAGGAAGGGAGAAGGCGGAGGATTTTCACATGGGACATTACTGGCCAGCCCTTCACCCTGCGCACGCATCGCCCCAGCAGGTCAACAATCACTCGGAGCCGGCCGACTCCACGAAGCTTTCGCGAGCAGCTTGCACCAAGGGGGTTTCGTCCTCCTGTCGGCGGAGTGCGTCACGCACCCCGCGTAGCTGCTCGCGCGGCTCATCTCCCTCCTTGCTGGGAGACAGTAGAGCCTCGTCCTCTTCTGGCGCCTCAGAAGCCTCGGGCGACACCTCGATTCTCACATTGTCGAGTTTTGGGAGACGGCCCTTCAAGACACGGTATTTCCAACGTTCGAAGGTGTTTCGATACAGGGATCTGCAATCTCACGCAGGGAGTACTAAAGGGGCCTAGCGTGGAGACTGCTCTGCGACGCACACAACGGAACAGAGAGGAATCACCGCTGCAATTCCTACTTGCTACAACGACTCAGGGACCGCCCCCATGCATCCTGCAATCGGTGGCTGGTCACTTTCGCCAGAAGCTAAAATCTGGAGAGGGCGTCGCGCCTTGAGGCACACGGCGCACCTCCCAAAGGTGCGGCACCACCCTAACTTATAATGGACAGAAGGGGACCGCGGGCTTCGGCTCGGGTTTCCGACGAATCCTAGGGCAGCCTTGGAGGTCCAGCGCGGGCCACATGAGCAAAAGACAGGCAGCCAGACAGCAAATCGCCTTGGCAATCTGGACCTTTTCGAATTTACTCCGTCGAGCTCCACATGTGGCAGTCGGGTGGGCCTCCAGCCACTGTCTGGCCACGCTGTCGGTGGCGTCATTGCCGATCATATCCCAGCGTTTCTGTTGTCTCAAATCTGGGCTGCCCTTCACGTGTGCCCTGACTTCTTGACTGCAATCCAACCGCTCGGATCTGCACTCACCATCGTGCCAGCACGCGTCTTGTACGAAGACCTAGCTACAGACGGGAACGCGAATGTGTGGACCACACTCGAACAATCCGGCAAGCCTTCCGAAGGGCATCCGAGGGTCTGGGCCACCATCGCACGAGTTCCACATTCCGCCGCTTGTGGCGTCTGGGAATATCCGGGGCCCACGCAAGGCCACACACCGAGCAAGCCTCCTGGGCCTCCTGGGAAACCTGTGCAACAACCCACGCGGCCCGACTCAGCTCTCTGATCGGGTGTTGAGCAGGAGCCGACCGCCCCGGCATTCCTTAGAGTCCTACCACGAACTCTTCTTAGAAACCAACAATGTTCCAAGAAGACAAACGATGTTCTTAGTACGTGAGCCCAATGTGTTAAGCAAGACAGTCCCAGCCAGAAATGTTCTAAGAACATTTCGTGCAGACCACAAAAGGTTCTTAGAAAATTCTTTGGTGGGCCTATAGGCGAGCCAGGACGCTTCGCCACTGCTCGAGGGTGTCTCGTACACGACCCGTCCATGAACACATTCTCTTGGACAACATGGCCTAGCCCCAAGGAGAAGGCGGAGGAGGCGGAGGAGGATGGGGAGGAGGACTGGCAGGTGTTGCCCAACGCGCGAAGTTCGCTGAATGAATCGCAAAACTATGTTGAAGGGAACCGGCAACGGGCAGGACAAGGAGAAGAGGAGGGAGCCAACTTCGACCCTGGCGAGGTGCTCGCGCCACTTGCGGGCCACGGGTCGTGCCAGCTCGCTCAACGGACAAACGCCCGCCGCTGAGCGCGGCATGCATTTGCAACGCCCAATTGCCCGCGCGCGCCAACGGCTGCACCGCCCCCCATCTGATTGCTGTGGCTGTTGCAGGGTGTCGGCGCTGCTTGATCTTACATGCTGACCGGGCACTTCTGCCTTGTGCCCGCTCGGACGCTCCGCAGTCATCCGCTTCGCGGATGGTGGGCCCATACTGGGCTCAATTGCAAGCCTGGCTCGCGCTCGAACAAAGGCAGCTGTCAAATGCCACAACTCCGCTGCAGGCGCCTCGCTCCTGCTAGTCGCAGCCAGGCCTCTTCCTGCTGCCTCATCCGTGCCTGCATCAACCAGGGCGTTGCCTGGAACGCGAATGGGTCCAAGTCAGGCGCGCCAGTCCGTGGCCGGTTCTCACCCCGAGAGAGGGCCCGTTTCGTGTCCTCGTCATAATTTGGGCGGCGCCCTCTAGCCCAAGTCTGGCGTTTTTTTAAGGATGCCCTCAGCTCGTAGTGGATATGTCTCCAATGCACAGCGATTTGTAGGATTCTGGTGGACTCCGACAAGACATTCGTTTGAATGTTTGTGCGCTCGTGTGCGCTTTCAGCGTGCCTCGCGCGGGCCTCCCGAAAGCCTCAAACCGACCCCAATATCCCCTGCGAGCCTTCGAAGAAACGAACCAACAGGCTCGGGAATGTGGGGGCCTCCTGGGCCGTCTTCTGGGCTGTGGGGAGGCGACCGAAGAAACCTACACCCCGGATGGTTCCTTGAGTGCTTCAGGCTTTAGAGAAGAAGCCGGCAGGCAGGGCTAGGCCAGCTTCCTCTCCATGGCTCCAGGACAGGCATCCCAGCAACAATGACAAATCCCCGTGGGCTTACCCCGTGTCCCGGAAGCGTTTTCCTACTCGTTCCCAGTATGCGTGCTGGCAGAGCTCGCACTCGAAGCTTGCAACCTTGCGGCGCATGCTTTCAAACTTCCTCGCCAGCGCTTCCCAGAAACTTCCCGGCTGTCCAGCAAATGTCTACGCTTCCTGGCAGGCGTCTCGCCTTTCGGGCACAGGTTGTCCGCGCGCCCGTGCGCGTGCGCGCGCGGGCCAGCGCGCCCGCGCACCCGCGCGCCCGCATGCACGCGGGCCAGCGCGACTGCGCGCCTGCGTGCCTGCGCGCCTGCGCGCCCGAACGTCCGCGCGGCTCCGCTGCCATCGGGCTTTGGATTCCCCCATTGCCAGAGCCATGTGTTGCATTGCTTTTGCGTGCCCCAATGTTTCAACATTCAGCACGTCCGAGACGGCCGAAGAGGCCTCCAAGGAGATCCCCAGAACGACCAAAAGTGCTCCAAGACGGGCCCCGAGACTTCAAAATGGGCTCAAGAGGAGTCCAGGAGGGGAGACTCGAACGGCGGCCCGCTGGAGAACCCTACGATTGCTCCCGAGACCCAAGACGACGCAATGAAAGAGCGCTTGTGCAAAGCCAGGCGCCCCGCTTCCCGCAACGGCACCGATCAGCTGCGCGCCAGTCCTCCGCTAGGCACCCAGACCCTGCCCCGCTGATGCGCATGCGGCACGCTCACCAATCCCGGCCCCCTCGGACGAGCCGCGGCCCTCCGAGGTCGAAAAGAAAAACTCACCATACGCCCTGAATCGCGTCGCCACTGTATGCACCCAGGCAATCGCGAAGATCTGTTCGATCTTCAAGTGCACGAACCCACCAGCACCACATGCTCGAAGAGCGTGTGTATATATAATATATACATATATATATATATATAGATAATTGAGTAGCCCCCTCCAACTGCCCCCCTCCGCTCTTCTAAACGTGCAAATTGCTCACTGGCGTCAGGATTCCAGGGTCAAATGCAGCATCCTGCAGTGGGCACTGGTCGCCGCCTTGGCCAGCGTTGCCATGCAAACCCATCGGTTCTTGATCAGCGCATCGGTGAGGGTTTCTGCTTTGTTGTTTGGCGCACTTCGTCAGTTGAAACGCGGGATGTATCAGAATGCTGGATCTCGCGGTTAAGCCTCAGCATGGGGGCTTGGGTCCCGATTCGACGTCCTCGCCGTGCAGCGATCAACCAAGCGGTGCTGAGGTTGCAACATCCTCGGCAACACAATAGCGTTGAACTGCTTCACTGTCCTTGTCCAAAGAAATTGGAGTGTGGCCCCACACGTGCTTCAGATGGTTGAAATCGGCAAAAACCATGCCGGTTCGCCTCCTTATCCCTGCGTTTGCTTGGTCATCGCTGCTGATTGTGGTGCCCACATAAGACAATGTACCATTGGCATCGGTAATTTCACATGTCGGCATGCGAACGCGCTCGTCGCATCAGACTCTTCATACTTGCAGCTTTCCCCACTCATGCGCGGACCAACTTGTGCTGCAGATTCGCATGTTATCATCAACCATTGTTTAAAGGTCGCTGGCGGTCGTGGCCATGAGTAACGTGTCGTCGGCGTACACCAGCTGTCTGACTTGACCTGGAAAGCGTTCGCTGCAAAAAATGAATTTGCGTCGTGCATCACAACAGACATGTCCGTTATGCAAAGAAGCGGCGAAATTGGCAGCCCTGACAGATGACGATACGTTGGCCTTTCACCTCCGACGTGGAACCTCTGTCACGAACGACGAAGGTGCGGTCTTTGTATATGCCTTGGCTGACAGCCACCACGAACTTGGGAAGGCCGAGTCTCGCTAGGGCGGCAAACATCGCAGACAGAAGCAATGAATCGAAAGGTCGCGTCCAATCAAAAGCCAAAACGAACATATTCTCGCTTTTCAACGCCCTTTCCTGCTCGCTTGGCCTCCGCCAAATACAACTTGCGTCCAAAGCCGGACAACGAGGAAGGGGGGAGGGGCACGAGGCAAGGGGGGACACGAGGCTGGGAAGACGAGGATGATGACGGAGCAGGGAAGCGGGCGAGGAATGAAGGCGAAGAAGGGACGAAAGTGCGGCCGACGAGGCCCGGGCTCGTTGTCCTTCCAATTCAGGAGCCCCGCGTCCTGACCGTGCGGCCAGCACGGATCCCCCCTTCCACTGTGGGGGAAAGCGCTTCTGCCAGCAGCGAGATCGCTGCCGCCTGCCCCGCCTTCCTCTCCTTTCGCCCATCCATCTGCTGCCCACTCCCAGCCGTTCCTCCTCTTGCTTGGTGTGTTGTTGCTGTTGTTGAATGTTAATTACTAAACAATGATGATTGTTGGACCCCTTAAAGGCGCCCTGGCGCTCTGGCCCATGCGCCTGCTACATATTCATTGAAAACGAGGCTCACGCTCGAGCGGTTTGGGGGGCCGCCAAAACTGGCCCCCAAACAACAGCAACGCTCCCGCCCGAGACTTCCTTCTTTTTTACTCAGGGCTGGTGTTCTTGCTCGCCGCCGAAGGCCGCCGTCCTAACAAAACCAGCGCTCCCGCTCGAGACTTCCTCCCGTTTTACCTTGGACTGGTGCGCTAGTCTTTCTCTCATCGGCGCTGCCCCCAGCAAAAAACAACGCTCCCGCTCGAGGCGTCCCCCCTTTTTTACTCAAGGCGGTGCTCCTCCTCGCCGCCGAAGGCCGCCGCCCCGACAAAACCAGCGTTCCCGCCCTTGTTTCCGTTTTACGCTGGACTGGCGCCCAACTCTCTTTTGAATTGGCGCCGTTCCCAGCAAGAACAACGCTCCCGCTCGAGGCTTCCTCCCTTCTTCCTGAAGACGGTGCTGTTCTTTGCCGCCGACAGCCCCCGTCCCAGCAAAACCACTGCTCCCGCTCGATGCTTCCTCCTTTCTTACTCAAGGCGGTGCTCCTCCTCGCTGCCGAAAGCCGCCGTCCTAACAAAACCAGCGTTCCCGCTAGAGACTTCGTTGTGTTTTACGCTGGACTAGCGCCCTACTCTCTGAAGCATTGGCGCCGCTCCCAGCAACAACAGCATCCCTGCTCGAGACTTCCTCCTTGTTTATTCAGGGCCAGGTCCTTGCCTCACCGCCGACAGCTCCCATCCCCACCAAGGTAATCCTGTCGATCGATACGTCCTTGTGCTTTACCCTTCGCTGGGTTCCACTGGCGGTCTCGCATCGGCGCAGCAAGGCGCGAGCATGTGTTTTCGAGGCGGGATATGTTGAAATTCCTCGGAGGAGGTGTTTGCAAAACCTCATTGGGCGGGAGATCTGGGAATGGTGATAACGGACCCCGCTATAGAACAATAGTCCCCCATGATGTGGATGGTTATCATGATGGTCTCATGCTTCGTGTGGAAGCATCGCGCATGAGGGTAAAATGATTGCTGTTGTTGTTGAACTCTCCCTACTGAAGAATAATATCACCAGCCCTCTGGGCGTAGGTGGTCTAACGATACTGAACGATATTCTGTCTTTCCTCTTCCACAAAACCCCTCTTCCCCTTCGGGGAGGGGTTTACGGCGCGGCGGCAGCGGCGGCGGGCGGCGCCGGCGGCGGCGGAGGCGGCGGCGGCGGCGGCGGATTCGCCCCCAGTAGCTGCCCATCCAAAGACGACTGCTGAATATGCTGCGGCTCGGGCCAGCCTCGGGTGCTGCGTATGTGTTTGGAGGGCGGGTGGGAGTGAGCGAGACGGCCTGCGGGCGGGGAGGGGGTCTTGACCCCTCCCCATACCCCCCCCCTGGCCTTTTTCGGCGGCGGTCGCGGGTGGCGGGAGGGCCCTTTTTCAGCCCGTGGGAGGGCCAATTTCTGACACCCCTCACGAGGGTCGTGGCCCCCGAGGGGAGGACCTCGATCGGGAGAATTCTGCCTTCTCGCCGTTTCGCTTCCGATGCGCTTTGGCGGCCTCAAGATGGCCCCAAGCTGGCCCAAGAAGGCCCCAAGAGGGGCGAGCGCCCCAAGGGGGTTCCAAGACCGCCCCAAGAGGGGTTTTTCAGGGCCCCAGGGGGGGACCTAGATCAGGACCCCCCCTGCTTTGATCGATAGCCTCGAAGATGGCCCCAAGAGGCGCTCCAAGGCTCCCAAGAGAGCTCCAAGACGGCCCCAAGAGGCCCCCTTGCGGATGACCTCCAATATGGCGCAGATAGCCCAAGCTGGCTCAAGATGGCTCCCAAGATGCTCCAAGCGGCCCCAAGATCGCTCCAAGAGCGCCCAAGAGCGCTCCAAGAGAGCCCCAAGAAGCGGCTTGCGGGCTCTTGAGAGGGGAGCTGAGTCGGGGACCCCCCCATCCGGTAATCGATGGCCCCAGAGATGATCCCAAGAAGCCTTCTAGGGTTACCAGGAGGGTTCCAAGATGGCCCCAAAAAACTCCCAGAGAGCATCAGCAGCAGCAGCAGCCGCAAGAATATCTCTAGATGGTTCCATGAGTCCTCGTCCGCGTCGTCCTCATCCTAGTCCTCGTCCTCCTCGTCCTCGTCCTCATCCGCGTCCTCGTCCTCCTCTTCCTCCTCGTCCTCATCCTCCTCCTGCTCCTCCTCCTCCTCTTCCCCTCGCCCCCACGCGGCCCCCAGGGATGGCCCGAAGAGGCCTTCCAAGGCCACCCCCTTGCTCCCAGAGATCTCTCGGTTCACCCTGGTTGCTCGCATTGTTTCCCTAGATGTGTCTCGCTCTCTCGCGCTCGCTCTCTCTCTCTCTCTCTCTCTCTCTTTTCACCCTCCTCTCTCTCTCTCTCCCTCTCCCTCTCTCCTCTCTCTCTCCCTCTCCCTCTCTCTCTGTCCAGTATTTCAAGACGGTGTTCCCGCTGAAGCGTGGGCCTCATTTTCGGATCGGCGCTTTGTTCCCGTCGTTCAACATGGCGCTCTCGCCACGACGTGGGCCACTTTCCTGGACCCGAATCCGTTTTCATAATTGTTGCCTCCCTTCATTTCCCCTCCTCCGCCGTCCCCTGGTCATCCCTGCTCCTCCCGCTCCTTCCACTCCATTTCCCGCTGCTGCTGTTCGTCCCCGTCCTCCTCCTTTCACATCCTCATCCGTTTCCACCTGTTCATCCTCCTGCTCACCCGCGAGTTCCTCCTCCTATGTACGCAGTTCCTCTTTTTCCGATTGCGCAAAACACCATGGAGCCCTGTTGTTGGAGTTCAAGGCCGGCTGTGACACGCGCCCGCGGATAGAGAACGCATCAACGCATGGGCAGGGATGTGAGGGAAGGAGTGGATGTCAAATATGGCACGAGTGCATGTGGTTTGCATTCTCCCCTCTCCATGCTCCACTCGTTCTTCTTCAGCCTCCCTCCTCCTCTCCTTCTGTTGGCATAATGCGCTCTCAATTCGAGGATCTGACGTCCCGTGCCCATCGCTCATTTGGCGGTGTGCTTCTGGGCTGGAGTTATTGGCGGGCCATCAGGTGAGTGCGCGGTCTGGCGCCATGACTGCGACGCGCCGTCGGGCCATGCGCGAGTTGGAGCGAAGGGGCACCTGGCTGAAGGCGGCCTCCAGCCAGCCAGCCAAGCTGGGAAGCGCTCCGGCAAGTACCTTCGGGCGTTCCGATGGAGGCGTGCTGGCAAGAACATTCGGGCGTTCCACACAGCGCGGCACGACGTCTGGCAGGTACCTTCGGAACCCGCAGCTGGCCCAGTAAGCGCCCTGGCCACCTGCGGGCGCTCCAGCCAGCCTGGGAATCGACCGGGCTCCTTCGGAGTGCGCTCGTGCCCGTAAAGCTTGAACGTGTACAGCTGATCGTAGACGGAATGGGATGGGGCAATAAACCGTCCTGACACAGCTGGAACGCATCGCACCCAGCCAAGCCGCACAAAGTCCCCGCCGCGCGCAGCGAGAAAGCAACTGTGTCGAAGCAGCCTTGACAACCCGTCCCACTCACAATCAACACGCCAACTAAAGATAATGTATTGCTGAGCCCGTGTAGCCGCAATGCTGCTTGAGCTACAACGATGGCTGTCCACTAAGAATCGGTCCGTATAGTGGGCACTCACACCATGCATCTCCCGCCCCTCCTACGTCATGTTTTACATTGTATGTTTGTTCTGATATTTGCATATACGTACAAGTCCCTCAGTCTCTTTCTCTCTCTCTCTCTCACCTTCTGCTGCTCTCATTCCATATCCAAATGAAGGGGCCGAACGGTCATTCATTGTCCCTGGGTCCGTGGCTGAAGTGGGGATCCGTGGTGAAGGTTCTGCTTGTTGCGTTGTTGCGTGGTTGCGTTGTTGTTGTTTGTTTGTTTGTTTGTTTGTTTGTTCGTTCGTTTGTTTGTTTGTTTGTTTGTTGTCGTCGCCCCACCCGCGCCCCACCCGCGACCCACCACGCGACCCACCCCGCGACCCAGCCCGCGACCCACCCCGCGACCCAGCCCGCGACCCACCCCGCGACCCACCCGCGACCCAGCCCGCGAATCACCCGCGACCCACCCCGCGAGCCATCCGCGACCCACCCGCGACCCACTTGCGACCCACTGGCGACCCACCCGCGATCCACCCCGCGACCCAGCCGCGACCCAGCCCCTTTCTACTAACATTGGTTCCACGAAAAAAATCGGCGCCTGCGGCGGGCTCGTTGCACGCAGCACCCCGCAATTGCGGATAAAGGTGACGGGGCTGGCGCGGGCGACGTGGGCGTCGAGCCGGCGGACCTCGTGGCCCTCACCTTCCCTGTCGATGGCGCCCTCCTCCTCCTCCCCCTCCTCCTTCTCCTCCTCCTCCTCCTCCTCCTCCTCCTCGTCCGCGTCCTCGTCATCATCGTCGTCGTCGTCGTCGTCCGCCTCGCCCTCCTCCACCTCCTCCTCCTCTTCCTCCTCTTCCTCCTCCTCCTCCTCTAGCAGACCAAATGCGAGCAAGCCCGCCGCAGGCGCCGATTTGCGTGCTCTGACAAGTTCAGCGCGTGGGGGATCGCTGGTGGGCCACTCGGAACGAATGCAAAAACAGCCCGCCGCAGGCGCCGAATTTTTGGCTTGTTTAGTAAACGTAGTTTGGGTCGCGGGTGGGTCACGGGCTCTCCCCCTCCACCTGGAAAGAATTCAAAAACAGCCCGCCGCAGGCGCCGAAAATTTTGACTTCTGATCTCGGGTCACAAGTTCTCCACCTGGAACGAATGCAAAAGAAACCCGCTGCAGGCGCCGAAGTTTTGGCTTGTTTAGTGAACGTAGTTTGGGTCGCGGGTGGGTCGCGGGCTCTGCAACTCCACCTGGAAGGAATTCAAAAACAGCCCGCCGCAGGCGCAGAAAACATTGATTTGTACACTGAGCGCGGTTTGGGTCGCGGGTGGGTCGCAGGTTCTCCACCTGGAACGAATGCAGAAGAAGCCCGCCGCAGGCGCAGAAAAATTTGGGTGGGTCGCGGGTCGCGGGTGGGTCGCGGGTGGGTCGCGGTGGGTCGCGGGTGGGCCGCGGGCGGGTCGCGGGCGCGGTTTGGGTCGCGGGTGAGTCGCAGGTTCTCCACCTGGAACGAATGCAAAAGAAACCCGCCGCCGGCGCCAAAAATTTTGGGTGGGTCGCGGGGTGGGTCGCGGGCTGGGTCGCGGGTGGGTCGCGGGGCGGGTCGCGGATGGGTCGCGGGGTGGGTCGCGGGTGGGTCGCGGGTGGGTCGCGGGGTGGGTCGCGGGTGGGTCGCGGGGCAGGTCGCGGGTGGGACGACGAAAACAATAAACAACATGAACGACAACAACAACAACAACAACAACAATAACAACAACAATTACTAGCACGTGGGGACACTCCGTTCTCACCAGTGCTAGGGTTTTCATAGGAGGCGGGCAATACCCCCACTTTGTGGGGGGGCCGGTTCAAGCTCTACCAAATTTCCAAACGACTCTTCGCCACCACCCACACCCAGCTTCCCGCCCTATGACGTTCGGACACTTCACTTCGTGGCATGCGGACGACCGTGGCTACTATTCAGGGCCCCGCGGCCGACGACGACGGCGTGCGCGCGCGAAGAAAAAACGAATGTGTCCCGCATGGTATTATTTGACAGGGATGATGGCCCTGGCAGGTGCGCAACCGTTGTCGCAGAAGTTCGAAAAAGTTGCTCGCAAAAGCCCGTTTGACAGAAATGTTTAAAAAGTGTTGGGTTTCCTACGAATCCGCAAGAGCGCGCGGGATGAGATTTTGACAATTTTTTTGTTGAAAAACCATTGGTTTTTTGATGTTTTTATGTTAAAATCGCTGCGAACACTAAGGTTTTGGAAGGATTTCGTCTTGCGCGCGCGAATGTCCACTTTACCTTATTTTTTGCAAGGGATTCTTGAAATTTGATTATATTAGAACAAGAAATGTCATTTTCTATTGTTTTTTGCAAGGGAAAGCGGATTACAACAAAACAACCGGATCCTGTACACACCCTCTTTTCTGAGGCTTCCTCACGAAAATGATGAAAATGTAGCTGCGGCCTAGGCGGCGCAGGGGGGGCGCGCACCAGGGGGCCCAACAATAATTATTCTTTAGAATAAATAATGTTCAACAACAACAACAACAACAATTACTAGCACGTGGGGACACTCCGTTCTCACCAGTGCCAGGGTTTTCATACGACGCCGGGCAATACCCCCACTTTGTGGGGGGGCCGGTTCAAGCTCTACCAAATTTCCAAACGACTCTTCGCCACCACCCACACCCAGCTTCCCGCCCTATGACGTTCGGACACTTCACTTCGTGGCCTGCGGACGACCGTGGCTACTACACTGGCGCATGGGTACAGTGACTTGTTGTGGTAACATTTTCTGGACGCTAGCTTAGTATACGACTTTTCCCCCTGTTCCAACACTGGACACCTAAGAAACCCAATGGTTTTTGAAGATTTCGGCGTGCGCGCGCGAAGAAAAAACGAATGTGTCCCGCATGGTACTATTTGACAGGGATGATGGCCCTGGCAGGTGCGCAACCGTTGTTGGAGAAGTTTGAAGCACGTGAAAAAGTTGCTCGCAAAAGCCCGTTTGACAGACATGTTTAAAAAGTGTTGGGTTTCCTACAAATCCGCAAGAGCGCGCGGGATGAAATGTTGACACTTTTTTTTTTTTTGAAAAACCATTGGTTTTTTGATGTTTTTATGTTAAAATCGCTACGAACACTAAGGTTTTGGAAGGATTTCGTCTTGCGCGCGCGAATGTCCACTTTACCTTGTTTTTTGCAAGGGATTCTTGAAGTTTGGTTATGTTAGAACAAGAAATGTCCACTTTGCCTTATTTTTTGCAAGGGAAAACCGCCCGTAACAAAACAACCAGATCCGGACCAACCCGTTTTGCCGGAGACTTCCTCACGAAAATGATGAAAACATGGCTGCGGTCTAGGCGCGGCGAGGGGGCCGCGCACCAGGGGCCCCAACAATAATTATTCTTTAGAAGTAATAATGTTCAACAACAACAACAACAGCAGCAGCAGCAGCAGCAGCAGCAACAACAACAACACTAACAACAAGAAGAATCCGCATCGCGGAATTCCACTTCAGCCACGCACCCAGGGACAGTGAATGACCGTTCGGTTCAGCCCCCTCACTCTGATAATTTGAAACTTTGGCGCCTGCGGCGGGCTTCTCCAGAGTCGCGCAGACTGACGACGTCCCCACCGCCCCTTCACTCCTATCCGCATTCGGGGTGCTACGTATTCCTCCGCGCGCATCCCATGGACGGGCCACCAAGTCCCGACCATTTCAACGAACTTGACGACTCTTGGTCCCCACCCACTGACGACTTCGAAGGTGAGGACCTCGACCAGCTCGCGTTCGGAGCCTCTCTCAACGACGACGACGACGACAGAGACAGAGACTTCCCCTCACGCAGCCACCCTTTTTCTCTTCTTTGACCATGACAAGCAGCCATCGACCACCCTGTGGAGTCGGCCAACGACCAGCCCTCCAACGACCAGGGGGCGTCAGAGCACGATGGCCACTCACCACGCCCCAGGCAGCCAACTCTCCCAGCTGGCCCACCAAGGCTCCGACAGGGACGGCCGCGAGCCCCTGGACGACGGTCACCAAGCCAGCGGGACCGCTCAACCCACGGACCGCAGGCAAGCCCTCACGCAACACCTCACGGCGACGAATAGCCAGCAACAAAGGGATCGCCAGACCCTCTCACTGCTAGCATACAGTCGCTCCATCATCGAGCCAATCAGCCGGCGCACTCCCTGCAGCAGTTACTGGAACCATCAGCACCGCTGATCGACAGGTTCCACCGAGCGCAAGGAAGCCTGGAGCGGCCTGCAACAAGCCTTCCAGCCTGCAGCCGCTATGGGGGGCAGCCCTCCCTGTCAACATCCAAGCCTTCTTCGACGCTCAACGGGCCGCACGCTAGCGCAAGCCCCCTCTTTTTTCCCACGGACCACGAGCACAGAGGCACCTGAACCGTCGTTCGCTCTCTCTGGGCCGCTGCGGGGCACGCCGAGGTGAGCGTGCCAACGCGTGCTAAAAGCCCGGCGCCCCCTCCCCCCTTTTCCTCGCCACAGAACGCAGACGGGCCCCGTAATTAGCGGCCTGATCACCGACGAACGCCCTTTTTCCGGACGGGGTTCCTGTGACCGCGCCAGGGGGGAGGTATACCCTACCACCACCCCGGTTACAACTGCGACGCCACCCGCTGATGCGAGGACTTCCTGCCCGGCGCTCGCCGCCTGGGGGCCGGGGCTGACACGCGCCCCGAAGTGCTGCGGTCTCGGTCCGTATCTTCCTGCCCCTTCCTAGGGAATCGAACACACACACACACACAAACACTCTCTCTAGATCTATATATATATATATACACACCGACGCTTCTTCTGGCCCTGCTTTGGAATTTGCACTGGAGAGCGGATCCTGGTGTGTACGGGACCCTGGCGTATGCATTTTTCGCTGTTCTCCTGGGCATCGGGGTAAAAAATATACACCACACCACCCAGCGTCGTCCTCGATCCTCAAGAAGTCCTGGGATTGAAAAAGAGCCCGCCACTGGTAATGTACATGTTCCAATTTCCGACTTTCCCCCTCCCCCTGCTCCCCCGTCGCCCTCACAACACAACCTCTCCCCCTCCCATCCCCCGTCCGCCCTCCCTCCCCAGCCCTCCTCCCTGCCACCCTCGGCCGGCCTCCCCCTCGCCATCCGCCTCCACCTTCACCCCCTTCCCGCTCTCCTCCTCCTCCTCCTCCTCCTCCTCCTCCTCCTGCTCCTCCTGCTCCTCCTGCTCCTGCTCCTGCTCCTCCTCCTCCTCCTCCTCCTCCTCTGCCTTCTCGTACCCCCCCCCTCCCTGTGCTCCTCCCTGAGGTGCTGGGATCCGTCTCGTCCTCCTCCCTCCTCCCCAGACTCCCGACGTGCTGATTTTCTCAGAACGTTGACCAACGGAAACCTCGGCCCCACTCCCTGGGATCGGCTCTTCATCCGGAGCCGTGCTTTCTGAAAGTCTTGGGGGCCCAGCGAGGGCCCCCAGAGGCCGACAGTTGCCAAAAAGCTCTTGTGCTTTTGTTCGCGGCGAGAGAGGGTCTGGGTCCCCGTCGTCTTCCTCCCTCCGAGGCGCTGGTTTCCTTCTGGCACGGCTCGCTCTGCTCCAGGGAGCCCTCGCACGCAGCGCCGCCTCAGCCGGCCACGGAAAACGACGACGACGCCACGGTTCAAAGCTGCGCCCTCCTCCTGATGATGCTGTTCCTGCTGCTGCTCCACATCCTCCCGCTAATCCTCCTCCTCCTCCTCCTCCTCCTCCTCCTCCTCCTCCTCCTCCTCCTCCTGCCTCGCATCCACCTCCTTCTGATCATCACCCTCTTCCTGCCGCCGCTGCCCCTGCTCCCTCCCACGAGGTGGCACGAGGCCCCCCTGCCACACACCACATCCCAACGCAGCTATATACATGCTCCGCTCACGGAGCGCTCGCCTCGGGCAGGCCGGCGGCCAGGCTGCCGGCGTGACAAGTTCCATGCACGCGTCGCCTGCGTCGCTGGAGCCCCCTCTGCCGCCCAGCGCTGGGCGTCCAAGAAGCAGCCCGCACCACGACGCCCACCTGTGTCCGCCGTGACGCACGCACCACGGCAACAGCGGTCACGTCGAGCGCTGTTCTGCACCACTCCCAGACCCTGCGGAGCAGTGAGATCCAAATCAACCCACGCCGGTGGGGCAGACAGCGGCAGGCCCCAGCCGCTCCGAACTCCCGAGACCGGGCCTGCTTTCGCAAGATGCCACCCGCCGAGCTTCTGGGCAGGGCTCCTCCCTCTCGCGGGCAGGGGCGAAACACCCTTGGAGGCCGACGTTGGGATTGTTTGGGCGGCGGGCGACCAGTGCAAACGAGAAAGGGTTCGGCCGCGGAGGCAAGGACACAAGGGTACCCCAGATGAGGGCGGGCGTCCTTACTGGGCGCGTTGACTGCAGCTCGTGGCGATGGAGCCAGATGGCGGGCGGCGGTGCCACGGGCTGCGCTCCGCTGGGCTCGCTGCAAGGCATCGGTCGGCCCCGACATTCGGGGGCCGATGCGCACGCTCTGCGCTGCTCTCGCCCTCCAATCGGCGGGCCCGAGCGCTCGCTTTGCCGCGGTGGTGCCGAAGCTGCAGCAAGTTGAAGGTTGCTGCGATCCGCAGCGCAGTGGGTACGGCGAGGACGAGGGAGGAGGAAGAAGGCAAGGGAGGATCGAAGACGAGGGAGGAGTAGGGCGAAGGGAGAAGGGATGAGGAGGGAGGAGGAAGGAGGGGGCCGACTCCCGACTCCGAGGGAGTCGGCTGGCATTCGGCTGCGATCCGCAGTCGGCTGCGATCCGCAACGCGATCTGCTTCCTGCGGGGTACGCATGTGCAGCGCCGCGGGTCAGCAGCGGGGATGCGCCCCGCGGTCGCTCTCACGCTCACGCTGCTCCTCTTCGTGCTCGTCACCCCCCTCCTCTTGATGGCACCCGTCCTCCTCCTTGCCATGCCGCCCCGGCCCCTGCGCCTGGCCCTGCGGCAGCTCAGCCACCTCCTCCTCGTCCTCCTCGCCACCATCACCCCCCCTCGTCCTGATCCTGCTGCCTCCCACGGCGACGACGACGGCGGCGACGGCGACGGCGACGACGACGAGAACAAGGACGAGGACGAGGACGAAGACGACGACGACGACGACGACGACGACGAAGAGGACGTCGACGACGACGTCCCTCTCAGCTCGCCGCGCCCCCACTCGCCCACCAGGCCACCTGGCTCCGCGCCCCGCGCCCCGCGAGGTGCGGTGATCTTGCCGCCCTCGCGCCGCCCACTTGGAGAGAGGCAACGAAAAACCGCTCCCGCCCAGACCGCCATGCGCGAAGCGCGCGGTCGTCTCTGCGCCACCCGAGCATCCCTTTCCTTACCAGCCTCGAACGTATCCCTATCCCTAAGATTTACACGCCAAAAGGCGATGACAATCTTAGGGATTCGCCCTCAAAAAATAAGGGAATCCCTAAGATTGGCATCGTGATGAGGAGGTGCCCAGCATAGGGATAGGGATATGTTCCAGGCTGGTAATTTCCCCCCTGCTGGTGGGACAGCACGGGATGCCGATAAAGCCAACGTCTCCCCAAAGGGTGCGCCCTGAACAGGACTTCGAGGCGAATCCAACCGTGGCGACGGGGGCGGGGCAGAGGCATCGGTATCGCTTCTCTTTCTCTGGGGCATCCCCGGCGTCGTGATTTCTTCGCAACGTCGACCCCCCGAGGTCTCGACCACCCCTCCAGACTGGACTTTCAGCCCGAGGCGTGTGGTTGGACGGCCGGGGGCCCAGCGAGGGCACTCGTGCACATTAACGGGCGAAGAACGGTATACAATAAACTTTTTCGCTGTCGGGGGCGCCTGTCCCTGGGCGGCTGGAAAGTTTATACCCTTACGGTGGCATCGTAGGGGTATAAACTTTCCAGCCGCCCAGGGACAGGCGCCCCCGAAAGCGAAAAAGTTTATTGTATACCGTTCTTCGCTCGCTGAACACAAGCCGAACACAGCCAACAAATATTTCGTCGCGATGTTATCGCGACGTGAGGGCGTCTGGGTTCCAACCACCTTCTGTGGCAACTCGCGGGGGCCTCCCGTGTCGTCTTGCTAGCTCTTGCGGATCGGCGCTGAGCCGACGCCAATCTGCGCTGAGCCGGCGCTTGCCCGTCGATTGCCCAGCCGCTGGCGCACGCGAGTGCAGTCTCGACACGAAGCTGCGAAGACATACGACCCTCCCACGACTTGCTACTTGCTACCGGACACCACCCCCTCCGCCCTGCCGAAGTAGAGGAACAACGAATCGGCATGAACGTAAACTTCCGACGGTCCGCGCGGACTTCCTGGCTCCGCGCTGGGGCGCGCCGCCGGAAGCGCCGCCAGGGGGGTCCCCGCGCAGATCCAGGAAGCCCGCGCGGACCGCCAAAAGCTGAGACGCTTCTGCCGTTCCTTCTCCTCCGACGAGGAGCCGCGGCCCGAACCCTGGGCGCGCCGCCGCCGACGCCGTGCCTGGCGATGACCCGCTCGCGCCGCCGGACGCCTGGCGCGGCGCCGCCGCTGGGAGGCCCTCTGCGCGAGGCCGCCCGGCCGTGGGGACGGCCGACGTCCGGGGAGGCCTGGGAGGGCCCGGCACTGGCCACGCCGAGGGAGGGCCCCGACGGGCTAGCTTTTTGTTGCTGCTGTTGTTTCTTCTGAGCCCTGTGCTTCAGATGCGACAAGTGGTCGTGACCTCCCTCCTCCTCCCCCTCCTCCTCCTCCTCCTCCTCCTCCTCCTTTCCCCTCCTCCTCCTCCTCCTCCTCCTCCTCCTCCTCCTCCTCCTCCTCCTCCTCCTCATCTTTCTCCTCCTCCTCCTCCTCCTCCTCCTCCCACCGCTACACCTCCTCCTCCTCCTCCTCCTCCTCCTCCTCCTCCTCCTCCCACCGCTACACCTACCGTCCAGCGTCTTTCTCGTGTGGTTTTGGGAGCAGACAAGCGCACTCCTCTACTCGCAGAGCAGCTACTCGCAAACGGCCGGGACCCACCGCGGTGAAGTCACGATCCATTCCATCGAGGAAAGGGTGTGTGTAAGTTTGTGTGTGTGTGTGTTTCTGGCGTTTGCGAGTGTGGGCACTTTGCGAATAGTGGAACGCGCTCTGTGATGGAGGGTTCTCGTCGCAACGGCTGGATCCGCGTCGCAAAACGGGTCGGGAGGAACCGCGGGCGGTCCTTCTCGGAGGGCGGGGCCCAGTGAGCCTTAGCAACGGCAAGGCCAGGTTCTGTAACGGATCAAATTATCAATTGAGCTGGCGGTTCCGTCGCCGTGTGTGGCTGGCTCCGTGGCCGTTTTTGTCTGGTTACGGTTCCGGTTCAGATCCCAGCGCCGTTTGTTTTTGTTCCGATGCGGTGAGCATGTTCTCAGAATCAGGAACCAAGGAGTAACAAAAGGCCCTGCTGTTTTCAAGGGCCACTTATAGGCGCGGGGTGGTGAACTATGCAGTAGCAGCAGATCGATGCAAGGAACACCCTGCTGCAACCCATGCGTGGTGGACATCTGCCGTCGATCCCTGAGCTTCCGTGGGTGCCCCAGAGCGTCTGTGTGGTGCACCCCGCGGTCATCGGGGGATGACAGGTTTCTGTGGGGGGGTGGCACCAGATGGCTGGCCAGTGTCCCGCCATCGCTCGGACGTCCATTCCCCGTGCATGTTTCGATATCGTGCGTTTGCTTTTTCCTAAGATGATCCAATCTGCTCCTCGATGGCCCTCGCCGAGAAAAATGCACACGTCCGAGCGATGCCAACGTATCATGAGGCGTGTGCCTTGCTGCAGACCGGCACCGAGCCTGGGCAGGCCCATCCTGGGCCCCCCGCCATGGCCCGCGCTGGAGCATCCTACTGCGTAGTTGAAGCACTCTCGTACCCGATGTGTCAGGACAGTGCGGAAAGCGAGGCAGGGAACGGAGGGGCGGACACTCGAGATGGTGCAGAAAGGATGCAGGCAGTGGGAGGCACGGTGCAAGGTGGAGGATTGAAGGATGCAGGTGGTCGGAGGGAGGATGCAAGGTGGAGGATGGAAGGATGCAGGCGGTGGGAGGGAGGATGCACGATGGAGGATTGAAGGGTGCAGGTGGTCGGAGGGAGGATGGAAGGTGGAGGATAGAAGGATGCAGGCGGTGGGAGGGATGATGCACGATGGAGGGTTGAAGGATGCAGGTGGTCGGAGGGAGGATGGAAGGTTGGGGATAGAAGGATGCAGGCAGTGGGAGGGAGGATGCAAAGTGGAGGATGGAGGATGCAGGCGGTGGGAGGGAGGATGCAAGGTGGAGGAAAGTAAAGGAGGAGAGAGGATGGAAGGATGCAGGTTGTGCAGGAAGGGTGCAGGCTGTGGGAAGGGTGCAGTTGGTAGTGGAGTCGCGGGAAGGGTGGTTGTCCGAAAGGAGTGCTGTACGAATACCACCTTGCTGCTGCGCTGTATGAATGCGAAACTGCTCACTTGTTGAAGCGTGGAGGCGTGCGAATATGCTTGTACCTTGGCTGACCTTGAGACCTTGCGCTGAGGTGCAAGGTAATTGTACACGCTGATCCTGCGTAAGGCACGAGAGCACATTGTGAACGCTGTTTCAATCATTCTGCACCTTCGACTGGGTGCTGACACTCTGCGGCCCGACCGCCGTCCTCCGGTCGATCCCCGTGATCCACAAAGATGGTGCCTGAGACGGGGGGAGACGTAAGGGAGAGTGGGAGAAGTGGGGGGGGAGGATGGGGTGGCGGAGGGGAGGGAGGCAGGAGAGGAAGGGAGGCGAAGAGGTGGCCAGCGGATCTTGCTCAGCGCTGACAGCGCGAAAATTCTTCGCGCTGGGAAAGACTCTCTGCAGTGGGGCCTCTGCCATGGTCCTTCTTGCGTAAGCTCCAGAACACCAAATGAGGAGCCGACAGGTGAAATGCTGTGGCGGTGCGTCTGATTTGCAGGAGGGCGAACGTGCCAGCGCCAGACGGCGCCAGATCTCCGATCATCCCTGACCGAACAGGCGCTGGCCCAAAACAAATACAATACAACCACAATGTGGTTAAAATGCTTGGTGTGGGAATGTTCATCAGCTACATGCGCTCTGCCGCGACGGCATGAGGCGCAAACATCAATTCTTCTCTGATCTCGCACATACTCTTCTGAATGCTACGGATCACTTCGATGATGGTCATACTTACGCTGGTACCTTGCAACTTCGCTGTGCCATGGACGAGCTCGACAGCAGTGAGCTTTCCGTCTCCGTCGTCTAGCAGCTCGAACAACGTCCGAGCATAGCTTGCTTCAATACCCTGCGAGCGAAGCCACGTCTGCACCCAACTGTCCTCACACATGGTCATCCACTCATTGACGTCCACCGAACCATTCCCATCGAGGTCGGCCTCACCAAAGAGCCTACACATGTTACACTCATGGCGCGCTTGCTTCGACCTCGCCTGCCTCACCATTACCTCATCACAATTCTGAACCGCATTGAATGTCTCTTGTATGAAGACAGCCTGGATCACTGATATGATTGCGAATCCGAGTATAGCATGGTGGCAGATGGAGTAAATAATAAACACCTCGTTGACGTCATTTACCAACACTCTGGCAGCGTTCGACGAACCGTTGAACGTGATTTCAAACATCGTGAATAATGCACGTGAGAAGGAGCCAAAGTACTCAAACACTTCTGCCTGTTCGTTGGCCGTTGACGGATCAGACTCAAAATAAAACGCAAAAAGCAACTGGTTGACCGAGAGAGCCAGCAACAAATGTATTGTCAGCAGGTAGAAGAAAGACCCCGCCACGGTCGAGACGCCACCTTTCAACGATTCCATCATTATGAAGAGAGTCTCTGTGAAATGACCTCAATCGCACCACCACGATCCGAACTGATCTACAACATCTACAGAACGATCCGGATCATGATCTGGCAGGCCTGATCCACCCAAATCGCAGATGGCTCTGCCGAAAGAGGGCCTGACCGACAACTCCGATCCCAATCGATCGACCAACGGATCGTCAGGATCAACGGCCTGATCGGACCTTGATCGATGGGTCGCGGCTTTCTGAGGGCACGACTGTGCACGAACTTGAGGATACGCGCGAGGCGCGCCAAGCGGGCTATGCGAGCCATCCGCAGGAAACTCAGACGCGAGCCGACGTGCTTTATGAACTCGCTGGAGAGCCACAGGGTGACAATCAGCGCGTCTATCCAGTTCCACGCCTCTCGGAAAAAATCGAAGCGCAGGGCGACAAGCTTGAGAAGGAGCTCCACCAGGAAAAACGCACCTGGAGGCCTTCAAAATGGTGCCCAAGCAGATGGGGTCGGAAGGATCGTGCCGCATCGCCGATGCCGAGGCGATGCTTCGGAGATACGTCGGCGACGTCGGCGACGCATCGGCGACGTCGGCGCAGAGACAATTCGGGCTCCGCAACGAGCCGCATCGGCGGTGCATCAGCGAGGCGGCGCGGTCCTCAGAGCCCCTCTGCTCGGACCCCACCTGGGAGGCCCGGAGCACCGAAGGCCGTGGAGAGCGCATCGAAGACCTCCCGGGCGTGGGGCCACACCTCGGCCGAGTGCCCCCGCGCGCTGGCGTGCCCCGTGTCCTCGGCCAAGCTGAACCCAGCGTACTGCGCCTCCGTCGCGATGAGAAACGCGTTCGCGAAGATGACCACCCCGACGACCGCCTCGAATCGGGGCAGGGAGGGGATAGGCTCTCAGGTCGGGCATGTCCTCCCACAGGCGAATTCTGGAAGAACAGAATTTGAACAACAGTTGTAACAAAAATTACCCCAGTGCGACCCTACCTAGAAGTTGGAGCCCCTAGGAAAGCAGCATTAGTTGCTATGCCATGCCATGCTATGCTGCGCTATGCTGTGCTATGCTATGGTGTGCTATAATATGCTATGCTATGCCTTTGATTTGCTGCTATGCTCTGCTATGCTCTGCTATGCTATGCTATGCTATGCTATGCTGCGCTGTGCTATGCTGTGCTGTGCTGTGCTGCGCTATGGTATGATATGCTATACTGCACTATGCTATGCTATGCTGGGCTATGCTATGATATGCTGTGCTGCGCTATGCTATACTACGCTATGCTATGCTATGATGTGCTCTGTTATGCTAAAGCTCAGCGAAGCTAAGATGAAGGTAAGCTAAGCTAAGCTAAGATACATCTGAGGTAAGATGAAACTAAGCTAAGCTAAGATGAATTAAGCCAAGATAAAATTAGATTAACAACGCTAAGCTAAGGAGACGTCACTGGGGGAACCGCGGGGCGGATGCCGGGGGAACCGACCGGGGCGCATTCCACTGATCGGCCCTTTAAGCTTACCGAGTAAGAACCCTTCTAGGCAGAGCCTAGGTAGGGAACAATCAGACAATCAAAAGAGCATGACAACTCGTCACCACACTATTTGTTCCTATTCTTGGATATTCCTCCCGTAGAGGGACATGCCCGACGTAAAGATAGGCCAGCATCGCGGAGGAGAGAAAGCTGGAAGCAGAGAGGGCAGACGACGCGAACAAGGAGAACTTTCGAGGAAGTCGGTGCGGTCGCTCAGCCACGCTCCTGCCTTCCTCCTGCTTGTCGTTGCATCCCGTGGTCTACACCACGGGATGCAATGTACTCGATGGTAAAACAAAGCGTACACACATAACTGCTATAGCAATTGTTTCTGCCAGCGGAGATACGGCAGCAGTGAGCCATCGTAGTTACCACGCTGAGGCACACGAGTACATCTCAACGCTTGCAACATGCCGAACACACACTGCATATGCAAAGTGTTTCAACTGTTCGACTTGGTTGACTCTTCGGGACCTCTTGGGGGACGCCGGGCAGGAAGATGCGAATGATATGAGGGGAACGAGGAGGACGCGGACGACAGGAGGAATAGGAGGCAGGAGGACAACGAGGAGTAGGAGGAATGGGATTTGGAGGTAGAGAGGGACAACGAGGAGTGAGGACAGGGAGTTCGGCTAGCGATCGGGGCCTCGAACACTGGCGAGTTAACTAGCCTCCACATGATGCTCCGGTCGGACGTCTGCGACACCGAGCTGGTGGTGCTCCTCCGCAGCGACTTGAACGAGCCAGACCTGGACACGCAGGAAGGAGAAGGGAGGGATGAGGAAGGGAAGAGGAGCAGGGAGGAAATTGATAACGAATGTTTCTATATAGCGGGAGAGACGTAGAGAGAGAGGGAAGGAGAGAGAGAGAGAGATAAATAGAGAAGCTGAAATGTATGTATGTACGTACATACCGACACACATGTACACACATACACATAGATGTATACATATGTGTACATCATGTGCACATGATAGGCATACCCAACAACAATGAACACATAAAACACTAAACACAAGTGTATCGATTGTAACCATATATAAGACGTGTGCATGTATATGTGTGTGTGTGTGTGTTTGTACGCATGTCTAAGCATTTATATGAATACAGGCGCCTTACCCGATGGCCGTGAGGCGTCTGGATAAATTCGCTGCGGCGCCGGCCGCGCCCGCACAGTAGGCGGGGCGAGGCCACGGGGCAGCGGCCTGGATGGCAGACGGACAACATTGGTTACCGAGATGCTTTGCCAACCACCCTGCCGTCTTCGCGCTGTGCCGCGCCAGCGGCGAAGTCATGAGAGTGGCCGTCCCGGCGGGCGGCGAGGCGGGAACGCAGCGTCGAACCGGGCCACGACGTCATCAGGAAATTTCGAATTCGGCTGCACAAGGATCGCGTCCCGACATTTGGGGCGCCTTCGATCACATAAGTGTCCGAGGAGGCGCAGGCGCAAGCGGAAACAAGTACCGCAGCTCGGGCACGCGGAAGAGGCAGGGGCACAAGGTAGCGCTGTGGGGCCAAGACTTTGTGCTTGGTGCGGCGATGACTCTCAAGAGCCCGCGTGGTCGGGAACCTCCTGTGGCACTCTGGACAAAGATGAAGTAACGCCTGTGCGTCGTCCGCGGCATAGGCAGACGGCGCATCAGCAATAGAATCGGTCAAATGCACGCAAGCGATAGCAGACGCCTATTTCCCTGGGGATTCGAATATGAGCTGGTACCGTGGCATGGCATCACTCGGCTCAGGCACGTCCGCGCAAAAGGATCACTGTATCACGAATCGCTGTAGGTCCGACTGGAGCAGTGCCACCCGCGGTAAAAAGGACGGTCTCGCCAACGGGTCGAGAGGAACGCGATAACGCGCGGCGGCGGCCGACGGACCATGCGACCGAGGAGCTTGAAGCGGGCCCGGCATAGAAGACAATCGGTGCGCTCGGCATCTTGGTGCGGAGCCGCACCTCCCTGTCCGTCTCGGCGGGGCCGAACCGCGGAACATCGAAGATGCGCCAGGAGACCATCATATGCACATTCGTGAGCTAGCGGACGTGGCGCACGGCGGGCGCGAAGATGTGGACTGCGTAGAGAGTTCAAACAGAGGATGAGCGAGGCCATGAACGACGGCCTTGAAGGTACGGGTGCCGCCGGGGAGCTGAACATCTTCGTGCCCAGAGGGACGCAGGCCTGCATGGCGCCCGCCTTCTTGTGCCTGGCGTCGAGCGCCAAGTTGCCGGACGTCCGATACCACGTCGCCCAGATGCTTGCAGCGGTGAACAACCCTGACGGCCACGTGCAGCATCGAACCAGGGATCGGAAGGACTGGCTCGCCGCTGGCACCAGCGCGGCGCGCCTGGCGTGCCGCGGTGCAACCAGCCCCCCTCTACTTGAGAAAGGCCTCCGTCTTCGTCGGCTTGAAATTCATCTCCAACGCAAGCACAGAACACAACGACGGAATGACCTCCATCATCTTGTCGATGGCGGCGTCGAGGCAGGCCGGGGGCGATGCGAACGCGAAGATGGCCTCGTCATCCACAAACGCATCATCTACGGAATCGACGCCCACGGCGCCGGAGGCATCGGCAGGCGAGGCGGCGCCCCAGATGGTCGGCGGACCCTGCCAGAGCTTGACTGCGAGGCCGAGGTCACTGAGCTCCTCGATGATGAGCCGCATTGCTAAGGCGAAACGGCTGTTGAAGACAACCGCGCCGCACCTGCATCTACCGCCGCCCACGAGAACCGAGAGCGCCGTGTCACGCGAGCCGAAGGTGACCCGTGAGACCACGTGAAGGTTTCAAAGTAAGCGGGCAAGCTTTGGGCACATTCCCCAGGCCAGGAACTGGGAATGGCGCCGCAAAGCCCGCTGCGCAACCCAGAGGGCCTGCTTGTGCGCGAGGCCACGGGCGCGCAGGCAGGCGCAGGGGTCGGGCTCTCGCGGAGGGGTGCCGAGGGTGACTTCGCGGATGATCTCGTCGAAAGCCTTGGCCAGGTTGAGGAAAAACGCAAGGTTCGAGGAGCCGCGGGCGTCGCAGTACGACGTGAAGTACTGCAGCAGGAAGGCGGCCATGCCAGCGCCGCGTCCGCGGGCAGCGCCACGCTGGCTGTCCGGGATGCCCTCGTTGTAAGCATCGGAAACATGGGGCGCCCAGACCTCCTTCGCGCCCTTCGCAAGGTGGTCTTCGAGCGCAACGCCTCGGTGCTCACGGGGATCTTCGCGAGCACCTATGTTCTCGAAGACTTCGGCGAGGCGACCGCCAGCCCACTGCGCGGGCCACCGCGCCCCATCGGCATCGCAGCGGCACGGCGGGCAAAGCTTTGCGGCCAAGATTGCACCGCCCGCCTGCAGGACCCTCGGCAAAGAGAAGATCGCGCCCCATGCCACGGTCGCGGCGGAGCCGGCCAAGGGCCTGGAAAACGCCCTGCTCGTCGAACGCGACAGTGAGGGAGAGCGGCGGAGCAGGCGGTCGCCTCTCCAACGCGTCGTTGCGGCGTCGAAGACGCGCGCGAAATCCGCGAGCCAAGCCTGGTCACGCTCCTCGCCCGTCTGGGTCAGCTCGCCGCCAGAGTTGCGGACGCGCGCGGCCTGCTTCCCAACGCCCCGGCCAGAGAACGAGCGCGCGATACCATATGACGCCTTGGAGTCGCCGCGCATGGCTGCATCGGCCACGTCTTGAGCACGACTGCGCAGGAACGCGAGGCGGTCGGCGGAGACGAGCAACTTCGTCGAACGCGAGATGAAGCGCAGCAGCCGCCAGAACAGAGCAGCATGGCAACAATGCTGACGCCGTGCCTCGCGCAGACCGTCGACGCGAGCAGCGGCGCCCCGCCCGAGCGCCGGCAAGGCGCGCTGGGCGCGCCAGGGGCGAGGCGTCGCAGCGGCCCAAGCAGCAAACAGAACGCGGTGATGGGCAACGGAACGCTGTTCGGCGGCATCAGATGCCCCCCGACGCGTTGGCGTGACGTGTCCAAGAAAGGAACAGGTGGCCTAGGTGGCCTCAGTGATCCACGGCTGCCGCGGAGGGTCGCGCCGAGTGCCGGAAGGACTCCAGCGCCGCCCGACGGACGGCGCTCGACGAGCTGGGCGCGCTGCTGGTCCACGGAGCCGCCCACGAGGCAGAAGTCGCGGAGGATCTCCTGTAAGTGCTGGGCGCGAGCCAGGGGCGCAAGGTTATGCTTCACCACCACCGCCGCGGATGCCTGCCGTGGCCATATGCCAGGAAGTGGGACGAGTACGACGTCCGCCACGACCGCCAGATGTTCCCGCTGCGTTGCGAGCGAGAGGTCCGAGTCCGCCGGGCACCGCGCGCGGGGAACCTGAGGCAGATGCCGCGCCGGCCCATACACGTAGTCAATGCGGTGCCAGAAGCCATGAGTAGAGCACCAAGTGGGGCCTGCGTCAAAGAACGTGTTGCACGCTGCCATCTGCAGATGCCGCAAGAGGGCGACAAAGTAGAGAGCGTTCTCATTGATGTCCTCATTGTTGAACGGGCCGACAGGCGAGTCCGTGCCTGCTGAAAGCCGAGCGTCGGCATCTATCAGGGGTGTCGACGAAGCACGGCCTCGATCCTCTGCATTAGGGCCCGCCAGTGCTCCTCACAAGCCTCTGGCGTGGCCGACGCAGTGACCGCGCGCGCGGAAACAAGGCCGACGGGGATGTTGGCAGCGGAGACGGTGCCCGTGACAGCAGTGAAGCGGTCATCGGAAGTGAGGAACTCGCCAAGTTTGAAGTGTTGGGACTGGGCGACCCAGACCCGGCAGCCGCCAGCTCCATGAGCAGCAGCGCCAACAAACATGTCATAGTGGAGCCCAGAGCGAACCTCTCAGCGAAGAGAGCGCCCTTCCTGGACACCAACGATATGGAGGCCAAAGGCCGCGAAGCGCAGCTCCAGGACCTGCACCTTGCCCACCAGGAGGTTGCCAGCCACAGCGGTGTTGGCCGCCTCCCCATCCTCGGGGCAGAGCGTGCACACGCTGGCGGAGGCCACTGTGAAGCGGTGCTCCGCGCGGGCGGCCCTGCTCACATGACGAACCAACAACACACACCCATACCCATAGGGGGGTCGGAGAGGGCTATGGGTGCGTGTTGTCGGATGGGGGTCCCCGCTCGAACGGGAGCGTTCCCCAGGGTCCGACAACCCGCACCCATACCCATAACCAGTCCTCCTCTCAACGACCCCCCTATGGGTATGCGTGTGTGTGTGTTGCTCGTTCGTCATCACAGGTCCGGACTCTGGCCGCGGCTCCTGGAGCGGCGGCTCGGCCGAGCGCGAGGTCGCCGCACAACGTCGCCCGGGACCTCCTGGAGCGGCTGCGCGCCCGCCGGACGCACCCGGCGGGGCGGGGCAGGCGGCGCGGGCAGCGACGTCGGGAGCGGGTGCTTCGCTGGGGCGGACAGCCCTCCGCAAGGCCCGCCACCTTCTCCTGACGGGCGGGCGTGGTGGTCCTTCGCCCGTGGAAGAACCGTCTGGGAGCGGGCGGAGAGGCCGTTGCGATGTGTGTGTGGCCTGGGCCCCAGGATCGGCCTCGAGCGCGCCAAGAAGCTGCTGCAGCTGCGTCTGGAGCGACGTCATAAAGGTCCGAGCTGTGAAAGGGCGAGGCCTGGGACTCCAGGGCAATGGCCGCCTCCTGCGCCGAGGCCTTCTCCGCGACAGTGGTGTCGCGGAGCAGCGCGGAAGCAGGGTCTTTCAAGCCAGGTTGCGGGAGGCTGGGATGCTTGCGCGAGCACGTGAATCGACAGCCCACAGCGAACGAACAATTACTTGCACACCATGGATTTTACAACCTGTACATCCAGAAACACACATGGTGCGGCCCACGCTTGCAAACACATAGACAGATTCACCATAACCCCCAAAGTTGCACATAAGAAATAAAGGGCAGGGGGGACCACCCTGTAAGGCTCAGAGAAAGCTTGAAGAAACCCGCCGCAGGCGCCGATCTTCACCAAATCAGTGGGAAGCAACGTGGGTGGGTCGCGGGTGGGCCTGCACTGGGTCGCGGGCGGGTCACGCGTGGATTACGGGCGGTCCGCGGGCGAGGACGACGGCATAACAACTTCAACGATCACGGTGAACATGTTCGCTCTGCGTCGTTCGCGTACCATTTAACATGTGTACTTCCAAACCCTCGATACCCGCCCTTTTCATCTTTGATCGTACCCCCACTGGGGGGTGCATCTCCCTTGCCTGCCAAGTGTAGTTGACGCGGCTCCACAACTTGGGAGAAGGATGGAGGAAGAACAAGCGGATAGAGCAAGGACGGGCGGAGGAAATAAGAGGGGCGCGGGGCAGAAAAGAAGATATAATACTTGATGCCGAAGCATGTGTAGCAGGAGGGCGAGGAACGGGAGAGGATGGAGGGAAGAGAAAGTAGAGGGAAGGAGGGGGGAGGAGGAAGAAGGGGACGCGGAGGAGGGAGCACGAGGAGGACGTGGGCGAGAACGGAAAAAGGAGGGGAGGGCGTGGACGAGGGAGAACGACAGCGAACGGGCGAGGAGCGGGGAGGACTTCTGAAAGATCTCGGTGACTAGCCGCCTCTCCTCGCGCTCGCGGACCGACGGGCGCGACGGCGCCGCCAGGGACCTGCCCGCCGGCGGCCTGCCCCCCTGCCCTCCCCTCCCACCGTTCCCCCGTCCTCCTCCTTCTGCTGCTGCCCCTCCTCTTCCTCCTCCTCTGCCTCCTCCTCCTCCTCCCTCCCTCCCTCCCTCCCTCCCTCCCTCCCTCCCTCCCTCCCTCCCTCCCTCCCTCCCTCCCCCCCGCGGCAGGGGGGGGGGCAGTTACCGCTTTGCTGGGTACGTTCTCCTGGTGGTCGGCCCTACGCCGTGCAGGCATTTCCACAATCAACTGCGCATCACGGCTGGGGGGAAACAGGCCGGCTCTTTTCGCTCCTGGATCTGCGCCGTGGCGCCCTGCCCAGAGCCGTGGCGTTCAGCTGCGCCCGCGACGCTGGTGCCATGCTCCGCTCTGGCTATCACACACGGGGATTGTGCATTCGATTGAGAGGTGGGGCCATGTGGATCGTGAGTCCCACGGGGCCTTCGTGCCCGCTCGCCCTGGGGTACCAGAACATTGGCACATGCCAACCGATTTGGCTAGGCTGACGGTCGGAGAATGCTTTCGCAATGAAGAGGTGGCACGGCCGTCCCCCACACGAACCGTGCCATCTCGTCTGGGCGGCGAGTCACAGGGAGACGAGGTAGCTGCCCACGCCCTGCCCGTTTCGTGTGCTTCGTACCTGCGGGTGTGCGGCTCCTCCCCTCTGGGAGGCCAGGGGAGAGCACCGTTTCACTCCCTGGATTCCATGATGTCATGATCTATCCATCCCTCCACCCTGCCGCTCCTCCGGTCCCCCCCCCCTCTTCCCCGCACCTCCTCAAGCTCCTCCTGCTCCTCCTGTCCCCTCCTGTCCCCTCTTCTTCCTTCCACCTTCCTCTCCTCCCACTCGCCCTCATTTGTTCTCCTCCTTCTCACTCCTCACTCCTCGCTCCTCACTCCTCCTCCTCCTCCTCCTCCTCCTCCTCCTCCTCCTCCTCCTCCTCCTCATCCTCCTCCTCCATCCCCCCAATATCCCGCTGTCCCCGGAAGGACGAGGGAGAAGGGAGCATGGGGGAGGGAGGAGGGGAAGAGGGAAAAGGGATTGTCAATAAGGCAAGGGGGGCGGGAGGAGCGAAGAGGGAACAGGAGCAGTGAATGGAAAAAGGGAGGAGGACGCGACATGGGAGAGGAGAACATGAAGAGAAAGGCACGAGGAAGGAGGAACGAGGAGGGATGAGGAGGGACGAGGAGGGACGAGGGAAAAGGAGGACGGACGAGGAGGGATGCGGAGGAGGCTTCTTCCCCGCGGCGCACGTAGACGGAGACCACCCGCCAGCGGACGCCGTCGAAAAAGGCGCGTCGGCGGTCATGCGGGAGTCATTCCTCGACTTCTTGTCAAGGTGGGGCGGCTCCTCGTCGGACGCCTGGGACACCTCCTGAGGTCAGTGACGCCACAAGTGTGGTAGCTTTCCCCCGGGCAGCACTTGCACTTACATGTTCGCACGTGGCTTGCCTCAGGACTTGGATGGGTCAGCCAGGGTTTCGCCTGGTGCCCACTCGGTGGGCGCCCGTGAGCGCCTGGTGGTGGGAAGGTCTGCCGAAGTTTCGCCTGATGCCCGCCCGTGGGCGCGTCGGGCGCTGGGCGGCTGCGTATATTGCACTACGGATTTGCTTGGCACTGCGTGGCGTATTGCCGCGTAGCTCACACCACTTCACTTACACCACGCCACATTGCACCACACTGCTTGCACCACAGATGTTGCACCGCGTAGCCTCCACTACATCGCTTGCACCACGTAGCTTGCGCCACGTAGCTCAAACCACACGGCCTGCACCGCACACCTTGCACCGCACAGCCTGCACCACGCGGCTCGCACATTCACAGGGCAGCGACGTTCTGCTTGGGGTCAGCCCTGTGCTCTCGTTCCCCAACGCAGCGCTTGCACTTCGGTCTCTTAGCTGTGCTCTGGGGCAATCGAGTGGGTCCGCTGGGCCAGCACCCCGCGACGGCCCGTGGGGCGCTACGTGGGCGCTCCTGCGCTGGCTGGGTCTGCTGGCGCGCCGCCAAGCGGCAACCCGTGGGCGCGTCGTCTGATTGGCAGCGTGGGCGAGTCGCGGGCGACCCGTGCTGCGCCAAGGTCGATGGAACCACAGCTTGCACCACATGTCTTGCATCGCTTCGCTTGCACCACGGGGCTGGCACCACGTGCCTTCCACAACATGGACCGCACCACGTGTGCGGCACCGTGCAGCTTCCGCCAAAGCGTACACAGCATAGCTTGCACCATGAAGCTGGCACCACATTGCTTCCACCACGTGGCTTGCACCACATAACCTCATGCCCGTGAGAATAAACACTAGGGGATAATAAAGTTCGGGGTTCAGGGAGAGATAATAAAAGTAGCCCAGCAGACCTCAACATAATCTCGAAGTAAGAGATGATCAAGATGAGACCAAGCCGAGCACGTTTTGAGACATCCTTGGCGTTTAGTTTTCATAGAAATATCCTCAACAATGGCTTATCTCTCATGACAAGTGTTTTTTGTAAGTGCTCGTGTAGGGTAGCTCATGTGCCTCAATTTCCATGGATAATCAACCCCAGAGATAAAAAAAGTTCAGGCGAGCGTGGGGACAGAGAGAAATATAAAAGAAGAAGAATACAGTAGAAGAATAATAAGAAAGAAAAAGAAGAGGAGAATAAGAAGAGGACGAAGAAAGGAAAAATCCAAAGTTCCAAAGCTATCAACTTAAATTTACAAACGCTTTATGAACATTGATTTTTTTAAGTGCTCGTGTAGGGTAGCTCACGTGCTTCATTTTCCATGGATAATCAACCCCAGGGATAAAACAGTTCAGGCGAGCGTGAGGACAGATAGAAATATAAAAGAAGAAGAGGAAAGTAGAAGAATAATAAGAACTTGCTCGTTTCGTTTGAGTCTGCCTCCCAAAATTATTGGTTTCGCTTGACACATCCTGAAAAAGTGTGATCGCTTCGCTTGATGTTGCTATATCAACATCGCTTGATGTTGCTATCTCAACATAGCGTTTCGAGGTGATAATGAAGTTCGGCCTCAGCGCTCGCCGCCCAATTTGAATTTTGTATAGGGCGACGATAATCAACTCTAAACACTGAAGGGGGGGGTCCCTTTATTATCATCGGTATGCGGTTAGCGTGCACTACATAGCTTAAACTACATGTATTGCAACACGTAGCTCTCACCACATAGCTCCTATAATCTAGCTTATACAGCATAGCTTGCCCCAAAGAGCTTCCACTACTTGCTTGCACCCCATAGCTTGAAAACCAAATATTACACCGCATAGCTTGCACAACTCAGCTCGCCGCACATAGCTTGCACAACATACCTCACACTTTCGGAGTGAAGCATCTCAATGATTGGGGTCCATGCCAGCAGACATGTTTAACACGTTCGGACCTCTGAGGGCCTCCGGATGCCTCGAAAGACGTACGTGGTGGAGGGGGAGGCGGAGGCGAACGAGGATGAATCATGATGGATAAGGGGGAGAAGGGAGGAGAAAGGATAGGTGAAGGTGCAGGGAGGAGGTGTAAGTCAGAGGTGATTGTGAGGAGTTGGACGATGTTTGAAGAGGGTCAAGATGTGCATCAGCTGCGACAGCAGGAGGATCAGCAACGCAAGCCTACTTGCTATCGTCACGGACAACTCGAACCCTGATGAGCGAAGAGGCGGACAGATAACGAGGGAATCTGACTTTGGTGTGGTCGCCCTCGTGATACGTGGATATCGGCGCATAAGATGACAATCGCAGACGATGCTCGACACCTGCGATCCTCACACTACTACCCCGCACATCTTACCACTATGACGCGGCGCAAGGGAACTGGATAACTAAGGCCATCCTACTCGTCATGTACCTCCTTCTCCTCCAGCTTCACCACCTTCCTCCTCACCATCCTCTTTCTCACTGCGAAGAAAACCTGCCATCCGTAGATCCACGGCCCCGCAACATCCTCAACGCTGCCACAAAGCTTATCGGCAGTAGAGACACAGAGAACATCAACACCAAAGCCGAATCGGCCTGCGCTGGCCGATCGGCATGCCAGTCGAGCAAGCGCTCCGGCGGCGAGGGCGAGCCTCGTTCGCGCACCGAACGCAGCGCTCATCGACCACACTCGGCTCGAAACATCACCACAAGAACGTAACATCAAGGTCACGAGCTCCTTCTACATGGGACCAGGGCTCCATGGAGATACCCTAAACGAAGGCAGTTCCAGAGCGGAGGGCCCAACCACGAAGAATACAAGGGTACCCCTCCAAAGTTGGGATGTTCTTCGCCCTCGTGCCAGCTGTTCTCAAGTAGGGGATCGAACTCTATCGGGGATCTTCTGACCGGGGTCAATCCAGACCCGGGTCAGCCGAAAACCAAAAACTGCAATGCAGGAAAAAAAAACTGCAACGCAGGTCTTCGCAAAACCCGGGTCAACCAATATGTGCGGCCGCCTCGCGGCCACGAGCGGCTCGCTAACCCGGGTCAGCCAGAGGGGGTCTTCGCAGGATCCTGCAGGATCTGGCGCTCTGGCTGACCCCCGTTGGCATTGACCCCCGTCTCAAGGCTCCCGACTCTATACACCAACGCTTCTTCCGGCCTTGCATTGGAAATTGCACTGGAGAGCGGATCCTGGTGTATACGGGACCCTGGTGTATGCATTTTTTCGTTGTTTCCCCGGGACATCGGGGAAAACAAGTATATACCATACCACCCCGACGTCGCCCCCGACCCTCAAGAACTCCTGGGATCGAACAACAGCCCGCCACTGGTAATGTATATGTCCCAGTTTCCGATCAAGGTGGCCGCTGGGCGTTCCCCGACAACGAGTCCGACTGGCGCCTCGTTCGCCGAGCGCGTTCCACTACTGGCAGAGTGCCTACTCGCAGACGTCCGAAACAGACACGTCTGCTTCGACATACGTTCTCGCAGATTCCCCCTGGCGGATGCAGGACATGTGCGAGCAGTTACTTTGCGAGTAGTGGAGCGGGCTCGTCGACTCGTGGCCACGCGGTCCGACCGCCGTCGCCGTGCATGATGAGCTCACGTGCGCCCGTGCCGCGCTCGGCATCTGAGGCCGCCTGCGCCCTCCTCCTCCTCCTCCTCTTCCTCCTCCTCCTCCTCCTCCTCTTCCTCCTCCTCCTTCTCCTCCTCCACCTCCTCCTCCTCCTCCGGGAGGAAGGACGGGGGGAGGAGGACGAGGGACGAGGCTGGGGGAGGGGGTCGGCGGCTCTGATGAAGATGACGGTTAATGATAATAATAGGTGCGCAACTCTTTCGGTATACCACATAACATTACCATAATCATCGTTGCCATTACCATTATCATCCTTCCGCTTCGCGAGAACGAGAGAGAGAGAGAGAGAGAAACAAACAAATATATGAACTGATGTAGAAAGAGTCGAGCGAGGAGAGAGAGGGACTTGTTGTGGCAGCGTGAGGCGTGCGGAATGGGGTGGTGGCCCTTTTGAACGGAGCCTCGCCGCGGGAATGGTCGCACAGCGACCTGTGAGCGCTGCTGGCGCCGTTCTGCCAGTCGGATCTCGCCGCCGCCCGGTGGGTAAAAGGCCACCTCGACGCGCGGGAAGCGGCGGAGCGAGAGGTCTCCGAGGAGGACAGGCGCGGCAACGCCGAGGCGGACCGGCTCGCCAGGGCGGCGGCCACGGCCCGTCTCCCCGCGGCGGGGCTCCTGCAGGCGCGCGGGGGGGGTCCAGCTCCACGCGCTGACGGTGCTGCAGACGATACTCGCCGACGTCGAGCTCGCGGCCGTGAAGGCCAACCACAGCTGCGCTGGCCCAGGCCTGGGCCCCCGCGTGCAACGGCGCTGGGCTGGGCCCCGCCCTCGCCCGCGGCCGGGCAGGCGTGCCCCTCGGGGAGCGGACGACGCGGCCGTGGCCGCCGCGGTCGCCCCCCGCGGCCAGGGCCGCGTGGCCGCCGCGCCACGGCATGGTGGCGCCGCAGCGGCGCAGGCAGCGCCGGCAGCGCCTGGCGTGCGCACGTGGCCTTGGCGGGTTGGGTCGCCTGCCTCCGCTGCAGGTGCTGGGCAACGCGGTGGCAGGCCCTCGCGGGCCGCCCGTGTGGCGGGCGTGTGCCAGTCCTCCCGCCACGCGCGGCCGCGCTGCTGCTCTTGCCGGCGGTGCGCGCGAGTGGCGCCGATGCCGCGTGGCGGGCCGCTCTGCGTGAGCGCCTCGTTGAGCGGCCAGGGGCGCCTGGTTCATTCAGGCGAACTCGCCGGGGGGCGTGTTGGGGCGCGCTCCTCCCCCGCCTTCCCTCCCTCCCTCCCTCTTCCTCCTCTGTGCCACTCGGATTTCTCGCGCTCGTAAAAAAGTGGCAGCGTGAGGCGTTGAGTGTTCCACATGTGCCAGAAGCAGGCGACACGGCTTGTGGGTATCAATGCCCGTGCGCCCCACCGTGCAGGCCGCGAGCCCCCTCCGTGCAGGGCGCGAGCCCCCTTCCGTGGGGCGCAGTCAAGGTTGTCATCGCCGCCGCCTCCGTCACCTCCACCGCCGCCGCCGCCGACGCAGTCCTCGCCGACGACGTCGTCATCGTCGTCGTCCTCCCCGTCGTCGTCTTCGTCGTCCTCCCGCTTCAGCAGCGAGCCGCGCGCCCCCTTTGTGCAGGCCGCGACCAGCGCCTGCAGCCGCTGCACCTCCGCCCGCAGGCGCCCGACCTGCGGGGGGGGGGCGCCTCACGGCGGCGGAGAGGGCGGCGGGGCGGAGGGGGGAGGGGGGGGAGGCGGGGGAGTGTGGGGGGGGGCGCGGCGGCGCGGCCGAGGAGCAGGAAGCAGGGAGGGAGGAGGGAGGAGGAGCGAGGGAGTGGAGGAGGAGGGGAGGGGGAGGGGTGAGGGGGTCGAGGGCGAGGGAGCGGAGGAGGAAGGCTGGGAGGAGGGGGGCCGAGGACGGGAAGAGGGGGGCGGAGGGAGAGGACGGCGGTTGGAGGTGCAGCGGAGGAGCGGGCGCGAGGGCGGGCAAGCTCCCGAGTGACCTCCTCGCTGTGGGCCTCCCTCGCCCGGTCGATCCTGCCAGGGGTGTGTCGCACACATGGCGGGAAGCAGAGATTGAAGAGACCGAGGACTTCCGCCGTTGGACTCGTGAACTCGTGACTGAATCCCGCTTCCCGTGCTGGCGCCGCAACACACAGCACGTCAGGCTTCGCTCATGCTGGAATGAGCCCGCCCTGGCCCAACGATCATCCAACAATCATGCCACACAGTCTCTACAAGCTCGTGAAGCACACTGAGGACGAGATGGAGGGGAATGCAATAATAGCAGGCGCCGGGAAAGTCGGGCTGCACATCGAACCTCATCGCTGATGCATCGGCGATGCGGCGCGGTCCTTCTACCCATTTATTCTGACTCTACCAAGGACGCCTAGATGACTACAAGGCTCGACCTAAGCGGTGTTTTCAATTTCCGTTTTGTTTTACAATCCCTCGTTATGTCTTCGCTACGCCTTTGCTGCAGAACGACATCAGAACGAAAACAGTCCACGACATCGGCAACACACAAAACCGCTGAGGTCGAGCCCTGGATGAGCACCCTGGCCTCGGCCTCCTGGTGATCCTTACTCGCTCCATCCTACTTCCGCACCGCAGCTTAGCTGCCCCATGACGCAGCACGCAACCCGTAGCGTACTGATGCGGAAGACACGTGGGGCGCGACGCGTGCGCCAGAATGTGGGCCAATGCGTTGAGCCAACACGCAACCTGTTGGCACGGACGTTTCGAGCACTAAAACAGGGCTAGGATCGGGATAAATCGCTCCAGAGCGTTCCAGAGCGCTCTCAGAGCGTTCCGGAACGCTCTGGAGCGGCCGCGGCGCCCAATACATCCCCCAAACCCGCCGATCCTGAGAGATTTCGAGTTATCCCGATCCGATGTTGTCCCGATCTTCGCGTCGTTTTACCGAGGCAGCCCAGCTCCGCAGGGCTTCCGCTGGGCTTCCTGCCCCGCCTGGCGAGGCCCGCCCTCGTGTGGCGACGTGCCCGCCAACCGCCGCGGCCACTCCGCTGGCCTCCGCCGCAGAGGAGGAGGAGGAGGAGGAGGAGGAGGGACACGAGGACGAGGAGGAGGAGGAGGAGGAGGAGGAGAAGGATGAGGAGGAGCAGGACGAGGAGGAGGAGGAGGAGGAGGAGCAGGACGAGGAGCAGGACGAGGAGGAGGAGGAGAAGGACGAGGAGGAGGAGAAGGAGGGGGAGGAGGAGGAGGAGGAGGAAGACGACGGCCGGGGCCCTGTGTGGATAGAGCGCCGCGAGCCACAACAAAAACACAGCACTACCTGAGCTCTCGGCCCCCCCTAACAAAACAGGACGCTGCTCACCGGGGGTTTTGACAACCCCTCCTGGAGGAGACGAAGAAGGCTTCGACCCACGACTGCAAGCTTCTCGGGCGCGGCAGTGTCCCGTTCAGGAGGGCCCTGACTCTGTGCCATCCCTCTCGGGCCGGGCCGATCCGCGAGAGCCCCCTGGAGCCCTGACTGGGGCGAGGGAGCCCGGTACGCTAGGTCACCTAACTTCGCACGTCGCACCGCGCGATGCGCGACGTTCTTCGCGCTCTCGCGCCCTTGCGCCGCTAAAGGGCAACTGCTCTGACCAATTCCGTGACGCGCGAAGCGCGACCATGGTGGGCTTCCAGGACGAGCAGCGGCATGAATACGTCTGCTTCCTCTGCTTTTTCCTCCGGACCCCGTGCTCCCCATACAGCCGACGCCGTGACTTCTTCACAGCACGGATTCCCAGAGGTCTGACCACTTCCCTGGGACGGGCGTTCCATCGCCCGTCGCTTTTCGACAGCCCTGGGGCACGGCAAGGGTCCCTGGAGGCAGAAAGCTACAGAAAACCGCCCAATGCGGCGACGAGGGAAGGGGGAAAGGGTAGCGGTATCGGTACCTCCTCCTCCTCTTCGAAGCGGTCTCCCAGATGGGGTCGGAGTATATGGGGTCCGAGGATCGAATTGCATCGGCGATGCATCGCCGATGCATTGGCGATGCACCCGCGACGCTGGCGATGCATCGGCGACGTCGGCCTGGAGAAAATCGGGCTCCACATCGAGGCGCATCGGCGATGCATCGGCGATGCATCGGCGATGCGGCGCGACTTCCTCCGACCCCGTCTGCTCCGACCCCATCTGGTAGGCCCAGACCTTCTGATATGACAGTCAGACTCGCTTGGAGAGGACACGCGAGAGGATACAAGACCCTTCCGAGGGCCACCTTGCCACAGAAATGCCGGAGGCATGGGTCGCAAGACGGAGGACACGAGGGTACTTTAGTAGTGGAAACAATTGGTTTTCATAATGTTTGGTCTTTAGAAGCTCTGCGTGGCGACGCCCCCGTCGCCACGCGTGCCCTCCGCGCGCCTGCGGGGGCGCCGCCACGTAGAAGTGCTGGAGACCGAGCATTTGGGGCGTCGCTACGCACGCCCTCTGCGTGGCGGCGACCACTTGTTGAAACCTTATAAAACCAATGAAATTCGCTCACACAGTACCCTTGATCTGGCAGGGTCGACCTGCTAATCCGGGCCGCCTGTACCTCCTCGCCGCAGCGGGCGACCCCGCGCTCGGCGCGTGCTGCCCGGGCGCCGCCGGGCCCGAGGCCCGGGGCCCGGCCCCCGGGGGCCGCCTCCCGACCCGCTCCCCGAGCCGCGCCCCCGCGACCCGCGGCCGAGGAGGGCCCGCGAGGGGCCTCAGGACGAGGTGCCGTCCTGGAAAGCAGTTGGGCTCTCCCTCCCTGCCCCTCCCCTGTTTTTTTTGTGGTGTGGGGGGGGGAGGAGCGCACCCACTGAACTTCACCTGGCTCGGCCTCGACCGCTGTGCGAATCAAGAGGTCGCCGGGCAGACCGGGAACACTACCAGAGTCGATCCCTTCCCCTCCCCCGCTTGTGGCGACGGCCTCAACCAGCAGCGGCAGTAGCTGGGTTGGGTAGTGCCCCCGTTTCTCCGTCCGTTCCTCCCTCTTTCCTTTCCTCTTCCTTCCGGTCCTTGGACATTGGCAGCGACCCTTGCAATCTTGGAGCGCATCGCTACGAAACGCAAACAGTAAAAGAACACCTGGGAGTTTTGCAACTCCTCGCCACTCTGAGAAGTGAGAAGGGGAAAAGACCCAGGACCCAGACGGCGCGATTGCATCACAACGTGGACCCCTGGAGGTCTGGGCCCCTTCCCTATGACAGGTCTATCCAGCGATGGCCGAGCATTGCCGAAACCTTCCCGTCGAATTTTGTCGCAACGGGGCAAAGGATGATGGGAAGAGAGGAGACCCCCCCACCCCCGAGATCCAGGACTCAAAGCTGCCGTCCGTGCCGCCGGCCGCGTCGGCGGCCCAGCCGGAGGTGCGCATGGCACGGGGGCCGGAAAAAACAATCGTGGCAGGTCGAACGGACTCGGAGGAACTCGAGCCACCGCGACAACGGGTGAAGAGGAGAAGGAAGAGGGCGAGAAGCAACCGCAAGCACAAGCGGAGTATCAAGAAACATCGGCAAAGGACCAACACAATAATGACGAGGAGGGGGAGGACAAGGAGGGGGAGGATGAAGGGGAGGAGGAGGAAAAAAGAGAAGGAGGAGGATGATGAAGTCGACGAGGAGAAAGAGGACGATAACGAAGAGGACGAGGCGGATGACGAGGTTGGGGAGGGGAGGAGGAGGAGGATGAGGAGGACAACGAACACTAAGAGCAGGAGGATAACGAGGACCAGGACAAGGTGACCAACAGCACGAAGAGAAAACACACGCATAATTACTCAGGCTTTAGGACCCCGCATGACAATCTTCTCGGTTCATCTGGGAGAAAGCCCCGCCGTTCCTGCGATTGCGAACGTTCTCTTCCTGTCTCATCGGCGCCCAAACCTTTCTCCCCCTGGCGCAAGCTTTCCTCCCGCCCCCTGCTTCGCCTCCTCCTCCTCCTCCTCCTCCTCGCCCTCCTGCCTTGCCCCCCCCTCCGACACCTCCCCCACGCCTAACTATTGCAAAAGGGGTGCGCCTCGATTTCCCGTGGCGTTGTCGCCGATTCGGTGGGCAGGGGCACGTTCTGAAATGACCACATCGCGAAGCCGTTGGGGCAGCCTCGCGATTGGCAAACCCGCGGGCCGCCGGCGCGCGAGACCAAACCGCTGGGACCGCCCCGCGGGCTTCGAGCGGTGCGCGGCCGCACTGGGGTGGGAAGCAGCTCGGCCTCAGCCCTGCAGCTCGCCGCTCGCTTGTCCAATTCCCCGAGCGCCTTCGACGAACGCGCCGGCGGCCCGCGATCCAGAAACTCGCTAACTCGCGAAAGGGCGGCCGCGGGTTCAGCATGTTCCGCGCGCGCCCGGCGCGGGAAGACACGACGTAGAGGCGCGCCCACCAGTGCTCGTCAGACATGCCCGTGCAGCCAGCGTCCTCATCCCTGGTAAGTCGACGGCGGCGCCCTCGAGCAGCGTCTGACCCGTCGATAGCGCGAAAGTGAGTTTGGACGCGTGCCTCAGGGCGGACCCCGAGCAGCGCACAGCGTGCGGCCCCGAGCTCTGCCACGTGAGTTCCTGATGGCTGGGCCTGAACATGATTAAGGTCCGCGCCCGCGCCTCGACCTTGCCGTCGTCGTCCATGCCTTCGGTACCATGTTGCTATGTTGCAGCAAGTCGGCGACTTCCTAGTAGATCAGGGAGTCCTTGCAGCCGTACACCTGCATCCGAATCCCCTGCAGTGGGAAGCATGGGCGAACGAGCTCGCCTGGCGCGCACCCCTCGTCGGAACCCATAGGGAGGTGGCTTCCCGCTAGAAGTCCCCCTCACCATTCACTCTTAAACGAAGCTCCCACTCCAGAGTTCTTCCAGATCCACGATTCAAGATCCCAGAGGAAAAGACTGCTACAAAACATGGACGTCTCGCTCGAATTCCTAGCGCGATCTGCCGACTCCATGGGGAATGGGTTTCCGTTGGAGACTTTCTCACAACTCACTCATAGACGAAGCTTCCGCTCGAAAGCCCACGCCTAAGGAGCCCCAGAAGTGACGACAGTTACAAGATGTGGGTGGCCTTCTCGGGTTAGACTTGGCGGCCTCATAGAGAAATGGCTCCTGCATGAGACGTCGTCGCACTTCACTCGCAGACGAGGTTTCCGCTCAGGACTTCCTCGAGATCCACGCCTCTGGAACCCAAAAGTGACGATGGTTAGATTACATGGGCGACCCGCTGGGATTACTAACTTGATTTGGCGGCCCCACAAGAGAGGGGGCTCCCGCCTGAGACGCCCTCACACTTCACTCACAGACGAGGCTCCCGCTTGAGACTTCCTCCAAACCCACGCCTCCGGACCCAGAAAGAGGACCGTTACAGGATATGAATGATCCGCTCGGCTTAATAACATGATCCGAAGGCTCCATACTGAAGGGGGTTCCGCTTGACACCTCCTCACAATTAGCTCACAGACGAAGCGCCCGCTCGAGAACGCCTATAGATTCACACCTGAAAAAACCCAAACGTGACGGCACTTTAAAACTATTGGTGGCCCGCTCGGAAGACTACCGTCACCTGGCGGTCCCAGAAGGAAAGGGCTCCCGCCTGGGACTTTTCCACAATTCACACGCAGACGAGTCTTCAGCTCGAGACTGTAAATGCGGATGAGAGGTCAATGAATGCGTGAAATGAAAATGAACAGGGGCGACCTGTCCACTGAGCCCGAGGAAACGCATTGCATCCCCTAGGGAAATGGTAAACTGCTCAGGGCGGACGCTATGGTCGCCCTCAAAACCCACTGATTACCTGGAAACGAAAATTCACAGGGCATGCCAGGTGGAACGGAAAGTTCCCTACCTGCACAATGATTCTACATGGGAGGTGTAGTTCACAAGAGTAGGCTTGTGCAACAATTTGCTCCTTTTCGTGAACTTGTTCGCAACTTGTTCACAAGGCCTGTTGGAGCCACCGCGGCGTATGCTTCAACAGAGCGCACCTTGTGAACTGTTGCCCAGCCACGCTGCAGAGATAAAAGGCGACAGAGATACAGTGATTGTCCCCGCCTCAAGACAAAATGTCGAGTGGACAGCTGTAATGACGAAAAGGCGATCCCAAACTGCACAGGGAAATCCGAAAGGCATGCAAAACAGTAGACGAGAGTGTTGACGTCGATATGCACATCACGAATTCGTTGCCGATGACGCTGCTGGAGAACATAACACTATAGCGCAGACCTGAGCAGCGCAAGCCTGGGACACGATCCACAGACCAGGGCACCTCAGTGGGTTTCTCACCCCCGTACGCACGTGTGACATGCTGATGGTGTGACATGATGATGGTGGTAGTGGTGATGGCGTGAATGTGTATGAATGAGTGCGCGAGTGCGTGCGGTGATGGTGATGATGTGATGGTGAATGATCGATGGTAATGGGTGTGAGTGCGGTGATGGCGATGCTGCTGACGATGCTGTGATGTTGACGTTGATGTTGAAGATGACGTTGATGTTGACGATGATGGTGATGATGATGATGATGATGATAATAATGATCATGATGGTAATGCTGCTGCTGATGATAATGAACATCATGATGGTGATAATGGTGGTAGTGAGTGATAAGGAGCAGCGGGGGTGGGGAGAGGTCTGCGAGCGGTGTCCAGAGGAAACAATAACCCCACTCAGAAGAGGGAGAAATATTCGAAACGATTGCGGAATTCGTTCGGGATGTTCGCATACCCTGGGAATTCTCACAGGGGTATCCCAGGGGGTTGGAAGAATAGGACAAGGAAGGGAAACGAGGAGGGGAGGAACAGCAGATGGAGAGAGCTCGGTAAGACTCGAGTCTGGGCGGCCACTGACGATGGCTTGGCGCCGGAGTGGGACGGCGGGAAGGATGGAAGAACCGGCAGAAAGAAGAAAAGCGAAGGGCTGGAAGCATATAGCGTACGGAGGTGGGGCAGGCGAGGGGAGGAGGCGAGCGGGCGGGCAGAAAGCCTGGGGTGGAGGAGGAGGAGGAGGAGGAGGACGACGACGACAACCAATGCATCATGCACATGTCCGCGGGATTAAGGCTCAGGGACGACTGTTGGTGTTGCTGTTCATCTCTGAATTGGCGCGTCGTCCAAGGCATCCTCGATAATCCGAAAGCCGGACGCACCACTCACGCAGATCGCAGCGTCGAGGTCTTTGTTCAACGGTGTTGGTGATGATCAACAGCGCATTGCTGTTCATGAATTTGGGCATGACTCTCACATACACACACATGCTATTCGAGGGACTTGACGTGTACATCCAACTTTGCTATGACCATTTGTTCGTTCCATGCCCACAGTGCCGCGTCTCAGTTTTTCATTCAATCGCAAAGTGTGGCAACCTCATTGCTGCCCCCGCGCTTCTATTCAAATGCAATCGCAAGGTGTGGTACCCCTACCTGCGCAAAACTCGTCGCTCGGTGTGCTGATTCCATCCTCGCTCGACGGCGTCCTCCCCCGCTCCCTGGGATACATTCTCTTCCAACGTTTCGTCTGAGTGGGATTCATCAGAGGGCTCACCATCCACGGCACATTTACTCATCACTGTCATGGGCAGCACGAGGGCTTCATAAGGCGTCTTGGAAGGTGCCACGCGGGCCTCCCGCCATACGCACCTGCAGCGGCATCTCGATGGACACCCGTGGACACACCTTCTGATGGCTGCAAGTGTCAGTACCGCACGTTGGTATAACAGTTGCGTCGATTCCTCCCTGCTTACAGCGAGGGGCCAACGCACGAGGGGCCACGACGTGAGGGGTCCAAAGCACGCATAGGTTCAGGCAATGCACTCCTCCTCGTCCCTCCTCCTCCTCCTCCTCCTCCTCGTCCCTCCTCCTCATCCCTCCTCCTCCTCCTCCTCCTCCCCCCTCCTCCTCCTCCTCCTCCTCCTCCTCCTCCGACTTCGTTGAACCTCGAGCTGTGGCAACTCCGCGCGTGCTCGACTGCGGCCCCGCAGCTCCGCCTCACGCTGCACTCCTGACGGCACCATCCCAGACCGTCCCGACAGGGTGCTCGGTGGAAGGGCCAGGCACCGACTGCTCGTGCGTACATCGTGCAGCGGCTTTGCAATGAGCCTGGGCACGCACGTGCCGCTTGTTTGTGTGTGCATGCGTGCGAGTCCTCCCGCTGCCGGATGGAGGACGATGGGCAGGACGAAGAGGAGAGAGAGAGAGAGAGAAAGAACACGAGGATCGCAAGGCAGGCGAGGTGAGGATGCATGCGACATCAAGCGGGGCGGGGGCGGCATGGGGGAAGGCGGGGCAGGGACGCCGAATGCGACACGAAGACATCAGACCACAAGCATGACACGAACAGACAAGCAGGGAGCGGCGAGAGGGGCATGATATGGTACTGGGTGTGGAGGATCAGGAGCCGCAGGCAGATGAGATGGAGGAGGAGTAGGGGGAGGATAAGGACTATGAGGAAGAGCTGGAGGAGGACGACGGCAAGCAGAAGCAGGCAATGACGCGTCACTTCGGAGCGAGCTGGCACATCAGAGAATCGAGAGAGAGGGGGAGAGAGAGAGAGAGACACAAATCCACCGACCCTTCGGCGTGTGCGAGACACTGTCTTCGTCGTCGTCGTCATCGTCGTCGTCGTCGCCGTCGTCGTCGTCGCCGTCGTCGCCAGTCCCGAGACAATTGAGGAACGAACATAGACAAGAAAGGTTGCAATGAAGTGGATTCCCTTCCTTTCTCCCCTTCCCTGACGGGAGGGGGATTTGGGAGGGGGGGGGGGCGGCGAAGGGGGGGGTACAGTGCGTGCGTGCGTGCGTGCGTGCGTGCGTGCGTGCGTGCGTGTGTGTGTGTGTGTGTGTGTGTGTGTGTGTGTGTGTGTGTGTGTGTGTGCGTGCGTGCGTGCATGCGTGCGTGTGTGTGTGTGTGAGTGTGTCTGTTTACAGCCCCCGGGGGTCCCGGTGGGTCCCTGGGGGTGGACGTCACACCTGTTGGACCATGGAGCACGGAGGGGTCCTCCCTGTGCGGGGGCCACGCCCTGGCCCAGGCCCCGGCCCAGGCCCCGCTTCCGGCCCTGGCCCCGGCCGTGGCCGCAGCCCGGGCCCCGGGGTACCGCCGGGGGGGGGGGCGGCCCGGGGGCCCGGGGGAGGTCCCGCCTTCAGGGCCGGCGGCGCTGGCCGCAAGGCCCTCACAGGAAAGAGAGGGGCGCGATTGCTCGCAGTGATCTCCCCTCGGCGCGCCCTCCTCCTTCCTATTGTTCCTGCGAATTTGGTGGGGGGGGTCTCGAAGGGGATGGGGATGGGGATGGGGATTGGTTAAACGATACTGAATATCTGGCCCCCCGCTGCTCCCGCTTAAGTGCTGGCCTCATTTTCGGGCTTCCGCTCGTGCCGAATCGTGCTCCCGCTGCAGCGCTGGCCTCATTTCCGCGCTTCCGCTCGTTCCGAATTGTGCTCCCGCTGCGACGTTGGCGTCATTATTTCCAGTGCCATGCCACGGCATGGTTTTCGGTCCTTCCAAATAGGGCCCCAAATCTAGAAAACGGTCCCCCCCAAAAAACATCGGAAGTGATTCCACATTCGGTGTCGATTCAATGATTTTTGGGGGCGGCAGAATCCCCCCCACGTTGGGGCGTCGCCACGCCATGCTCTGTCATGCTTCGCGTTGATCTTCAACACCATGCTGTGCCATGTAATGCTATGCCATGCTACGACTTCAGACTGTGCGAATCGAGAGGGGATCTGCGCCATGGTGAGGGATGGGAGGGAGGGGCAGGACATCAGAAATGACGCAGGCGCACCTACCTTGCCCTCCCCCCTCTCCAGCTGCCTCTCTTCCTCCACGAGCGCGCCTGCGCAGTCCGCGGAGCACCCGCTCCACTTGCCCCAGTCGCCAAACTCGCAGTCGACGTCGGGCGAGCACTGCACGTCGTCGTTGCAGGGCTTGCTCTCCTAATTAGGCGGCTCCGGGCCGCGCTCAGGGCTCGGCGCTTCGGGGGCACGCGGGCGGGAGGGACCTCACAGAGGGATGGCGGGCAACGGGGGGGGAAGCCTGGAGAGAGCATGGGGCAGGGGATGGGGGGCGGACGAACGGAGACAGAGACAAACGGGCGACCAGAGACGGACACCGGAACCTGAAATCGGCACGACCACACTGAGGGGTTCTCGGTCTACGGAGGCCATTCAACGCAGTCCTGAGCAATGCAGTAGAGTTCAATGCAAAGCATTGCTTGGCACCGCGTGGAATTGGTTTGCATTGCCTGGCATTGCTTGGAATCGTTGCTTGACACTGATGTGGCATTCCTTAGATGTGCTTGATCATGTCTGACATCGCTTGGCTGGCTCTGCATTGCCTGGCATTGATTGGAACCGCTGCGTGGCATTGCTTGGCATTGCTTGGCACTGCTCGGCGTTGCGTGGCATTACTTGGGCTTGCACTGGCAATCCTGGGCAACCCCGGGCAACCCCGAGCAGCCCCGAGCAACCCAGAGCAACCCTGGGCAATAACCCTAGCACATGAAACACCGACGAAAGATCCAGCGCCCAACGGTTCCCTCCACAAAGATTTGCCAAGCCGCTGGGCAAGCGTAGTTGGGAAGACAAGCGTGCGAATAACCATACACATAGAGATATAGAGAAAGAGACAGAGAGAAAGAGAGAGATAGACAGAAAGAGAGAGAGAGAGAAGGAGGGAAAAAAAGAAAGAGAGAGAGAGAGAGAGAAACATGGTAGACGGGGAAACGGAAAGAGCAGCCAACACACGAAAATTATATGAGTGAGATTTCTTTACGTGTGTACGGATACATTCATGCGTACAGAAAAAGAGTCCCTAAATAAATGAGGCATGCATTTATATACATAGTTTAAACCAGAACTTAACACAAAAAGTCCGTGAGGGGGAAGGGGAAGAGAGAGAGAGAGAGAGAGAAACATATCCATAACTATGTATACAGATAAATGAATAGACAGAGAGGGAGAGAGAGGGCGAGAGAAAGGGAGAGGACGTGGACTGGCGCACGACTGTGAGGAAAGGGACGCAACATCAATAGTACCCTTGCGCAACGTACGATGTAGCATCAAAGGCAGATGATGATACTTAGGCGAAGGAGGGAGAGGTGCAAGAGGAACATGAGTAGCAGCAGCACCAGTAGCATCAGGCATCAGCGGGAGGAGGAATGCGAAAACGAGGGGGGAGGATGAGGACAGGGTGGCGAATTCGTTACGTGCCACGGCCCCTCTCCGTGCGCCGCGCCCAGATCTGCCTCCCGCCGCGCGCCGCGCAGCCTCCGCGACGACGCCCAGCACGCCTTCCGAAGCGACTTCTGCTCCCGCCCCGCTGCTTCGAGCACCGACCCCGAGGAGCAGACGAGAGGGAAACGGGGAGGGCACCCGCCCCCCCCGCAGACCGCGCGTCCTGCGACGGCCCCACGGCGGGGCGCCCGCAGTCGTTCGCCTCCTTGGAGACGAAGCGCCCCCGCCACGTCCAGCCGCCCTCGCAGGTGGCCGAGCACGCCTCGGGCGGTGCGCCAACTGTTCGCAGGCGTACGCTGGCGGTGAGCGTTGCCAGACGGGGTCCTGGCCCAAATTGTCCCCAGCTTTTCGCGCCATTTTGATGCCCCCGTGGCTCTCGTGGGGATCATCACCACCACCTAGGTGATCATCTTCGGGGACTTCGGCAGGCGATGGATATGGATAGTTACAGGTGCCCCCCCCCAGGGCCCGAGTACAGTACATCCATGTCCACCGCATGCCGAGGTCCCTGAAGATCAGTCCCCCGAGCACGCCTCGGGCACGACGCCGTCTACCCGCAGGCGTACACCTGCGGGTTGGACCACGGGCCCCGTGCCACCCGCAGTCTTCGGCGGGGCCGTCGGCGGGCCTCGCGCGGAAGCTGGTGGCTGCGTTTGCCAGGGGGCCCACGATCGAACCACCTGACGCGCGTGCACCGACCCCTGGCAGGGCCCATCATGGACCCTGTGCTGGTAGACGTGGCCCCACTGAGGGCCTGAGGGCGGCTGGGTCCAGGACTAAGCCGGCCGAGCACGCCTCGGGCAGGGCACCAACTGCCCGCGGGCGTACGCTTGCGGTGAGCGCCGCTCAAAGCTGATCCCCAATCTAACTTCGCTAGAGAGTCCCTATAGGAAACACCAAAACAAAAACGGTCCCACAAGGGGCCACGGAGCCCGAGACCGCCCGATCCGGCAACCGTTTCAATGCCGGCTACACTGTTGGTCCGGACGGCCACGATCACTTGTTAAAAAACACCAAGGTGCACATGGCCGTGTCTCGACCTCCTACTCCTCGACCCGTATCTTCCCCGTTGCTGCTACTGTGGTGCTTTGCTGGGGCATTTTTTCACGAAACGCGACGCCCACTGATCCCCAGGGACGCACGCATCGCGGCAACGTTAACCTGCGACGGGGAGGCCCCCACGTAAACACCCGACATGGGACACGAGAACACCATGAACGCCGAGCGGTGACCGTTGCTAGAACTGGTCCTGGCCCACCAGTGTCCCCAGCGTGTCGCCCACTTTGGTGCCCTTGGGCCCCTCTGTGCCTTTGTGAGGGGCGCGGTGGAAGCCGTCTGCGCCTCCCTGGGGAAACTGGGGGCCTCCTTGGGCCAGGACCTCCTCTAGAAACACCCCGTTGCGGGGAGGGGGAACCTCCGGGGGGGACCGGCTGAGGGATGGGGGACACATCGAGCTGGAATCGGCGATGCATCGCCGACAGAGCGGAGATAGGCTCCCGGCAGCGAGTCCGCACGCTGCTGGGCGGGGTGGGCTATCGGGCCCCTATCGGTGATCAACGGGCGATCGGGGACCGCTGAGCTGCCCCCCCCTGAGCCTATCGCCTTCAGCGTTAGGTCGGGCATGTCCTCCTAAAGGCGGATGTTGGAACAAACATTGAAGATGGTCAACAAATATTCAGAAATAGTCGAACATCGTTGCCATACGATTTCTTGACTAGTTTTGGATATTCCTCCTGTAGAGGGACATGCCCGACTCAACTTTAGCGTTGCCCCTGATGCGGGCTCGACCAAGCGCCCCATGTCACTCATCAGACTCTGGCGGTCCTCGGCGGTCTTCGCGCGGAAGCTGGGTGGCTCCGTTTGCAAGGGGGGCCTGCGATCAAACCACCTAACGGCGTGGACGCGGCCCCCCTGAGGGAGGCTGGGTCCGGGACTGGGCCGACCCAGTGTGGTGCCCAGACATGCCCGCGCCGTGAAACATCCCGACGGACGATTGTTGGCCGCGCTCGGCCTGGCCTCTGAGGGCCCTTGCCGGGCCCCTGTGACCGTCCAAAAGCAACTCGAGGGAAAAAGCGGCCCTGGTGCAAGGACGGGAATTCCTCGTGCCCTGCATTGAAACAACAAATATAGAATGTCCGGGTGTGGGTGGAGAGTTGGCCGCCCCCGACGCCTCCCACTCGCCCCACTCGGCCCACTCGCCGTCCATGCAGGTCTTCTCCTGGCAAAAGTCGGCGGCAAGGCACGAGCAGACCAGGATCGACTGGCCAAAAAGGTCTTTGAGAGACCGCCAATCCACAAAGATGTTCCTCCGATCCGCTCCCCTCTGCCCCTCTGCCCCTCTCTGGTTGCCTGGGTGATCTCGTTCTGTGGTGTGTACACTCGGCCCCAATTTGGCGATGCGCCCTCTCAGACGCTCCCTGGCCTTGAAGTCCCCTCCAAGGCGGAAGCTTGAGGGCCCCTCCCGCTCCTCCTCCTCCGCCGCGCCCATCCTCCTCACCCGCTTGCTCCCCCTCACAGATTCCTGCACCTCCTCCTCCTCCTCCTCCTCCTTCTCCTCCTCCTCGTCATCATTATCACCACCATCATAATCAGCATCAGCATCATCATCAGTATCATCACAGGAGCATCACCACCATCATCACCATCATCATCAGCATAATCACAATCATTGTCATCATCATCACCATCATCATCAGCATCATCATCATAATCAGCGTCCGCCTTCATCTTCCTCCTCATTACCAGCATAATCATCAACAAAAACAAGACCAGCTCCATCTCCATCACAATGGCCATCGCCACCACCGCGATCACCTCAACCATCATCATCATCATCATCATCATCATCATCATCATCATCATCAGCAGCAGCAGCAGCAGCATCATTATCATCATCGTCATCATCATCATCATCATCAGCATCATCATCATCATCAAAATCACCTCCAGCATCAGGATCAGCACCATCATCATCAGCATCACCATCATCAGTGTCATCATCATCGTCGTCGTCGGCATCGTCTTCGTTCTCATCATCATCATCAGCAGCATCGCCATCACCATCACCATCACCATCGTCCTCATCACCAGCATCATGATCATCATACTCATCCTCATTAGCATGACCATCACCACCACCATCACGATCGTAATCATCATCACCATCACCATCACCATCCTCATCCTCATCCTCATCCTCATCCTCATGATCATCATCATCATCATCACCATCATCATTATCAACATCGGCATCGTCATCACAATCACCATCTGCATTGCCATCATCACCACCAGCATCATCATCAGCATCATCACCATCAGCGTCATCGTCCTCATCATCGTCATCATCATCATCATGTTCATCATCAGTATCAGCATCATCACCATCAACATCATAGTCGGCATCGTGATCACCATCACGATCACCATCGCCATCCCAATTATCATCATCCTTAGCATCGTCATCATCATCCTCACCATCATCATCATCATCATCATCATCATCATGAGCATCACCATAATCATAATCATCGTCATCATCATAGTTATCATCATCAGCAGCAACACCATCAACATCATCCCCATCCTCATCTTCATCCTCCTCCTTCTCATCATCATCATTATCACCACTATTATCGCCATGATCGAATTGATCATCACCATCACCATCGCCATCGCCATCGCCATTGCCCTCATCATCACCATCACCACCATCGTCATCATCGTCATCATCCGTCTTCTGCCGTCCTCCTCCTCGCCCTCCCGCTTCTCTTGCCCATCCTCCTCCTCATCCTCCTCTCCCCCTCGTTGCCCTGCCATCGTCGTCATCCCCCTCCCGCCCTCTGCCTCTCCTCCCCTGTCCTCCCCCTCCTCTGGCGCTCTCATCCTTCGCTGCCGAATGGCCTCGCTGCCTCGCTAATCAAATCGCGCCCTCCGACCCCGAGCAGGTCGCTGCGCACTCGCTGGCACCGGCCATCATCGCACGGTTGCCCTTGTTGGCTCGGCGCCTCCCTTCTTTCCTTCCTTCCTTCCTCCCTCCTCCTCATCCTCCTCTTTCTCCTTTCTCCATACGCCTCTCTCCGTATCCCTCCCCCCTGCGCTCACTCCCCTCCCGCTCCTCTCTCTCCCCCCTCCTCCACATCCTCCAGTGCACTCCTGCCAACACACGCCCGCTCTCCCCCTCTTTCTCTGTTTGTTCTGCTTTGTTGTTGTTGTTGTCGTTGTCGTTGTCGTTGTCGTTGTCGTTGTCGTTGTTGTTGTTGTTGTTGTTGTTGTTGTTGTTGTTGTTGTTGTTGTTGTTGTTGTTGTTAATGTTAATGTTGTTGTTGTTGTTGTTGTTGTTGTTGTTGTTGTTGTTGTTGTTGTTGTTGTTGTTGTTGTTGTTGTTGTTGTTGAATTCTCATTTCTGAAGAATAATTATTGTTGATCCCCCCACTGGTGCATACTGTTTTTTCTCAATCAAAGTGTGCCCCTCGACGCTCGCACCTTGTTTTTTGACAGGGAAAGTCTTCCTGCTCAAACTGGGCCCCTGGCCCCCAGGTTACAACAACAACGGCTCCCGCCTGAGACTTCCTTACAAGTTAGCCAGGACCCCCGCTCCCGCCCGAGACATCCTCGCATTTTATTCAAGAATCGCGCTCTCGCTTGGGACTTCCTTTCAATTTATTCAGGAATCGCTCTCCCGGCGTTCTGGAGTCGCGCTCTCGCTGGAGACTTGCTTGCAACTTACTGAAGAATCGCCTTGCATTTGAATTTCCTGCAATTTGCCCAAGCGCCGCGCTCCCGGCACCCAGGCACCCAGGAGTCGCGCCCGTTGTGGCCCCATGTGCATGCCCTTCGTGGCCCCGCTGTCGCCATTTGTCCCCCTCACTGTCCTACGTGGCCAAGTTGCTACCCTCAGTGGCCCCATAGTTGCCTTCTGTGGCCCCGCATTATCTGCACTTCGTGGCCCCCGCTCGTTCGCGCTCTTCGTGGCCCCATACGCATTCCTTTCGTGTCCCCGTTGTCGCCCTTCGTGGCCTACTTCGTGCCCTTCGTGGCCCTGCTGTCGTTCTCTCTCGCTCTCGCTTTCGCTCGTCGCCGTCGTCTTCGACGTCGTCGTCGTCGTCGTCGTCGTCGTCGTCGTCGTCGTGGTCGGTCCCCTGTCCGTCCCTCTTGGGGTCGGATCGACGGTCCGCGGCCGCCCCGCCGATCAGCGCTGCCGCTGGCCAGGCCGACGGTCCGCGGCCGCCCCGCCGCTTGCCGGGGCCCAGCCTGCAGGGAAGAACGGTATACCCCCCAAAAAGGGTTCGATCGAAGACGAAGAGGGCGGGTATCGAGAGTTTGGGAAATACGTGTTATTGGACACTCGAGCATATAAGGGCGAGCAGTATTGAGATTGTTGTTGTTGTTGTTGTTGTCGTTGTTGTTGTTGAACATTATTAATTCTAAAGAATAATTATTGTTGGGACCCCTGGTGCACGGCCCCCCTGCGCCGCCTAGGCCGCAGCTACATTTTCATCATTTTCGTGAGGAAGCCTCAGGTAATTCGATGTGATCAAGATCCGGTTGTTTTGTTCCCCCCCGCTTTCCCTTGCAAAAAACACTATAAAATGACATTTCTTGTTCTAATATAATCAAATTTCAAGAATCCCTTGCAAAAAATAAGGTAAAGTGGACATTCGCGCGCGCAAGACGAAATCCTTCCAAAAGCTTAGTGTTCGGAGCGATTTTAACATAAAAACATCAAAAAACCAATGGTTTTTCAACAAAAAAATGTCAAAATCTCATCCCGCGCGCTCTTGCGGATTCGTAGGAAAACCAACACTTTTTAAACATTTCTGTCAAACGGGCTTTTGCGAGCAACTTTTTCGAACTTCTGCGACAACGGTTGCGCACCTGCCAGGGCCATCATCCCTGTCAAATAATACCATCATCCCAGGAACTTGACCCAAAAATGTGACCAACTCCGCTCTCTCTGTCTCTCTCTCTGTCTGCTCTCTGTCTCTCTCTCTGTCTCTCTGTATTATGTATTGTATGGCACAATTGCACCATGCTGGGCACATGCGCGCCCCGAATAAGTGACCAAGTTCTGTGGGTGTGTACCCCACGCCAGTGTAGTAGCCACGGTCGTCCGCACGCCACGAAGTGAAGTGTCCCAACGTCATAGGGCGGGAAGCTGGGTTTGGGTGGTCGCGAAGAGTCGTTTGGATATTTGGTAGAGCTTGTAATGCCCCCCCACGAAGTGGGGGTATTGCCTGGTGTCGTATGAAAACCCTGGCACTGGGGAGAACACCACGCGTTCGGGTAAAATGATTGTTGTTGTTGTTGTTGTTGTTGTTGTTGTTGTTGTTGTTTTGTTTTCTCTCTCTCTCTCTCTCTCTCTTGCTCGCCTGCAGAGGGCGCGTGGATAGCGCGCGAGACGCCGAATTCGACCGCTCGCGCGCTCCCGCGCCCTCTCTCGCTCGCCTCGCCCGTGGCAGGACAGAGAGGGTGGCCTCGCTCGCTGGCTCCCCCCTTCGGCATCTGGCTCGCTCCCTCGCTCCCGCCCCCTCCCTCGCCCCAAGTGTGCCGGACCCGTCGGAGCTCAACCACCACCGTCTTCGTGTGCGCACCCACGAATCGAGAGAGACTCTGTTTTGGGGATGACTGCAGCTGTCGATTGGTGGCTGGCGTCGCGCCCGATGGAGAATTCATTCATACACATATATATATATATGTATATATACATATATATGTTATAGTAACGATGCTGTTGCCATGATTGCGCCCACGCCTACCTCCCCAACTACTGAAATTCGTCCAAATAGTGTGACCGCTCTTATGATTATAACTGTTCAAACAAGTCTAACTGTCTTACCTCGTCTACCGCTCCTGCATTAATAGGTATTGTCGAACCCTTGGGCGAAATTATGACAGTTTCTAAATCACGTGCGTCAGCCAACTGCTCGACATTAGCTAGCTCGCCCTTCGACTCCCCTGAATCATGCTTGCACTTGGGGGTTCTTCCTTCTCTTGCTAATTTGCTGGTCAGGTCTGGCGGTGACTTTTGACGCTGCCGCCCGTGGCCGCCTCGTGGCCTGGCGAGGCCTCGCCACGCTGCCGCCCGTGGCCGCCTCTTGGCCGCCTCGTGTGTTGGGTGGGTCCGGCGAAGGCTTCGCCACGATGCTGCCACGCTGCCGCCCGTGGCCGCCTCTCGGCCGCCTCGCGCGCAGCGTGGGTCCGGCGAGTGCTGCGTTGCCGCCTCATGGCCGCCTCGTGGCCGCCTCGTGCGCTGGGTGGGTCTGGCGATGCTTCGTCACCTTGCCGCCCGTGGCCGCCTCTCGGCCGCCTCGCGCGCTGGGTGGGCCCGGCGCGGTTTCGCCCGTGGCCGCCCGTGGCCGCCTCGTGGCCGCTTCCTGCGCAGGGTGGGTCTGGCGGGGTTCTGCCACGTGCCTTGCAGCAGAGAGATCCCGGGCAGAGCTTGCACCCCAGAGCTCGTACCACATAGCTTGCACATTGCTACCTCGTCGAAATAGTACATGCTTCCACGAACTGCCTGACTGAGTCACCATCTCTCGAACCATGCGACAGCCACTGGACAACCAGGGGACTAGCTCACGGGACAAAGACAAGACATTCACATAACAGCTGCACTAGACAACCACGATACAGACGCACGGGATAACCGCGGGACAACCACGGCCATGAAACTCTTCTGTATATTCTCGCAGTCTTCATCATTGCCAACAAAATTAGATGCCTCTTCAATATCTCGTCTGGACGTCGTGGGGCCGTCTGACGTTGAGACTCCTTATTGAACGAACTTACTAATTATGTGCCTCGCCAAGAGAAAAAAACGCGGGACGACCGCCCGGGACAACAACATGACGATCACGAGAAAACCGCAGCGAACAACCGTGGGACAACCACGCGGCAATTGCACGCCCAAAGACCAACACACGAACAACCACGGCACGGGATAACCGTGTGACCCTGGGGGCAGCGCGCCAGCCCTAGTGGGGGGAGATAGTCTAACGGACTTGGCCCGAGGATTTCGGGAGGGCAAATTCGGTTTCGCTCCTGCGCAACTCCGCCTCGCCCGCACGCGCGACACGAACCGGATCCCCGACACCCCACCGATCACTTCGATCGAGCCATGGATTCTCCGATACTTGGGAACTACTTGCTACCCAGTAGCTCCATGAATGGCCAACCGAGCGCCATCGACACATACATTCGATATTACACAAGTGCGACTTCTAGGGTTACGGACGGGCTCATTCTGGTTTGAAGGAAGCCTTCGACCCGTAGGCTCTTCGATTCGAGACTATGTAATGCCATCGAAGCAGGATGCACATTGGTGGCATAATGATATGTCAGGCATGCAGTCAATTCAACTCGTTCATGTGTAACTTGTCCAATGAGTGGACGTGGCACTAAGTCGGCATAGCAATTCAGAGGCGTGGCCTGAAACTGGAGAGGCGGGCCAAGAGCGCTTACGTTCTCCTTGCAGGCCGATGGGAAGGAGGACAAGGAGGAGGAACAGGACAAGGACGACGAGGAGGAGGGGAATAGGACTGAACCAGGGAGGAACGGGATGAGGACGAATGAAGGTGAGGAGGGGAAACAGGGAAGAGGAGGAGAAGGGATACGGAGACGGAGGAGGTGGAGAGGGAGGAACAGCAAAATGAATACACCAATGAACATGTTGGCGGGCAGCTATGCGGGCACCACGCTGCCCCCCCGTTCTACCACTCCTCGTAACCCTCCGCTTCCTCCTCCCTCTCCTCAATAAATCCTCCGCTCCTACGGTTCCTCTCTCCGTCACCCTTCCTCCTCACCACCTGACATCCCAAGTTCCTCGCAGGACTGGGTGCCGCACGGCTCCATCTCCTCCTTCAACTCGGCAGAGCAAGGCTTGCAACCGGGCTCTGGAGCCTGCTCCGGACGGAGGGGGAAACATGCAGGGCTGAAGGACAGAGGAGGGATGCTCAGGTAGAGGGGGAAATGCAGGCGAGGGAGGAGGATGGAGTCGGAGGAGCGAGCCGAGGGACAGGAGGAGGAGTGGGGGGGGAGGCAGGGGGAGAGGGAGGGAAGGACGGATGAACAGGAGGAAGACGGAGGATGGGATAGGAAGGGGAGGAGGAGGAGGAGGAGGAGGAGGAGGAGGAGGAGGGAAGGAGGGATGACGACTGATGGGGAGGTAGAGGGGTAACAAGGTAAAGGCGCTTGGGGGGTGAGGAAGGAGGACGCGGGGGGGTACCAGGATAATGAGGAAGGAGGAGGGGAAGCAGGAGGAGGGGGCAGAAGCCTGCTCGATGTTGCGCTGGCGCGCGCGTTGGCCGCCGTCGCAGGATGCACTGCACTTCGACCACTCCTCCCAGTCGCCCCACTTGCAGTCCTGATGGCGGGGCAGGGGGGGGCAACTCCTGGTGCTCCTCCTCCTCCTCCTCCTCCTCCTCCTCCTCCTCCTTGTGCGCTCCCTATCCCCGTCCCTCTCCTCCTCCCCCTCATGTTCCGTGCGCATCCTTCTCTTCCTCATATTTCCACATCCTCCTCCTCCTCCTCATTCCCCAGCTCCTTCTGCCCCTCCCACCCGTCGCTCCCACTCCTGGTCATCCACATCATCCCTCTGTGACCCCTCCTCATCCTCCTCTTCCTTCTCCTCCTCCCCCTTACGGTGGAAAATAACGCCTCGGCGCGGCGCGTATCGCTCACTCACCGCGTCGTTGGAGGCGGGGCCGCGAGCGAGCAAGCGACCTTTCGCCCTTGCCCAAACTCCGTGCAGATGTCGTCTGGCTGAAATGGCGCTCCCGCGCGGGCGCGGCGCATATTCCGCTCGCGGAACCACATGACAGCGGAAGCGGCAACTGCGCGGAAGCGGGCGGCATGCTGTCCTCGCAGAATCGCCGCGTAATGTGCAAGTGAAAGTGGCAGCGCTGGTCCGACGCTGCGCGTGCCTGGTCTTCGCTGAACTGTGCCGCCCCAGGGACAGCTAAATGGTGCTCTCGCCGCAGCGCCGCGCCAGGATGTTCTGAGGTTGCGATCCCGCCAGGGCGCGGCCAGCCCTTCTGCTTGCCCTCGTCAATTCGTCGGGAGCGGAGCCGAGCACGACAGCCTTCCCTTTGCAGGGGGGGGACGCGTTCCAGTCCCCCTATCAAGTTGTGCCCCCAATGATCCGAATGGTACTCCAGATTTCGTAAGAAAAGGGAGGGGGTCTGGACCCTCCAAGACAAGCCATTTCAGACACCCCCCCCCGTGGGAGAACCCTCCAAAACATCGTCCCCAGACCCCCCCAGGCCCTCCAAGATAGCCTGGAAGAGACCCCCCCCGAAATGAGACCCCCCTCCCTTTATTACGAAATCTGGAGTATGGTCGGGAGGGTGGAAATGGACGGGGCCCGCTGACTCGCTCGGCTTGGCAAACTTTATCCTCCTCTTACGCCTCCTCCCTCCCAGTCCTTCCCCCCCCCTCTGGCGTGACCGCGGGCGAGCGGGGGCAGAAGGGATGGATGAAGAGGGAGATGAGGAGGAATACGAGGAGGAGGGGGATGAGAGGAGGAAGAGTAGGAGGTACTATACCATGTATAGTTGGAACCAACTATCGTGGCCACGCAGCCTACGCATGGCAATTCGCTGGCCCAACGGGCCAGAAGCGTGCTAAGATCCCCGGTAACTGGTTAACAATATTTCTAGTTCGCGCGCGCGGGGCGGCCCCTGGGGGTCTCCGGGCGAAAAGTACCCCGGGAGAAGCCCGGGAGGAGACCCCAGACAGAGCAATTTTTCGACACCCCTCACGAGGATCGTGGCCTCCGAGGGGGGAGCCGCAATCGACTACCCCCCCTCCCGCTCCAAGATGCCCACAAGAGCCTCCCAAGAGGCCCCGGGGGCCCCTTAAGACGCCGCCAAGGAGCCCCAAGAGACTCCCAAGAGGTCCCCAAGAGGCCCCCAAGAGGCCCTGAAGAGGGCTCCAGGGCTGGCGGAATGAGCGAAGCGATTAAATAATCGCCTCCCTCCACAAAGGACCCTGGGAGGACGAAGGGAAAATGGATGAAAGGGGTGGGGAGACAAAGGAGGCAACATTGAAGAGGGAAGACTAATGAAGGATGATGATGGTGAGTAGGAGGGAGGAGATGGAGGATAAGAAGGATGAGGTAACAGGGAGGTGAAAGGCAGGATGAAGAAGGGAGGACGGTGATGAGAGGAGGGTGGGAGGAAGGGAGGAGATGCAGGACGGGAGCGACGAAGGATGAGGAGGAGGAGGGGGGGTGCGATGCGACCACTGTTGCGGACAGTGTCCGGGCCAAGCTCAGGAGAGGGGTGTAGGAGGAAAAGGAGTGAGGAGGGATGAGCGTGGAGGATCAAGTTCCCGCCCCCCCTCCATTGCCAAAGCCCAGACCCGCGCGCCTTGCACCCGCAAGGCGGACCGTGGCACGGCGCGGCCTCCGACAAGTCGAGGCTGCAGCCGGTGCCAGAATCGAACGACCTCTCGGTGTAGGACCTCGAGCGGTTCCTCCCGGCATGTCGACAGCGGGGAATGAGGCGGGGGCTCTCCTCCTCCTGCACCTCCTCCTCCTCCTACACCTCATCCGTGTTCGAGACGTGGGCAGTCGAACAACTTTTTTTCCTGCTGAGCGTTACCATTGTAGCCTGCACCCCCCCGCAGAGCTCAGCTGGCTGAGTCACTCGAGGTCCTCGACCGACCGACCGACCGACCGACCGACCTCCTCAACCGCCCTCGCCCTCCTCCTCCTCAACCCTTCTCTTCTTTCCTCCTCCTGCGCCCTCCTCCTCTTCTTCCGCATCATCCGTCTTTATCCCTGCCTCATCATTCCTCCCCCCCCGCACTCGCAGGCGAGGGGAGGAGGAGGGAGGAGGGAGGGACAAGGCAGGAGGCGGGAGGATGATGAAGAGGAAGAGCAGGAGGGATGATCGCTGAGGAGGGATGAGGAGGATTAGGATCAGGATCGAGATCAGAGCTCCGAGGAACCTCTTGCCCAGATCGTTCAGAAAGCTACAGCAGGCTCGGGGTCGACAAACCCGCAGAGGCATCGTTTCAAACAAAAGCCTTCACACACCACGAGTCGGACGCCGCATAGAGACACCCCTGGCAAGAGGCAGGACGGGGACGTGGAAGAATGAGCGGGCACGGGGAGGGAGGAGGAACGGGAGAGGGAGGACGGACGGTCGAGGACGGACGGGGAGCATGAGAAGAGGAGCAGCAGCGAGAGGCCCCGAGGCCGTCCCCGCCCGCTCCGTGCACCAGAGCCGCACGACGTGCTGCAGGCGCCCCAGTGCGACCAGTCGCCCACCGTGCAGTCGGTGTCGCCGCACGACTCCTGCGCGCAGCCCGTGCCACCGAGAGATCGGCATTCGTGTTTTTCCCCAGATCCTAAGATGGGGTTATTGTTATTACTTGGACGCCTCCTACTCCTTCTTCCTCTTCATCTTCTCCTCCTCCTCCTCCTCCTCCTCCTCCTCATACCCAGACTACTCATACACAGACTTACTCATTCACAGACTGACTCATACTCAGACCTACTCATACTCAGACCTACTCATACTCAGACATACTCATACTCAGACCTACTCATACTCAGACCTACTCATACCCAGACCTACTCATACTCGGACCTTCTGATTTTCTGACCTACTCAACACACAGCAGGTTCTCATACTAAGACTTACCCATACCCAGACTTATTGACTTACTCATACCTCGACTCGCTCATGTGTGGGGATGTCTCAAGCGGCTTGCCTGTTTTCTGTCCCAACATCCTTCGCATTCGGAACAAAGTTGGAGGATGTCTCGAGCGAGGCGCTCATTGTCACGTCCCTAAGGGGAGCCGCCGAAAGGTATGACACGGTCCCGTTCGCTGTCGTTTTGTGGGGATGTCCCAAGCGGTTTGCCTGATTTCTGTCCCAGCATCCTTCGCTTTCGGAGCAGATTTGGAGGATGTCTCGAGCGAGGCGCTCATTGTCACGCCCCTAAGGGGAGCCGCCGAGGGGTCTGACACGGTCCCGTTCGCTGCCGTTTTGTGGGGATGTCCCAAGCGGTTTGCCTGATTTCCGTCCCAACATCCTTCGCTTTTGGAGCAGATTTGGAGGATGTCTTGAGCGAGGCGCTCATTGTCACGCCCCTAAGGGGGGCCGCCGAGGGGTATGACACTGTCCCGTTCGCTGCCGTTTTGTGGGGACGTCTCAAGCGGTTTGCTTGTTTTCTGTCCCAACATCCTTCGCTTTCGGAGCAGATTTGGAGGATGTCTCGAGCGAGGCGCTCATTTTCACCCCCAGGTGGGCCAGATTTTGAGGATGCCTCGTTCGGTTTGCCAATGTTGGTGGCCAGACTCGTGGGCACAGGTTCTCCTCAGGATGCCACAGGATGATCCAACAGGCTCCAGGAGGCCCCTGGGGACCACATGAGGTCCCAGGAGGCATCAGGAGGCCACAGAAAGACTCAAGAGGCCACAAGATGTCCCAAGAGGCTCCAGGAGGCCCCAGAAGCTCCAAGAGGCCTCAGGAAGCCACAGGAGGCCCCAGGAGGCCACAGGAAGCGCCAGGAGACTTCGGAAGGCAGCAGGAGGCCCCGAGAGGCCTCAGGAGCAGGAGGCCTCAGAAGGCAACAGGAGTGGCTCCAATCCCATGCGTTTTACGTATGCTCCTATGGATTGGGCCTCACCTGGAGCACGAATCCTTGACGTTATACGCATGTTTCTATAATGTGTCCTTCTCCTGTGAACACAGCCCTATGTTTTACTTATGTTTCTAGAAATTGGGCCTCTCCTCGGGCACGAGTCCTTGGTGTTTACGTGTGTTCCTATAGATTGCCCTTCTCCTGTGGCTCCAATCCGCAATGTTTTATGTACGTCGGTTGCTCTAGATTGGGCCTCTCCTGGGGCACGGCGCCTCCCTGGGAGGTCCCAGGAGGCCCCAAGAGGCTCCTGGAGGCCCCAGGAAGCCCCAGTAGGTTTCAGGAGGCCCCAGGAGGCCCCATGCTCATGCGCAGAGACGCGCTCGTACTACTGAGGCTCATTCACACTCCAATTCATTCGCAGTTAGATTCATGACCAGACCGCCACAACTGAAGCCCGTTTACATTCGAAAGCTCTTGCGACTAGACATTCACGGCGGACAGGTCCATGAGAATAGATGCACATATGGGGAGCTCCACGCAGTGAATAATCCTACGCGGGGACCCTCCTCTGAGAAGGACTGCCCCCTCTCCTGCTCCCCTCCTCGGCGCGCCGCCGCAAGTGGGCTCTCGGGGCCACACGACGTCGACCTCTTCCGATCTGTCGGGTAGCCGTCGTTACCCGGGGGGGGGAGGGGTCGGGGTTCGGGGTGGGGCACCACGGGGCGGGGGGTGCGCCGCGATGGCCGAGGTGCGCGCGCGCGAACGCCAGCACATTGGGAGGGGGTCTGGCCCTGCCCTCCCCCCTCTTCGCAGGATCCGCACGATCACCCAGATGGGGGGGGCGGGTAGTGACCGTTACGCGCCAGAGGGTAAAAGCAATCTCCGAGGGGACGGCCTTCGGGCAAGGCCGCGGGGCGTTCTCGAAGGAGTCGGGGTCTCTTCCAGGAAGGCCTCTTGACATTGGAAGGCAAGGGGGCTCTTGCTGGAAAGCCGCCCGTATTCTTGCGGTCCTTACCCTCGCGCAGTCCCCTTCTCTGTTTAGCACGGCACGGGGCTGCAGCACCGCTCAACGCTGTGCTGTCAACCAAACCTGCAAGGTGGGCCCTATCCATGTTTCTGTGCACTGCAGCTTCGTCTTCGGCTTCAGCTGTGGGTGCACCGTGAAACGACTTCGGGCCAGCTCACCCGAGTCGGATTTTCTGTTCGCAACGGTGTCCCCCCCCCCTCTTTAGCCCCCCTATTTAGCATGGTGGAAAAGGGGTTCTGGGGGAAGCTGGTCCTGGACCCAGGGGACTTCCATCGGACCGGCGTTGCATCCTGAGTAGACTCATGAGGGTCCCGTCACCTGGGATGGGCCCCGAGAGGCAGGAAATGGCGAACAAATCCAGGAGCACTTTTCCTCGGGGACCCTCATCGTCATAGTGGCTTCTGCGCGCCGCGAATCCTCAGCGCAGCCGCGGACCTCCTCCAGAGATGTCGGGCACCGCCTACCGTTGCCCCTTGGGGTGGTCTCGACGAAGCGCTGCCGCACCTTGCGGGTCCGAGAGAGCAGAGGAGGAGGAGGACGAGGAGGAGGAAAAGGAGGAGGAAGAGGAGGAGGAGGAGGACGAAAAGGGGGACGAGGACAAGGGGGCATGAGAACTAGGGGGAATTGACTCAGAGCAGAACGAGTTGAGACAACGGCAACACAAAATCGTCCCCGAACCCCTCCCTGGGTCCAAACGTGCCAGCTTTCCGAGCTGCGCCCAGCCATGGCGACGAGGCCCACCCCCCCGAAGTCCATCAAACCGCTGTCTCCAACTGGCCCTCCTCTGACAGAATCCCGGGAGCAACTGAGAAACGAGGTCGCACCTGCTGGCCCCCGCCGCACGTCTTGTCGCAGTCGTCCCACCCGGTCCACGCGGAGACCTCGCAGTCCACGTCCGCGCTGCACGCCTCGCTCTCGCGGAGCGCCCCTGCGCACGCCCCGCCGCCCAGGGAGGGCCACTGCTCGATCACGCGGCTGCGGTACCTTGGGGGCCGCACGCACATCAGAGTGGAGTGCGGGGGCCGGACGGGTGTTCTTGGTGTCGTCGTTCCACTCGCGACCCGGCCCGCGAACGGCCCGCGACCCACCCGCGACCCACCCGCAACCGCGACCCACCCGCGGCGGCATGTGACCGTGATGCAATGCGATAGAACATGGCTGATCCTGCTGCCTTCAGAACGTTTGATCGAAGCGTGCGAAACGATTCCTACTGTGTGTGTCATCCAGTACAAATTTCCAGTTGCAGACTTTTGCGCTGATCAATTTTGCGGTGCCTCCAAATAGAACCCACTGAACAAATCTACGAGTTGTTTTCTTGTGTATCGGATACAGTTCCAATCCTGTATTTCAAACGTACACATTGATTGCTAATGTGCTTCAGACAACTTCGTTGTGGGGGGTACAAACGGATTCCAAGGCAATTGAAATCATGCTGTGAAGACTTACGTATTGATTATCGTTGTGCGGGGGACTACGCATTGATACCCACTGCGCAAAAATAATTGCAACGCCTTGGTGCAACCTGACAAACTGACTTCTAGTGTGCAGCCTTCACGTCGAATCCCGTTGTGCCTGGCTCAGGCGAAGGGGGGGTAGCTTGGCCGACAAAACAACACCCGGAAACCAAGAACGGGGGATCACCATAAGCGGTGCTTTTGTTGCTCGAACTACATGTTTCAATGGTGAGCCACACAATACCCCAAACAAAAACTGGACGCAAAGCAAAACTGTATGGGCATTGCATTTGGGCGTTTGCGCATCTAGTTTGCTGCTGTTGTCCGCTTACATTCCAAATCCTTCTCTATAGATGTGCACATTGATTCCGAGTGTGCGGCCTGTTTTGTATCAAAAAAATCGACAAGAGAGTACACGATGACACGATTGTGCAGGACACAAGTGAAATCTTTCTGTCCAAACTTACACGTTGATTCCCATTGCGCGGCTTTCAAACAGAATTGCTTTGCACCATGCTCGGGGGGGGGGGCTAACAAACGAAAAGGGCAACACAACAAACAAAGCAAATACACATACACACAAAAACAAGCTGGGAAGCCACACGTGCTGCGCTGATGCCCACAAGCTCGATTTCAAAAGTAAGCCAACACCACATCTGTGCTAAAGCTGGAGGCAAGGAAACACTGTGTTTCACAGCGTGCAAGTAGGTGTTTACCAATTGATGTTGCTTACGTTTTCCGCTTGCACTTCGCATCTTCCTGTGCAGGATTGCAACTTGATTCCTGGTGTGCGGACTTCAAAGCCAATTCCGCTGTGCATGGCTCGGGCGGGGGGAGGGGGTCTGGCCGAAACGCGGTGAAAATGCCTATACACGTAAAAGAACACAAGTGCGCATTGTCTCCATACTGTTTGCGTGTAGCAAGTGGTTTCCAATACATGTACACATAAAAAACACAGCGCGATTCGCCCCCCCATATTCTTGTTTGTGCCGTTGTTTGTGTGTGTGTTGTTGCTTTCTTCGGCCAGCCCCCCCCCTTCCCCGAGCCACGCGCAAAAGAATTACATCGGACAGCAGCGCAGTTTGAATCAATGAGTAAGTCTTCACAGCAGATGTCGGGTTTCCCCTGCACAATAAGACTCACACTGAAACCCCCAAGACAAGATGCCATTCGAAGGCCGCGCGCCAGGAATCGATGTTTAAGTCTGTACGATTTGATTTCGATTGCTGGCACAACGAATAAACAACACCAGCTTGTGAATGTCCAGCCAAAACGAAATTGCAAGCTGTCCTTGCGTCAAGGTTGTCATGTTGTAGTTCCGTGTGTTCACATTATAGACAACACGACACATGCGAACGCAGCATTTCTGGCCGCACCGATTTGATTCTGCACGGTTCAATGTGTCAGCCTGATTTCTCGGCCACCCCGCCCTTCCCCACAACCAGGCGCCAAAGAATTAGATCCGAAGGCCGCGCAATTGGAATGCACGCGTAAGTCTGTACAACAAACAATTTCAATTGCCCCCAGCATAATAGAAACCAAGCTGTAGCTCCCCGCAAGAAGTTTGTATGTCAAGGCCGCACAATAGGGATCGACCTGTAAGCGCCGCACAAAGGACTCTGCCTGTAGGTCGCGCAAGATTATGTTGTGTGTGGATTCCCGTGGAGGGGTTCTACGCGTGGGGCGCGATCGCTAAAAACGGCGGTGCGTTCATTTCTGGGGCAAGGCGAGATCGCGGAAAGCGCGCGGCGAGCAACAATCACCAAGGATGCCACGCAAGGGTGCGACGCAACGCCCAGAAGCTCAACGCAACGCCCTGACCATGTCGCTGGTTTACGCCAAGTGGCCAGAGCCCACGCGCCAGCAATGCCATTGCGCAGCGCGCGCTCTGGCGCCACACTTCCTGCTGCCGAAACTGCGGAACAGCGCGTTCCAACGCGTTTCCGCTGACACCACCAGCAACGATCAATGGTCTGCGTGCCCCCGCTTGGTGCCCCCCCCCCCCCCCCCTTGGCGTGGGCGGCCGTTCCTTCGATGCAGCGGGGCAGAAGCTGGACGCGCGTCGTCTTGGCGTTGTTGCTCGGCCCCCTGATAGTTTAAAGCAACGGCAAAACTGGTGAACGACGTAGTCCTGCGCCACGCCGTCGGGCTTGCTCTTCCAATGAATTCCAGGTTTGTTCGCCCGCGCGCCGTTCGGGCGCTGTCGCTGTTGAGTTGCCGTTGTCGTGCTCTTGCCCTGTAGTGTCTGCATTGCTTTAGTGCGCGGTTGTGTGTGTTCGGTGTGTGTGTGTGTGTTTGTGTGTTGGCTGCGTTTTGTCTGATGGGATGTGAGGGCACCCTTGACCTACTTCAACCACCTGGCACCACGAACGCGGCGCGACGCATGTGGAGTAGCTTCATGATTGTGCTGTTTTACTGGTTGAGCCAGAGCAGTTTTGTCGCGCTGCAAGGCTGCGCAGGTGTCGCGGTGCTTCTGCAAGTGCTTCATTGCAGCCTCCTTGAGGTGTTGCTTTACCAAAAGTTCGGCGACCCAATTCGTCAAATATGTGGTGCGGTTACGGTCGCGGAACCTATCGGGCTTCGTCTGCACTGCCTTCTCTGATGACGCTGGTATGGCGAGCTGCAGCGCCGACGCCAGAAGGTAACCCAAAAGACAACAGACAACAAAAGCCGGACAGGCGATGGACGGAGAAGAGAAATAAGAGAGGTTGAATAAGAGAGGGAACCTGATATTTTAGTGGGGCCAGCATGGAGCAAACTTGGACAGCAGAAGCCTGAGACAATGCGTAAGCAAAGTCAGGAACAGGAGAAGCTAAACCGAGATTGGATGATGCCCCTCCGTCATATCATCTCCTCCTCCTGCGTCTCCCTCGCCTCGTCGCTCCCCCGTGCTCCTGCTCCTCCTCCTCACTCATCATATTTAGCTCCTTCTCCTCCTTCCTCCTCCTCCCTCGCATCATCATCACCATCATCAGCATCATGATCATCATCATGATGATCATGATCATCATCGTCGTCATCATCAGCAGCGTCATCATCATCATCAGCATCATCATCACAATCATCATCACTACAATCGTCATCATCATACTCATCGGGATCGCACTCATCTTATCTAGCTCCTCATCATCCTCCTCCTCCTCGTCATCCTCCTCATCATCACCATCATAATCAACATAAACATCAGCATCAGCATCATCAGCATCAGCATCATCCTCATCATGAGCTCCAGACCTCCTGATGATGATAGTGATGACGAGGATGGCAATGACGACAATGATGTTCAGGGCCATCTCTACGATATAGAACGACTGGAAGAACAAGCAACAGGATCACACTGAGACCAGGGACGACGGCTATGCATTCAAGACTCGGATAGTGGACACGCGGCCCAGGAACCGATCGACATGAATGAACAGAGAGAGGAGAGCATACGGAAGAAAAACAAGAAGAATGGTAGATCACAAGAACGGCCCTTAGCATACACACATACACACACATATATATATACATAGAAACATATATATATATATATGAACTTAAGGTATGTGGGCTTTCGCCCGCCAAAATAGGGAATCTGTTATGTTGAACGTTTCACGCTCGCAAGCGTTCCCCGAAGAATGTCCCCGCTACTGTGCGCGGTGGCACGGTCATGCTCCTGCCCCTGGCACCTCGTCAAGCCGCCCTCCTCGCAGACGCTCCACTCGCCCCAGTCCCCGAACTTGCATGGCAAGACCACGTCGCACTTCTGCGTATTACACACGTTGATCTCGTCCAGCCCCCCGCCGCAGAGCTTCCCGCCGCCGGAGCCCTCGGCGAGGACGTCCCGCGACCGCGTCGTGATGCCGCCGCCGCAGCCCTCCGTGCAGGAGGTCCAGTCCGCCCAGTCCGCCAGCCTGCAGTCCACCTTGGGCTCCTCTCGGCGGCGCGCACAAGGGAGTGATGCGAGGGTAGGCGCCCCTTGACGACGCCTCGGGGTCCTCTTGGAAGGAGGTGGGGCCTCTCAGAAGCCATCCCGGCTTCTCAGAAGCCTCGAGGCCCTTCTCGGAAGGCCCGCCTTCTTAGACTCCGACCTGCCCTCTTAGATGGCCGCCCACTCCTCACGCTACCCCCTTTGCGTGCTCCATCGATCCTCCTTCAGCGGGCACGGGTGTGCCTGCATGAGGGGGCCGTCGCAAGGCTTCCCGCCGTTCTCGGCGCGCGCCTGGACCGCTCTGGTGCGGTACTGCTGGCCGGTCTGGTTGCAGCCGGTCTTATTCCAGGCGGTCCAGTCCTCGAGCTCGCAGTCCACTGGCAGGAAGCAGTCCTTGCTGCAGGGCTTGGTCTCCAGCAGCGGCCCCTTGCAGGGCTTCCCCTGGCAGGAGCCCTCGGTCTCCACGGCGCGCTTGCGGGTGCACAGCTGCGCGCAGCTGGGCTCCGACCTCGCTGGGTCGAGGGGCGCGAAACAAGAGCGCTGGGCCACTGCACCACCGAAGCTCCCCGTCCCCCTCCATCCCCTAATCCCCTGGGGCGCCCCTGGAGGCCCCTGGAGCGCCCCTGGAGGGTCGCAGATGCGGAGCCCATAGAGACCATCTTGGAAAGCCCTGGGCTCTCAAGCGCCTTCGTGGCTGCTCGCTGCTCTTATCAGTGTTACTCCGCGGGTGCTGCTGCTGCCGCCGCCCGTGCCGCTGCCGCCGCTGCCGCTGCCGCCGCTGCCGCTGCCGCCGCTGCCGCCGCTCCTGCCGCTGATGCGGCTAACAATGGGGCAAGCGAAAGCTGCGACGTCAACGTCTCGCGCGTCGGAATGCCCAACGTCGGCGTCAAGGGTGTCACGTCCGCTCTTCTTTCTTGAAGCACGGCAGCCCCTCGAACCCGCACCGGAATCACTCCTTTCCTCTTCCTCTCCGTGATGGGACCTCCTCCTCCTCCTCCTCCTCCTCTTCCTCTTGCATCTCCTCATACTCCTCCGAATGTTCATCCGTATCGTCATCCTCTTCACCACCCTTCCCCTCCGCTTCCACATCCTCCGTTATCCCTTCCTCCTCGTGTCTGCCAGAGAAGTCAGAGCAACAACTGCAACAACAACCAGAGCAGCAGCAACAACACCAAGAACAACCACAATAACAACACCAACAGCAATAACAACAGCAACCACAACAGCACAACCAACAACAGCAACAACACCAACAACGCTCAAATTAAGACTGTTCGCTTCTATATGCCCGCGTGCCATGCAACACGTGTATCCCAAACCCTCGATATCTGCAGTCTTCGTCTTCGATCGTGCCCCCGTTTAGGGAATCGATTCCTTCCCTGCCACGTTTAGCGCAGCCCCTAACAGAGGGGAAGAGAGGACGGATGTAAGGGGAAGGGGAAGGGGATCAACAACTGTTATTCTTTAGAAGCGAGAATTCAACAACAAGAACAACAACATCAACAACAATCATTTTAAGACTGTTCGCTCTGATCCGCTCGCGTGCCATTCAACACGTATATGCCAATCCCTCCATACCCGCCCTCTCCGTTTTCGACCGTACCCCTTGGGGGTTTACCTTTCTTACCACGTTCTTACCTGCAACGTGTATGTCAATCATGCAGTCATGCAGCCCCTACGGTAGGAGAAGAAAGGACGGACGGAGTGGGGAGGGAGGAGGATTGAGCGAAGAGAATAAACAGGGGGGGGGGGCAGGAGCAGAAAGCACATCGCAGAACCAGACGGGCAGTCTAGACCAGGCGGGCAGACCCTATCGGGCGGGTCGGGAAGGCGGGCCCAGGCGGCCAGGTTGAGCAGGCGGGTGGCTGAAGCGTGCGTCCTGCAAGAATCACGAGGAAGTCTCGAGCGATAGCGCGATTCCCAAATACATCGTTCGAACAGCCAAAGCGAAAGCGTGATTCCTGATTGTCGAAGGCGCGGCGTCTGAATGCATTGCGGGGACGTCCCACGCGAGAGCGCGACTCCTGCATACATTGTGAGAAAGTCCCGCGCGAGAGCGCGATGTGGGAATTCATAGCGAGGAAGTATCAGGCGGAAGCCGTTGTTGGAAACCAGGGGCCAGGGGTCCAGATTGGTGACGCCCAGCTTTCCCTTGAAAAAAACAGGGTGCGAACCCTGAGAGAAACACTTTAATTGAACGAACCATGGTTACCAAGCAGGGGGGATCAACAATAATTATTCTTCAGGAACGAGAACTCAACAACAAGAACAACACCAACAACAAACATCAATTTAAGACTGTTCGCTCTTATCCGTCCGGATGCCGTTCAACACGTATATCCCAAACCCTCGATATCCGCCCTCTCCGTGTTCGACCATACGCCCTTGGGGGCATGTGTTTCCTTTCTTACCTGCAACGTGTATGCCAGTCATGCAGCCCCTACGGCAGGAGAAGAGAGGACGGATGGAAGGAAGGGACAAGGTGAACGAAGGAGGTTGGAGCACGAGAGAGAGTAGCAGGAGGGGGCTCGGAGAGGAAAACACGTGGCAGAACCAGACGGGCAAAGCGGGCGGGTAGACCCTAAGTAACAGGCGGGCCGGGAAGGCAGGCCCAGGCGGCCGGGTCGAGCAGGCGGGTTTCTGAAGCGCGCGTCCTGCACGATCGCGAGGAAGTCTCGAGCGATCGCGCGATTCCCAAGTAAATTATGAGATAAGCCAAAGCGAGAGCGCGATTCCTGAGTGTCGCAGGCGTGGCGTCTGAATAAATTGCGGGGAAGTCCCACATGAGAGCGCGATTCCTGCATATATTATGAAGACGTCCCGCGCGAGAGCGCGACATGGGAATAACTTGTGAGGAAAGATCCGGCAGGAGCCGTTGATGTTGGAAACGGGGGGCCATCAACCAAATTCTGACACCCAAGACTTCCCCTGTTAAATAACAGGGTGCGAACCCCAAAAATGGCACTTCACTTGAAAAACACCATGTGCCCCAGCAGGGGGGATCAAACATAATAATTCGTCAATAGTGAGAGCTCAACAACAACAACAACAACAACAACAACAAGGGAACGACGGCTTTCTGAACCCATTCCAATCGGGCGAGCTTCCCCGTCGCTCCCCACGGGAGGTACGCCAAGTTCCTGACGCCCACTCTGGGGAAAGGGGGAAGAGGGGAACACCGCATCGCATCGCACTGGCTTCCGGGCTGGCATCCAGTGGGAAGCGATTCGGTTGCCAGATCCCATCGAGGAGGCTAAGGCGCCTGCAAGCGACCAAACTTCCCAGGCGATGTCGTCCCCACACAAGCTCGGTATCTACGAAACCCATAATGAGGGATCTCTACTAAGGAACCTTTTTTGCTCAATATCCTAACGAAAAGAATTATAGTCAGAAGAAGCCTTCTTTTCATGAACAACCCTTGCTACATAATCCTCACTAAGAGAGCTTAGTCAATACTTATTACCGAGGGACTCTTACTCAAGACTCCTTAGTATGAGAATATTGATAATGAAGCCTTCAGACGGGAATTAGAATGAAGAGCAGCCCTTACTCAGAGAACCCTTAAACATAATCCTTACTATGCGAGTCTCAATCAAAAACTCTTAGTAAGAGAACGGTAGCGACGAACCCTTACCACCGGACTCGTACTGAAGAGCTGTTTATAAGAGCACCTTAGTAAAGAACCTTCCCTGCGGTGGTATTACTCAAGAGTCCTCACTAGGGGAAGCGTAAAACCAATTCGAAGTGTGGGGACGAAGTGTGGGAATACGACTCACGAGTCCTTACTAAAAGAACCTCAATGAAGGCTCCTGACTATATGACTACTACTCAAGAGCCCTGACTAACTGCACCCTACGAAAGAACCCTTATCGCGGGACTCTTACTCAAGAGTCCTTACTAAGAGCACCCTAGCTAAGAAGCTGCACTGCGGGAGTATGAGTCAAGAGTTTTTACTCAGAGAACCCTAGCGCAAAACCATTACTGCAGGACACACCTTGCTGCCCTTGCTCAATGATCCTTGCCGTGGGAGTCTGATTCAAAGGATTGTGCTAAGAGAACCTTAATGAAGAAGCCTTAACGGGACTCATACTCAGGAATCCTTACTAAAAGAACCTTGATGCATAAGCTTTACGACGGTGGTTTTATTCAAGAGCCCTGCTCAAAAGTCCTTGATCAAAAGTCAGTCAGTACCAAGAAACCTCATCACGGAAATATTACTCGAGAGTGTTTTACTCGAGCGAACTATTTTTTCTATGGGAGTGTTATTCCAGACTCCCTAGTAAGAACACCTGAATGCAAATTCCTGGCTACGTGACTGTGACTCAAGAGTCCTTATTAAGAGCACCTTAAGACAGAAGTCATACACGCATGACTCAAGAGTCCATACACAGAGAAACCGAATGATAATCCTGCCCATTGGAATCTTGCTCAAAACATATTACGAAGAGAACCTGAATGAAGATACCTTAAGTCAGGACACTTACTCAAGAGTCCCTACTACAAGAGACTTGGCAAATGAGCCTCATTCCCGACATATCACCCAAGAGTCTTTCCTAGGAAAGACCTCGCCCTGTGGATAACAATCACCCCTCGCTCCATCAGGGTGTCCGTTTTACATTTGTCCGCCCTCCCCGCGCACACCCTCCTCCGTCGTCATCCGCATCATCATCACCATCGGCAGCAGCACCGCCACCTTCATCACCACCAGCACCACCCGAATCATCATATCATCATCATCACCATCATCACCAGCATCATCATCACCATCATCATCAGCACACCATCATCATCAGCAGCAACATCATCGCCGACCGCAGCAGCAGCAGTACCCTCACCACCAGCAAAAACACCATCATCATCCCCATCATCGTCGGCATCAGCATCATCACCATCAACATCACTATCGTCGTCCCCGTCGCCATCATCATCATCATCATCATACAATTCATCGCCAGAATCATCGCCATCATCATCACCACCATCAGCATCAGCATAATCGCCACCGTTTTCCATCGCCGCCACCACGACCCCTGTCATCACCACCAGCATCATCAGCAGCTGCAGCCGCATCATCGTCGTTATCGTCTTCATCATCATCCGCATCATCATCATGACCAACATCTACAACACCATTAGCACGGTCGTTCGTATCGCCATCGTCATCGTCATCAACATCACTATCGTCGTCGTCATCATCGTCACCATACAGACCCGTGCCACTGAAATCAGCACCCTCATCGCGGCCATCGCCATCACTACCATCACCGTCATAGCCAGAGTATCATCATAACACTCGCCACCCGCATCAGCAACAACATCATGACCGACTTCGCCAGCACAATCATGGGCATCGCCACCATGAACAACACATTCACCGTCAACATCATCATCACCATCATCGACATCAGCATCATTGACATATTCACCGCTATCACCACCACCACCATCATCCGCATCAACATCAGCATCATCAGCAACATCCATAGACGCATCAGTACCACCATCAACAACAGAATCATCATCATCGTCATCCTCCTCCTCATCAACATTAGCATCACCGTCAACATCGTCGTCGTGATAATCGTAGCCGTCACCTCATAGTCATCATCGGGGGCATTATCGCCGCCATCTTCGCCCCCAGCATCACCAACAACAACACGGTTCAACATCACCAAGGGCATCATCACCACCACCGTCTCAAGCGAGGAATCGTTAAGAGATAGAGAGAGAGAGAGAGACAGAGAGAGAGAGCGAGAGCGAACGACAGCTGAATTCTTGAGTACACTACGAAGAACTATCGAGCGAGAGCTCGACTCCTGAGTCAAGTGTGCGGAAGACTTGAGCGACAAGTCTGGGCGACAGCGTGTAAGTGGTAAAGACGTCGAAAGCAAGAGCGCATTTCCTGGGCAAATCGCGAGGACGTTTCGTACGACAACGCGGTTCATTAGAGGACCGGGGGGTCCACACGGATCCGTTGGAATCCTTGGGGGTCCTGCGGGTTCCGTCGGGGTCCTCTGGAGTCCAAAGAAACCCATAGAAATCCGAATTCGCTGGGAATTCACAGAAATCCGATGAAATCCGCAGGAAACCACAGGTTCCCCGAGGTCTCCTTCAGAAATCGTCTAGACTCCTAAAAGGACCCAGAGGAATCCTTAGGAATCTTTACTCCGTAGCCATTTGGGCTCAAAGACCAACCGTTCTGGCTCAGATTTTTCTGAGCTAATTCGTGCAAGCTTCAGAACGGCGCGGCACGATCGAGCCTGTTTGGCTTCGTTCCAGCCTACCTTGTGCAGGTGGCGCCTGCAGTCCGTATGTCAGCACCAGCATATCGCAATGGCAGTGGCGGCAATGGCGGCCAATCCTCGGCTACCTGGCGCTGGCCGTGCTGCGGGTGCAACCGCAACAAGCTCTCCTGGTTCTGGTGCAAGCACTGCGGTGCGCAGAGGCAGAAGCCAGCTGAGCCGCAGTCTCGTGGGGGCGCGTGGGCATATCCTGGTGATGGTCTTCGCCTGGTTGGTAAAGGACCTGGTCAGCCTCCCCTGCGCCCAGGACTCCTCACGCCAGGGGCATCGCCTCTGGGAGCTACGGCCGCCCCGACCATCCCGCCCGACGCCAAGCTCGAGGACATCCAGGCCACCATTGACACGCTCACCAAAGTTGGGGATCGAGTCGGGGCGGCCCACGACAGCAAGACCCTCGAGCAGCGCAAGGCGAACCTTGCCGCCGCAGGCAAGCAGCAGCCTCTCCAGCAGCGGGTCAACTAAGCCTTCCAGTCGGTGCGGAACCTGGAGGGCAAGCTGGAGAAGGCGGTGGCGCATTTCCAACGACTGGAGTCACAGTTGGCCGAGCAGAAAGAATGGGTTTCGAAGTTCAACGAGGAGCTGGCGGCCGCGGAGTCCGAGCACACCCAGCTGGTCCGCGCGCTCCACGCCAACACCTGCGGGCCGCCGAGCCCCACTTCGCCTGCTCCAGCAAACGTGGTCACCATCTCGATTGATGACATCTTGGAGGGCAAGTCTGACTTGCCCATCTCCATGGGAAGTTTCGGCCAGCTCGACGGCGGCATCTACGAGCTGGACCAGCGTACCCGCGACGAAGCAAAGCAGCGTATGGAAAAACTACAGGCCGACATCAAGGCGGCTCTTGGGGTGCTCTTTGGAGACGCCTCGGCAAAGATCAAGGCGGCGAAGGAGGAGCATTAGGCCTTGCTCGGACGTCTTCAAAAGGAAAAGCGCAAAGTCGACGGCGCTGAAGGCGATGGGGAGCCTGCTTCTGGAGGCGCCGCACCAGCCGCTCCAGCACCTGAGGGCTCGCCGCCCGCCCCTGAGTCAGCCTAGCCTGTGCCTGCCGCTCCCGCACCTGTCTCTTCGGAAGGTCCCGCGTCTTCCTCGGCGGAGGAATCGGCGCGTCGGGCCACCCGGGTGGCAGCGGCCACTATTTTGCAGCAAGGGGAAGCCCCCCCCCTCCTCAGGTGGCGCAGCCGCAGCTTGAGGGGGGGGCCGTCGCGCCTAACTTTAGTATACTGGACGGGCTTAGCCAGCCCGCCATCTCCCAATTCTGGCCCAGGCTCACCTGGGTTCAGTTGCGTGTTCGGAGGGTCCTGCATTTTTTGTCGCCTACCCAGGCCCAGGCCCAGGAGCGTCAGGACCCCCCCCCCCTCCTCGCCTCCGTCTTCCCCCCTCCCCCCCGCCTCAGGAAGGTGGGTCTGACCTCGCCCTGATCTTTGTGCCTGCCAACGTCTCAGGGTGGGGGTCTGGCCAAAAGTTTGCACTAACTACCTCCGCGCATGTCGTCTGCATGCAGGAGCACCGCCTTCTGGCAGGGGAACGTTTGGAGCAAGCCAGTGCCTGGGCTTCTCGTAACAAGTGGCGTGCCATATGGGGCCCAGCGGCTCCAGGGGACGGCATCGGGTCCAAGGGAGGTGTCGCGATATTCGCCCGAGACTTCCTGGGCTGGCACCATGGTATCGCCTCGCCGTCGCCGTCTCGGGTCATTTCAGGAGTTGTGGGGATTCCTGGTGGTCTGGATTTTTCGGTTACGTCGATATACCTCAGAGATGGCACTGGCATCGACCAATACAACCAGCAACTATTGTCGGACGCAGGACAGGCCTCCACGGGCTCCTGCCTCCCTTGATTGCAATCTCCCCCCGTGCGATTTACACGAGTTTGGATGTCCTAAGCAGTGCGACGGTGGAGTGATTCTCTATCCTGCATGTTCTGGGACGTGTCAAACTACGGGCGGGATGAAGATGAATGATTATGTTGTGGCTAGCCCTGGCCTTGCTCTGCCATCCAACCCCTGGAACTCGTGTCGGACGGAGATCTCTCGCCGCACTGGCCTGTGCAGATCATTTTGTTTCCGCAATACGGGCAGCTCCGTGCGATGACGCTCGCTCGGCCGCAGCGCATCCCGCCCGTTCGCCAGATCGGGCCGTGCGGCCCACCGCCTGACTATCAGCCAGCCAAGGACTTGCTGCAGGATGCGCTCAGGGATGCTCGTGCGGGTAATGGGGAAGGAATCCAAGGCCCTCCTCACGAACGCTTATCGTGCCTGGGCGGGTCCGGCGGAAGCTGAAATTGCGGAGTTGGCGCGGGTCGAGCTCAAGGCCCCTGGGGCCCGTGGGGCCGTCCCCGACATAGTCTGGCAACCTGTCTTCCTTCGGGATGTCAAACCGCCCCGCCAGCCCGAGCTGGTCTCTGTCAGGTGGCTCTGCAAGCCATTTTAATGCTCGGGGCCAGCGTCCAGCATGCACTCCTGGCGGGCCTCTCTTTTGCTATTTCCTACGGTTTCGCTGCGCCGCCAACCATTGTCAAGCATCAAGGTGAACATCGGCACCTGTTCCACACGGCCCTTGGGTTGTGCCGCTCCTCGTCGCTCCACCCCTGGCCTGAGGTCCTCGGATGCAGGATCAGTGAGTTGCGGGGGCGCGTTAGGGATGCTTTGCACCTGGCGGAGCAGGCGGCCCGTAATGAAACTACCCAAGGGTGGCGGGCTTGGCCCCTCAAGGGAATCGACAATGGTGGGCGAAATGTGCATTTGGTCACCAAGGCCCCCACTCCCTGGCAGCCAAGTACGGTCTTGGCGGCGGGAGGAAAGATTGTTAGTGATCCCCAGAGTTTGCTTGCTGCTGAGGCCAGCAAATATCAGTCCTTTTGGAGGGCCTCGCCTGCCCCGCCGACCCCGACGGCCGACTTCCTGCCCGCTCCCGACCTTCCTCGCCTCGAGCTGGACGCGGTTCGGAAAACCTGCCTCCGTCAAAAGGAGAGGTCGGCTGTTGCTACGGATGGTTTCATCTTCGTCATCTGAGGTGGTTGTGTGACGAGGGCCTGCAGTGCCTTCTGGACCTGTTCTTGGTTATGGAAGCCTCGGGATTGTTGCCCGACCAGTTGGCGATTGTCACCATGTTTTTGATACCTAAGGTTCCTGTAAGCGTGCGTCCCATCGGGATTTCCACGGTGCCCTACCGTGTTTGGGCTAAGGCGCGCAGGCCTATTGCCGATGCTTGGGAAGCCGCGCGCGCGCGGCCCTATCTTGCGGCCGGTTCCTTCACTGATGCATGGGGACACGGTTTGGAGACAACTGCTCAAGGCTGAAGCTGGTGTTTCGCCCTCCAAAATCGCTGTCAACCTGTTGCGGGATTTCCTCAAGTACTATGAACTCCTTCCTCTGCACCAGTTGCAGCAGATGCTGTCGGCACGAATTTCCGCTCGCTGTCAGCCGCCTGGCCATCAGTGCGTACTCCTCTGTGCGACGCCTCACGTCCCAGGCTATGGTGTCGAGTGGGGTTTTCGCTACTAATGGAGTTGCGGCAGGGTGCAGCATGGCCACAACGATGATCCGCGTCAATGCCCTCGACCCCCTGAACGCTATATCCTGGAGCCCGGTTGTCGATTTCAAGCTCTACATTGATGATCGCAGTATTTCGGCTGCAGGGGATTTTCAGGAGGTGGTGGAAGGAGCCGCTGCAGGAGCACGGCAATTGCAGAAGGCTCCGGTTGCGATCGGCGCGTCCCTCTCGGCCAACAAGGCCACCCTGATTTGTAGCAACCGAGGAGCGGGGCTTCAAATCCAACAAAACCTTGGTCTGGAACTCACGGGCCCCCTCGTGTCCTCTGGGGTCAATCTTGGGGTTGACGACACGCAGGGTCGATCCCAGAGGGTCCCGGGGCGAAATTCCAAGGCCAAAAAGCGAAGGGCGGCTGGGGAGGCCAGGGCCGTCAGGCTCGGGCGTCTCTCGAAGCGCCTTTCCCGTCGTCGTCTTCGTCGGCTCTGGGTGGCGGACCCCCTCCCCGCGCCTAGTTATGGGTCGGAAAGTTTCGGGCTTTCCTCCTCGGAACTCTTGAAGCTCAGGCGTTCCCTCGGTCGACTTCTCAAGCCTTCCGCGGGCCAGCGTTCCCTGTCCACTTTGATGCTTTTAGAGGGGGACCCCACGTGGCTGACCCAGGTCTCTTGTGTTACCAGGTGGCATAGGGAGGTCTGGGTCGCTGCCGGTGCGCTCCACCCCGCGGCGGTGCCTATCCCCCTGTTGCGTCGTTATTGGCAGGCGGTCTAGCACCTCCCCATGCCCACCTTGATGGGGTGTCTCTGGCCCCCTTTCGGCTGTTAGATTAACCCTGCACAGACTGGGTTGGAGTATGCTAGAGTTTAATCGCCTTCAGGACTATCTGGGCTCTGTGCACGAGCTTTTCTACACGTCCCCAGCCCTCCTCCGGACTCGTCTTCGCACGGCCGTCCTCAGGAGATTGGAGAGAGACATTGCAGCTAATCACCACTTCGTCCACGAACGCCTCTCCTTCGGCGTGGTTTCTACCTGTCTTTCCTCCTCTAAGTTCACCCCCTGCAGAAGGGGACAGTGCGGGAATGCTCTTGCGATGGTATCTGGACTCGCATGGCAGCGCGTAGTCGAGGTTATCAGTTCCCTGCTGTATGCGAGTCGCGCGGCGGCCCCTCTGACTCCATCTTTCACCGTCTTTGGAGCTGCCCAGCTCTTGAGAGAGAAAGGAGGGGGCTGGTCGAGGAGGAGCTGTTAAATGGGGTCAAGGACTATGTCTGTTCGCCCGATAAGCTGTTCGCGGTCACCCGTGGCGCCCTGCCGCGCCCTTGAGACCGCTCCCCGCCCCCTGTGCACATGGACGAAGACGCTTTCGAGATCACTTGGCACGTGCCCCCCTCCCCTGCCAGAATTTTCAGGTGTTGTGTTTGTTGACGGTTCTTGTTCTCGTAGGATTATAAAAGAGCTGTCGAGGGCCTCCTGGTCTGTGGTTTTGCATTCTAGTGGGCGTGTTAGGCTCGCTTCGGTGTCTGGACCTGTCTGGCCCCACATGCCCCAGACGCCCAAGGCTGGAGAGTCTTGTGCCTCTTTAGCCGCCATCCAGCTCATTGAAGGTCCGTCGGAGTTGGTTTCGGATTGCCTGAATGTGGTTTTGTCGTTTGCCTTGGAACGGCAGTCGCAGCTCTCCGACAACAGGACCTGCGCGGGCCACCTTTTGCATGCCATAGCCTCCGAAGGGTTTCAGCATTTGCTGAGGGTCTCCCATGTCAAGTCGCACCAGTCCCTTGACGACCCTGACATTACCTCGGAGTTGGGTTTTTGGCGCGCTGGCAACGACGATGCGGATCGTCTTGCCAAAATCCCACCAGCCCTCTGGGCGTCGGTGGTTTAGGGCGTTTCCTCTTCCACCCCTCTCTCTCCCCCTTCGGGGAGGGGTTTACCCCTCCCCCTACCCCCTCCCCACTGACCTGGACAGGAGGGGCGGGGAGCGGTCAGAGCGTCCAAAACGGCCTCGGCGAGGAAGCCAAAATCATTGATTTTACTATGGTTTGGGCCCCATTTTGGCCTTCTGAGGGGGCAGCGCTAATTGAAGCTCCCCTCTTCTTTGATCGATTTCCTCCACGATGGCCGCAAGAGGCCCCCAGGATGCCCCAAGAGGCCGCAGGATGGCCCCAAGATGGCCCCAAGAGGCCCCCCAAGAGGCCCCCAGGAGGCCCCCAAGAGACCCCCAAGAGGCCCCAAGAGACCCCCCAGAGGCACCCAAGGTGCTCCCAGAGGCCTCGGCGATAATGTCAAACCATTGTTTGCACTAAGGTTTTAGCCACATGTTGGCCTCTTGGGGGGGGGCACTGATTAAGATGACTCCAAGAGCGCCTCGGAGAGCCCAAAATGACCTCCAAGATGGCTCAAGAAATCCCAAGATGTCTCATACTGGCTTCCTCTGTGTGCTGTCCACTTCCCTGATCGAGGCAATCCCACCAGCCCTCTGGGCGTCGGTGGTTTAAGGCGTTTCCTCTTCCACCCCTCCCTCTTTCCCTTCGGGGAGGGGTTTACCCCTCCCCCTAGCCCCTCCCCGTGGACCTGGACGGGGGGGGGGGCGCGAGCGGTCAGAGCGTCCAAAACGGCCTCGGCGAGGAAGCCAACATCATTGATTTTACTGAGATTTTGGCCCCATGTTGGCCTCCTGAGGGGGCAAAGATGGCCCCAAGAAGCGCCCAGGAGGCCCCCAACGGCCCCAAGATGGCCCCAAGAGGCCCCAAGAGGCCCCCAGGAGGCCCCAAAGAGGATCCCGAACGGCCCACAGAGGCCCCCCCGAGGCACCCAAGACGCCGAAAAGCCCCTCAGGACGACCCTCTACTCGCCTGGGCGTCGTTTCTGGACGGGCTGGTGGGGATACGCGAAGCGTCTAGAATTGCCCTGGACCTACACCCCGCGTACCCAGATTTTGAGCGCGAGCTCCAGGTCGATTTTAAATACGCCAGGGCCTATTGTGTTTTTGCGATGAATTTGCTTCCCCGATTTCAGTCCCTGCGTGAATTCGGCGAGGTGGAATATATTCAGCCGCCTAGGTCTCAGCGTGTTCCTGGCCTTGAGCATAAGTGGCTCCATCTCGGGACCTTCTGGCGTTGTTCCTGCTGCCTGAAGGTCGTCCGCCGTAAGTGGCCGTGTAAACCTCTTCCCAGTGTTTGTCCTGGTCCCAGAGAGCTGCCCATCGCCGACATTGCTGAACATGGCCATCGCTGCATCGCACTGGACTGCAGCGATCAAGCCATTATCCTTATCTGTATGTCCTGTACGTGCTATTCATCCCACGGGCGTTTTAAAGGCCTGTTGGGAAACTGCGCCACCTAACTCACGAAGTTTGGGAAGAGAAGTTGGTCGGCTGTTTCTCGAGGTTTGCATCCGAAGCGTGCGTCTATCCGTGTCGAATGCCCGTTACATTTTTTGACCTGGCCCAAGGACACCGAGCCCGCCCTCGTCGAAGTGCCGCCTCCCTGTCGGACTCGGAGGAGGAAGAGAGGAGGCGCGAGCTCGGTAGGTCGCTGGTCAAAACGGCTACCCGGCTTGACGCCGACTCTGGCTCCTCGGACTGACGTCCTAGGAGTGCCCAGAGGCATGTATTTTCGTTTCGGCCCACCTGGGGGGAGAGGCTTGCCACCGTCCTGGCGCTCCCTGCACCAGGGGTAGGCGAGCTCATTTCCCACCCTCGTGAGGTATCAGGTTTGTTTGCGTTCTTTGTACTGTGCAATGGCAGGGTCAGGCGCGGGGGGTTAAAGGCACCCCGACCGCTGCCTTTCCCTCCTCAGACCCGCCTGCCTGTAGTCTTTGTCCCTTGCAGTGGGGCGGAAGGCGGCGGGTCCTTGATCGCTCTGCCCAGTTGGTCTTTGGCCGCATCTGGAGGGCGCGCCAAGGGGGCACTGGCTCGGGGGTTGAGTCGGGCCCACACCAGGGGCAAACCAGGGGCCGTCCAGGCGTCCGCCCGCCAGGGTTAGGCACACCTGGGGTTTCCTGGCTGTCGTCCTGGCGTCGCCCTGTTTTGGAGTGCGCGACTTCATCTTGGAATGTTATGTCTTGCCCGTGGCAGTTAAGTTGAAGCTGGGAGGGGGGAGACGGCCATCCCCCGCGTCCTCGCACTTGCCCAGTGCTTGCAGTGATGCAATTTCTCGTGCGGGCAGCACGAGTATGTGTGGTCGTTCTCTTGCTAGGGGCGCACGGCCCGATGCGACTGACCCTCTGGGCAGGCATCCGTGTGCATACCCCACATCTGGGGCGAGGCCTGCCACCGTCCTGGCGGTCCCTGCACCTGGGGTGGCAAGCCTCGTCGTCCTTGTGTGGGTGGTCGTCTTCTTTCCCAACTTCTTGATGGCAGTCCTGCCACCGTGCGCACTGGCGCCCCCTCCCACTCTCCCCCATGCAGCAAGGCCTGTTTGGTGTGGGCGGGGTTCGGAGGCGCGGTCTCCCGCGTCTCCCCGACCTCCTGCTTCCCAAAGCGTTGCAGGTTCGGTCCAAGGGCAGAGGGGTGTCGTCTCCAGCCCTCTGTTTTCAAACTGATGAGGTTGAAACGAAAAATCCTCAAGAATCTTTACAAATCCCAAATACTCCGCATACATTTGTAATAATTCCTTGGAATGCCCAGAATTCTCCACGAACCCAAACGGATCCCCAGGAATCCGTTTCGGTTTGAAGAACTTCCAAGGCGGCCCCCATGGCCCCCAAAACTGCCTCAAGACAGCCCCCGAGGCCATGAAGCATGGCCTACAAGGCCTCCAGGACGGGCCTCGCCTAAACGATGGGCCCCATACCCCCCAAAAAAGGAGGCCCCAGAAGAGGCCCCAAGGAGACCCCAAGTCTTGGGAAGGCCTCCGCCTGGTCCACGACCTAAGCAGGCGGGGCGGGAAGGACCGACGGCCACGAGACGACTGCCGCCAGACCACGCCGCCCAGGACTGGCCATCGCTCGGACGTCCATTCCCTGTGCTTTGTTCGGCTTCGTGCGCGGTTGCTTCGCAGGATGATCCAGGATACCCCCTGAAGAATCCCCGCCGAGACAAGTGCGCACGTCCGAGCGATACCAAGAGGAAGGAGGCCCTGGAACCTGCCGACGGGAGCCAAACACCCCTCGGCGCGCGGGCCCCAGGCCAGGGTGACCGCACGGCGAGGCACGGAGACTGGCGCGCCCAGGGAGGCAGCTGTGAGCCGTGGCGGCAGGACGCACAGCACACGCGGGCAGAACGGCAGCCGCGGCCAGCACGCGCGCCATTCCTTGGAGTCGCTTGGACGTTCACTTCCCGTGCATCTTTCGGCTCCGTGCGTGTCTTTTTGGGCTCGATGGTCCAGGACGGTCCTCGATGGTCCTCGCCGAGAAAAAATGCACACGCCCGAGCGATGTCAGGATCGCTGCACGTGCGCGGCCTGCCTGCGGGGCGAGTCCGACGGGCAGCGCGGGGAACTTTCTATGTTCAAGCCGTCTCCGCCGCAGCGCGGCGGAGGCCGTCCGCACGCGCGTCCGAGCGACGCCGGGACACGAGGATGCACGAGCTGGCCCGCATTGCGGGAGGGGAGGAGGAGGGAAGGGGGAGGAGGGGAGGAGGGAGGAGGAGGGGAGGAGGGGAGGAGGAGGGAGGGAGGGGAGGGAGGAGGAGGAGGAGGGAGGAGGAGGAGGAGGAGGAGGAGGGAGGAGGAGGAGGAGGAGGAGGAGGAGGAGGAGGAGGAGGAGGAGGAGGGGAGGACGAGGGGAGGCGCAGGAGGAGGGGAGGAGGGAGAAGGGGGCGGCCGCGGAGAGGCCGAGCGCGGGGCGCCCGCGCGCGCCGCGGGGCTACGGCAGGGAAGGCGGTGTCAAGCCATGCCGCGGAGGAAGGCGAGAAGGCAGAAGTGTGCTCACCTCGGAGGGCGCCCGCAGGATCCAGGCCGACGGGCGGAGAGGCGAGCGCGGGGCGCCCGCGCGCCGCGGGGCTACTGCAGGGAAGGCGGTTTCAAGCCATGCCGCGGAGGAAGGCGAGAGGGCAGAAGTGTGCTCACCTCGGAGGGCGCCCGCAGGATCCAGGCCGACGGGACACCGCAAAACGGCAGCCGATACCATCAGTGTCACGCGCGGCCACTGGCTCGCGCCGTTCGACAACCTTCGCTGGATCCGTCTTCTTCTTCTTCTTCTTCTTCTTCTTCTTCTTCCTCTCCTCCTGCTCCTTCTCTTCTTCTTCTTCTTCTTCTGATTCTCCTCCTGATCCTTCTCCTTCTTCTTCCTCATCCTCTGCCCTCGACATCCAGCGACATGATTACTTTTCGACGTGAGAAATCCCTCGTCGCCGGGAGCGGATGCGCCGACAGGGGCGGGGGAGGGGACGAGAGAAGGCAAGAGCAGGGAGGAGGGAGGAGGAAGGCGAGGAGGGGGGGGGGGAATCAGGAGGAGGACGGGGGCAGTCGAACGTGGGGGAAAGGGGCACCAGAAGGATCCCTCGTCGCAGGGAGCGGATGCGCCGACCGGGGCGGGAGAAAAGGGAAAACGGGGCGAGAGAATGCAGAAGCAGGGAGGGGAGAGGAGGAAGACGAGGAGCGGGGGAGGAACCAGGAGGAGAATAGGGGAGCCAGGAGGAGGGACGGGGCGAAGCAGGAGGAAGAGACGGCGCAGACCACGGGCTCCAGGCGCCGAACTGGCAGTCGGTGGGCGTGCACTGGCCCTCGCAGGCGGTGAAAGGGCAGGGCTTCACGTCGATCTGGTTGCCGTTGCCTGAGCGCTCCCCGCAGCATGGGGTGGGCACGCGGCGGAGCACGACCGAGGGGGGTGGGGGGGACGAAGCGGATGGGGGGGAGGACCAGAGGGGGAAAGAGGGGGGAAGGGGACGCGAGTTGGGAGCCGAGGCGGAGGACGAGCCGGATGAGGAGGAAGGAGGCGCAGGAGCCCAGAAGGCTGCAGGAGGCGAGGACGACGGTAGGGACCACGGTAAAACCACAGATGCAGCAACGATGCTGTAGCATACCCTACGGGCCCATGTCCGCCCCCCTGGACGTCCCCACGCTACTGAGAGGTGCCCTCCCTTTCAAAGACCAGCACCACGAGGGCCTCTCAGTCGGGCGAGAGCCCCGTTTGGAGAAAGGAGCTGCCTCTTGCATGCTTCCACCGGGTAGCAAGGGAATGCGGAAGGGTGTGGCCATACAGTTCAAGAGAGGAGGCACTCGAAATCCCCGCTGTTGGAAGCAGGACCGCCCCCTCCCCCTCTGTGGAACTGCTGCACAAGTTTACACTTGTGGCCCTGAGTTTTCAATGTTTTTTTGTTTTGAGGCAGCCGTCCGTCCGTGCAGCTGTTGCAGGTGTTCGAGTTCTGGTCCCAAACGTCAAAGAGGCCTCGAGCGACAGCTTCATTCTGGAAAGGCACCGCCCTTCCACCCCTGTGACTGTTGCACGTGTTTGGAAACGAATGCACAACGCGCTAAGGCGAGAGCTGAATTTTGGAAGCACTCAACCTTCCATGTGTGTAAGTGCTGCAAGCTTCTAAGACGAATGCGCGCGGCGCTCACAAGAGCTCTATCTTGAAACGGCCTCCACCCCATCATGGGGACTGTTGCAAGCTTGTAAGACGAATGCTCGCGGAACTCAGGCTAGAGCTCCATCTCGAAGACGGATCGCCCTCAACCTTTCGAACTGTTGAAAATTTCGTGCTTCAAGATCAAAGGCTGTGAAGAACTCTCAGGCGAAACGCCCAGCACGCTCTTCCGACACGTTTGGTGGCCAGACGAGGATTTGAACTATCTATGAAGTAAAGGAGATGCAGGGGAGCAAAGATAGAACATCCGGAACGACCTTTTCGAGTCGCGGGAAGCCTGGGTAAACAACCGCAGAGAGAGGAGCAGCGGCAACCAGGCGAGCGCCAGGGGCGAACGCTGAGCACCACTGGCCAAGGCAGGCCCGCCACGCTCGGAGGGGGGGCATCGTTGTCGACGGCGGGGGCGCCCCGCAGCCTTGGGGCTGCCGATCGCCAAGCCAAGGGCGGGAGCCACAAACTGCCAAGGGCAAAGGGCAGGGGTGGGGGGAGAGGGGCGGCGGAGGGGCTCATGGGGAGAGGGGGATGCGGGGCGGGAGACGGAGAGACTGAAGTGGGCGGGCGCCCCAACCTCCTCCTCACTATTCCTTCTCCTCCTCCTCCTCAACTTTCTCCCTCCCTCCCCTTTCCTTCCCCTCCTCCCCCATACTCGCCCTCCTCCTCTCGGGCGTTGGCAAGACTGGGTTTAGTGGGACCTCGTTAAAATTACAGTGTACCTTCGGACGCCCCCCCGCCCCATTCCACTAACCAGAGTTGCTGCCACCCGAAGAGACACCAGCTACGGCAGTCCTGGTCTGGTGATTCCAGTTCATCTTTTGGGCGTCGGGACCCACTCACTTACTGGCTCCCCTTACCCGGGGCCCTGGCGACGTATATCCGATCCTCCACTGGCTCTGGCGACCAGGACGACCAAGACGACGGTGTCGACGACAGGGCCAGCGACAACGACAGCAGCAGCGGTGGCGGCCGAGCGCGGCGCAGGGGCTGCTCTGGTCGGCGACGAAGAGGTACTCGCCGTCCTTCGAGGCCGCGCGGGACGCTCCGCCGCCCCGATACGCAACACGCAAATCCGTAGCGTACCGACGCGTAGCTCACGACCATCATCATGAGCATGAGCATGGTCATGATCATCAGCATCATCCTCAACATCATCCTCATCAACATCAGCAGCAGCAGCACCATCAACATCATCACCATCACCATCATCATCATCATCATCACCAGCATCATCACCATCATCATCATCATCATCAACAGCAGCATCATCAGAGCATCATCGCAAACAGCAGCAACGCCGTCGTCATCGTCGACTGAGCACGTGGGTCCGGCGCGGTGCTCTCGCCAACACGCGGGCCGACACGTGCCGAGCCAGCACGCAGCACATCAACACGGACGTTTGGAACACGGCACGTGCTGCGCTTCGGCACGGGCGCATCGGGGGAACGAGGGCGAGGAGCGAGGAAAGAAGGGAACGAGGAAGGGAGGGGAAGAACGGAACGGGGAAGGGGAGGGCGAGGGAGGAGGGGCAGCAGCAGGGCGAGGAGCGAGGAAGAGGAGGGCGAGGCGCGTGGGCTCAAGGAGGAGGGGCGGCAGGAGAGCAGGGAAGGTCGAGAAGGAGGTTGAGGAGGGCGGGCAGCTGCCATAGCGTTCGCTCCCGCGGCTCGCGGAGGAAAAGGGCGAGGATGGTGGGTTCGAGGAGGGGGCCCTCGCACAGATTCGGACAGGGATTCGACGTCGCCTTCGCGACTCGAGCGCCTCGGCATCAGCAGCCTGCTGGCTGGCTGCCTGCGCAGTCTGAGTGGGGGGGGCTTGAACACCACAGGGCTGTTCTTTCCAGCCTTGGGATGCCTCCCCTCCTGGAGGCTCGAGGAGGGAGAAGGTGGAGGAGGTCGAGGAGGGCGAAGTCGGGGAGGGCGGTCGGCGGGGCCGAGGAGGTCGGGGAGGTCGAGGATGACGAGAAGAAGACAACGGTAGCTCACACCGATAACCACAAGAAAGAGAAAGACACCCTAAATCCCCGACGGTTGCGGATCCGCGTAAGAAGGCGGCGGGGTCGCATGCACTCTGCGAGGATCTGTAGAAGCCAGCCGCAGGTGCTGACTTCCTACGCATTGCACGACGGGCCCGCCCCGCCGCAGGCGCCGAATCTTCGTCAAAACTCCGTGGCAGGTTTGCGGGTGGGTCACGGGTGGGTCGCCAGTGGGTCGCGGGCGGGTCGCGAGCGGATCGCGGCTGGGTAGCAGGTGGGTCGCGGGCGGGTGGTGGGCGGATCGTGGGTCGCGGGCGGGCCGAGGGCGAGGTCCACGACAACAAACGACAATCAACACAAAATTATCAACAACAGCCATCCTGAACGCGGAAGCCTGCGTCAGGCATGCACCCAGGGATGGTATAAACCTGGTCGACTCCCCTCGCCCTGATGAGAATGGCACTGAGGAAGAGAGCAAGAGGAAGGAGGGAGGGAAGGGGGAGAAGGAGGAGGAGGAGGAGGAGGAGAAGGGAGAGGGAGGAGGAGGAGGAGGAGGAAGAGGAGGAGGAGGAGGAGGAGGAGGAGGAGGCGGAGGCGGAGGCGGAGGCGGAGGCGGAGGTGGAGAGAGGTGGATGGAGAGATCAAAAGAGTAGGGTGGGAGGAGGGAGGGGGAAGAAGTGAGACGGAGAAGGACGATAGATGTACCATGAGACGTCTCGACGTATTCTTCTCACGGCCTCACGTCATCAATGGCCCCGGATGCAGGGGGGTGATGGGAGGGGAAGGCTGGGGGAGGGGGAGGGAAGGGGGGGGAGAAAGGAGGGGGAAGGGGGAGGCGAGTGGAGACGGGCACAACGGCACATCACACAACGACACCCGATCTACCGCAGAGCGTACCCAAATGGAAACCCGTAAGGCACACGACAATGACCTGGGAAATAGGCAGGTCTCATCTTATGATTATGCGCGGGAGCGCGTGGACCATGAAAAGGGCAGTATGATAGCGATAAGGAGCAGGTCGCCATTGAACAACAATCTGCGACATACCTGCTCAGGAGAAGGGGCCAGTATATCCTTCTCGCTGTTGGACAGCGTCAAGGTGCGCTGGCGCATTTTCGTGGAGGACCCGCACGTTGCAGAGCAGTCGCCCATGCCACTCCATTCGGACCAGGCGCAGAACAGCCTGGCGAGGCGCGCGTTACAGCCAGGGCAGCAACTCCCCTCGTCCTCATCATCCTCGTCCTCCGCATCTTTCTCCTCTTGCGTTCTTCCTCTTTCTCGTCGTTCTCCCACCTTCACCCTGCTCGCTTCTCCACCCAGCTCAACCTCCTCACCCTTCCTCCATCCTTTTTCATCAATCCTCACTCTTTCCGTCTCCCTCCTCCCGCCTCCTCGTTTCCCCTATCCGCATGGACTTTTAAATGCCCATTGAATAATACCGTCGCGCGGAGGCCGGCAGTGGGGGAACAAAACTGTACGTCTCAGAAGTAGAAGGGCCAAGAGGTTCTTAAAGGCCTGGACCCCTCGTTTCCCAGCTGCTCTTGGGAGTTCCTGGGAGCTCCTGGCAGCTGCTCAGCCGGCCTTGGACGACCTTTCGAGCCCTCGAGATCTTTTCCAGAACCGCCTCAGATGGCTACACAGATCCCCGGAGCGGTCCAACACAGCTTCCAAACGACCCTCAGGAAAACAATGTTGTTCCGCATCGTCGCTGTTCGCGCTTTCACGGCGGCCCAAAACACCTAGGAGACGCCCGAGATCGCCCCACGAGGCGCCGAAGATCGTCCCACGACGGCTCCAGAGGCTCTCACGGGAGCTCCACAACGGCCGAAGGGGGGCCCCGAGAGCTCAAGAGGCCCGGCCCCCAGGGCGGCCCAAGAGAGCCAAGAGAGCCCAAGACACCCCCGAGAGAGGATCCAGTGGGAAGCACGCCCGGGCATTTCGAGCGTGCGGCCCCACAACGCCCCCTGGGGCCCCCCAAGAAAGCCCCAAGAGGCCCCTCAGAGGCCCCCAGGAAGCCCCAGGGAGGCACCAACGAGACCCCCAAGAGGCCCCCGAGAGGCTTCAAAACTGCCCCCCAGAAGTCCCCGAGAGCCCTCCGAAACTACCCCAAGAAGCATCCATGAGAACTCTCTCCCACGCCCCATGACCCGGGCAAAAGGCCCCCAGGAGACTCAGAAGAAGCCCCACTCTCCTCACCCACGACCCACAACCCAGGCACGGCCAACGAGGTCTCAAAGAGGCTCCCGAGGTGTTTTCAAGAGGCCTCAAAACTGCCCCACAGAAGACCCCGAAAGCCCTCCAAAACTATCACAACACAAGCAAGATGTCCCAAGAGGCCCAGCAGAAGCCCCATGAGGCCTTCAAACGGCCCCCATGAGGCCCCAATAGCCTTCCGAACTGTCTCCAAGCGGTCCCCCAGAAGGTCCCAGCAGACCCCACGAATCACCTGAGCGAGCTGAAACTCAGAGAACCCGAACGGGCATGTCGAGCGTGCGGTCCCAAAGGCGCCCCGAGGACGGACGCCCCCTGAGGCCCCCAAGAAAGCTCGAAGAGGCCCCAAGAGGCCCCTCAGATGCCCACAGGAAGCCCCAGGAGGCACCACCGAGACCCCCAAGAGGCCCCAAGAGGCTTCGAAACTGCCCCCCAGGGGCCCCCCAGAGGCACCCAAAAGGCTTCAAAAGAACCCTCCGAAGAGACCCCAAGAAGCATCCGTTAGGACTCTGACCCTCAACCCAGGCACGGTGGCGGGATGGGCCGAAAGCCACTAGACCTGGCCTGGCACAGAAACGGAAAGAGCGCTGCAGCAACATATACCGAAAGGACTCACACCACCGTTCGTACCGGGAGCCTTGGCGTTGAGAGCTGGTTACGTCACCCCTCGCTCTTGGGAGCCTTGGGGTTCAGAGATGGTTGCGTTGCCGCCCGTTCCTGAGCCTTGGCTGGGCCTCGGTGGCAGGAACCTGTTACGTCACCGCTCTCTGCTGGGAGCCTTGGTCTTATCAGCTTTTTGACGTCACCGTTCGCTCTTGGAAGCCTTGGTGTGAAGAGCTTTTTGCGTTACCGATCGCTCTGGGCGTCTCTGGGCCTTCGTGGGAGTCCTATTGGGGCCCTTGTCGGGCCCTCCTGGTGGCCTCTTGGGGGCCTCTTGGGGCTTCTTGGGGGGCTCTGGGGGCCTCCTGGGAGCGTCTTGGAGCGAAAGGCTAGACTTTCGGGTTCGTGGTCCCCCTCTTGGGGCCCTCTTGGGCCGTCTTGGGCGCCTCTTGGGCAGTCTGGGGGCCCTCTTGGGCCTCTTGGGAGCCTCTTGGGAGCCTCTTGGGCCGTCTTGGGGCGGCCTTGGGGGCCTCTTGGACCGTCTGCAACCCCGTGGCAGCCGAAAAGCCGTATATGCTAAAAATGTACGCTTTCTCATCGCAAATCTATGATGTTGGCCTCCTGGTGGCCTCTTGGGACGCCTCTTGGGGGCCTCTTGGGCCATCTTGGGGAGCTCTTGGGGCCTCCTGGGAGCGTCTTGGGGCGAAAGGCTTGACGTTTCGGTTCGTGGTCCCACCTGGAAGGCTTGTCCAGAAGTGGTTGCCAACATTTTTCCCGCTCCAGATGGCTCTAAGATGGCCTTCAAGACGGACAAGATGGCCCTCAAGTTCGCCCAAGATGGTCCGAGATAGCCTTCCAGACGGCCCAAGAGCGTCCAAGATGCCTCCACGTTTGCCAAATAAGCCTCCAAGACGGCCCAAGATGGCCTCAAGATGGCAAAAAACTGCCCAAGAGGCCCCCGAGAGGCCTCCAAGACTGCCCAAGAGGCCCCCTCCAGGAAGGCCCGAAGAGGCACAAATCATTGATTGCCCATCAGATATTCTAAAAGATCGTAGCATGTGTTTCCTTTCGGCCTTCCGGCCCCAAGACGGCCCCAAGACGGCCCCAAGGCGGCCCCAAGGCGGCCCAAGAGGCCTCCAAGACGCCCAAGATGGCCTCCAAGACGCCCCTGGAGCACTCCAAGAGGGCCACAACTCGGCCCAGACAGGCCCCCAAGATGACGACTTCCGACGGCGTCAGACGGGCCCGGAACGCCCTAGGATTGTCCAAGAGGCCCCCGAGAAGCCCCCAAAGACCCCCCAAAAGGCTCAAGGATGCCTTCAAGATGCCTCCAAGAGGCTCCCAAGAAGCTCCCAAGAGGTCCCAAGAGAGCCCCCCAGAGGCTCCCAAGAAGCCCCCTCCTCCTCCTCCTCCTCCTCCTGCTCCTCCTCCTCCTCCCCCTATTCCTCCTCCTTCTCCTGATCTTCCCCGCCATCCTGACCCAAGTGTTCCCCGAAGGGTTTCCACAACGGCTGGGGGAGCACATGGTCCGATAGCTTGGCAGAGCTGGTGCCACAACGCTCGGCCACATGGGCGATTCCAAAAGGCAGGGGGCGGCGGTGATTCGCCGTAGGCATCTTCGATGATAATGTCACACGGAGGGCGGCAATGAGGGAACAAAACGGTACTGATGCGGCTACTCCCCAGACCCCTCCCGGGGCGCACTTTGATCAGAATTTCAAGGAGAATGCAGCCGTGGCGACGCGGGACCTCCAGGATGAGAAGCGGCAGCGGCACCTTTCCCTCCTCTGAGGGGAAGCCCGCTTTGGAGCGCTAGCTGATCTGGCGACGCGGGCAACCGGCTCTGCCGACGGCACGGCCGTCCTGCAGCCGTCGGCCCCAGGCACTCCGTGCGGCAGCTGACGTCCACGCGAGGCGGCGGCCGAGGTCGACCGCTCCCACGGCCAGCGGCGGCCCCGGCGGCAAGCTATGCGCTGCAAGCGGGCAACATGCCTCTCCGCTCCGTGGGATGGAAGGCAGGGGCGGGCTCTAGACGATGATCCTTGGGAACGGGGGAGCGGTTCGCGCGTCGCGGCGAAGCGCAGTGGGCCAGCAGAGGCAGCGCGACAGGCCAAGCCAACGTACCCGCCCGGGTGCTCTCGCCAGCACGTCGGCAGTGCCACCTCCAAGCTGGCAGAGAAGCCGCCCAGGGCCTGCACTGCCGCTCCGATCCCCCTCGCCTCGAAACGCGATGTGCTTGCTGCGCTTAGCCTCGGAACGCCGCCCGCGCAGAGCCAGCAGAGGAAGGCTGGCAGACTGGGGCGCAGCTCCAGGAGGAGGCCACGGGGGCACACGCGCTGGCGGGATCCCCGGCCCAGCACCACACGACGCACTGGCTGAACCAGGCCTCCCGGTCAGCAAAGAGCTCTGACCGCATCGTCCATGTCAGCCGTGTCCCTCCGTCCCCTCGGCGCGCACCCCTGCCGCCGCCTCCTCCTGACAAACCGTCTTGCGCCCTGCGCCCTCAACGGAGCCCTCCCGGTCAGCAGGCGGGCTCTGTCCGTGCCAGCCGCGTCACCAGCATCCTTCCCTCTCCTCGGTGCGCACCCCTGCCGCCGCCTCCTCCTGGTCTTGCGCTCGACGCGGGGCCGCTCGCCAGCCGAGCCTCCGGTGCGGTCTGCCGGACGAGCAGCGGGTCGCCGCGGGGCCCTGGGTCTGCAAGAGTGGCGTAACGATCCCGCGCTTCCGCGCGAGCCCAAGCAAGTTCGACGAAGGGGTCGCACCGCCCTCCTCGAGCCGCACAGTGTCGTCAAATCACCCTCTTCGCGAATCTGCGTGTCCGCCTCGCGGCCACTTGTAGTACTGCTACTCGAAGACAAATCTGATGTAAGCAGCCGTTCTCCGTCTCCTTGCAGTGATTCCAATTCGGATCCACCAACTCCAGCTCGTCAGGTTGCGCGTTAGAAGTATGCCCTGTAATCGTCTCAGCAACAAGGTCCTCAAAGTATGTCCCAGATGCGGCCGCTGCAACGTCTATCTGCCACCTCCTCTTCCTTCTCCCCCTCCTCCTCCTCCCCCTCCTCCTCCTCCTCCTCCTTCTCCTCCTCCTCCTCCTCCTCCTTGTCATCCTCCTCCTCCTCCTCCTCCTCCTCCTCCTCCTCCTCCTTCGTCTCATCCCGCCTCATCCTAGCATGATCAGCAGAGAACAGCCAAACATGATCTCCAGAGTCTTCCAGCATGACCGACTGATGTCGGGGGAGCATTGGGCCAAACATGGCCGAGCAGCCAACTCTCCTCCTGCCTCACCAGTCCCTCGTGCTCCTCCTCCTCCTCCTCATCCGCCTCTTCGTGCTCCTCGTCCTCGTCCTACTCCTCGTCCTCGTCCTCCTCCTCCTCCTCCTCCTCCTCCTCCTCATCCGCCTCTTCGTGCTCCTCGTCCTCGTCCTACTCCTCGTCCTCGTCCTCCTCCTCCTCCTCGCCGTCCTTCTCCTCCTCATCATCCTTCTCCTCCTTCGCCTACTCTTCCTCCTCCTCCTCCTCCTTCTCCTCCTCCTCCTCCTCCTCCTTCTTCTCCTCCTCCCCCCGAACTCGGCTGCGAGGTCAACCAGGCAACGGCGCGGACACGCGCCGCGCTCGCGCGCCTGTCGCCGCAGTTTGCGTCGCACGCCTCCGTCTCGCGCGCCGAGCCCTCCTGCACGGGGAGGCCCCCGGTGCGGCCACCAGCTCCCGACCGTCCCCCCCTCCCCTCCCCTCCATACCTCCTGCTCCTCATCCCTCCTCGCTCTCCTCCTCCTCCTCCTCCTCCTCTCCTCCTCCTCCTCCTCCTCCTCCTCGCGAATTCTCCTCCTCCCCTCGCTCCTCGCTCTCCTCCTCCCCTTCCCCCTTCCTCATACCCTTCGCCTCTTATCTCCTCCATGATTTGTGTGTCTCTCTCTCTCTCTCTCTCTGCTGTTGTTTTGTGTGTGTGCGTCTCTGTCTCGTTATCCCCATCTCCCTCTCCCACACCCACACCCAAAACGTAGCGCTTCCTGCCACCAGGCAAATCCCCCGTCCCACCAAGGAGCGGGCAACAAGGGTCCTAGTACCACCCGCCAGGGTGTAGGCGCCCGAGTGACACCAATGCAGCAGCACAGTCCGCCTGGAACAAACTCCAACGGGTCTTCCGCACGCCTGTTCTCACTGGGACCACTCTCCAGGCAAATCTCCAGGCGCGACTTGCTGCTCACCGCTAGCGCACCAGTGCTAGCCTCCTCCATGCTTCGTTTCGACCGCGCTGCGAGAGCACCTGGCAAAATGTCCCGCATACGTGGCACTGGGCTGCCGAGGGGGGGGGGGGCAAGGCGGAGCCTTCCCCCAGGGTATCGGAGTGCGCATGCCAACGCGCGCTAAAGCCGATGCCTCCCTTCAGCACGGACGCGCAGAGGGGGCGTTCTACGCCCTCATCGCCACGCCGTTCCTCTGTTTCCCAACCATGCTGTGGTTTGGGGTCCTCGGTTTGAAGAAACAGCGCCCCACGTCTCCTCTTCTTCATCCTCCTCCTCCTCCTCCTCGTCTTCATCATCCTCCCCTTCCTTCCTCCCCCCTCCTCCTCGCCTCCTCCTCCTCCTCATCCTCCTCCTCCTCCTCCTCCTCCTCCTCCCTCCCTCCCTCCCTCCCTCCCTTCCTTCCCCCTCCCTCCACCATCATCTCATCACCCCATCATGCCATCATATTCATCATCAGCAGCATCAGCATCAGCATCAGCATCATTATCATTATCATCATCAACACCAGCATCATCATCATCATCATCATCAGCATCATCATCATCAGCAGCAGCAGCAGCATCAACATCACCATCAACATCATCCGCAGCATCTTCATCAGCATCATCAGCATCATCATCAGCAAGCTCCTCATCCTCATCATCACCCTCATCCTCCTCATCATCAGCATCATCATGAGCATCGGCATCAGCATCAACATCAGCACCATCATCATCATCCTCATCCTCATCCTCATCCTCATCCTCATCCTCATCCTCATCCTCATCCTCATCCTCCTCATCATCATCATCATCATCATCATCACCATCACCAACACCATCATCATCATCAGCATCATCATCATCAGCATCATTCCTCCCCCCATCAATTTCGGCACACCCCTCACACGGTTCATGGCCTCATAGGGAGCTCCGCCGAAGGCCAATGGCAAGGTTCGCATGGCGCCACCGCGCCTGTGTTGGCACACTCCTCACACGTTTCGTGGCCCCATAGGGAGCTCCGCCGAAGGTCCTAGCGGCAGGGTTCGCATGGCACCACCGCACCCATGTCGGCAAACCCCTTGCACGCTTCGTGGCCCCATCGGGAGCTCCGCCGAAGGCCCTCGTGGCAGGGTTCGCATGCCGCCACCGCACCCATTTCGGCACACCCACAGGGAGCTCCACCCAAGGCCCCAATGGCAGGGTTCGCATGGCACCGAAGCCGAATTTCGGCACCCGCATGGCACACCCGCATGGCACACCGAAGCCTAATTTCGCAGGGTTCGCATGGCACACCCCTCACCCGCCTGGCGGCCCCGCTCCATCTCGGCACACCCTCCACGCGCTTCGTGGCCCCATGGGGAGATCCACCGAAGGCGAAATTCACGAGGACGGTACTCACAACTGCATACGGTTGGGCCCTTCGCCAGGATACTTTTTCCAGTTGGGACTCCCCTTCTTGACCGCACCCAGGGGCAAGATCTTGGGCCCCCCCCGTCAAAAACCTGCGGCCCCACCGCGCCAACGGGGCGCGGGCAGAGGGAACTCGTGGCCTGCGCCCGTGGACCAGGCCTGGTCCGAAGTGCTGCGCTCTCTCTCTCTCTCTCTCTCTCTCTCTCTCCCTCCTGCTCTCCCTCCTGCTCTCCCTCCCCTCCCCTCCCTCTCTCTCCTGCTCTCTCCCTCCCCTCCCTCTCTCTCCCTCTCCCCCTCCTGCTCTCTCTCTCTCTCTCCTTCTCTCTCTCTATCTCTCTCTCTCTCTCTCTCTCTCTCTCCCTCTCTCTGTCTCTCTCTCCCTCTCCCTCCTGCTCTCCCTCCCCTCCCCTGCCCTCCCCTCCACTCCCGCCGCCGCGACCCCGACATCCGTCCAGGCACGGGGGCGAGGCGCGTATTGGCGGCGAGCCGGGTGAGAAGGGGCGGCACCCGGCCTTCTGAAGAGTGCGTTCGAGCGTCCCCGAAGACACAGAGAACTTCTCAAAGGCCGAAGGGCTTCTCAGAAGGCCTGCTCCTTCTCACTTCCCCCCTCGCTCGCCGCCGAGTGTAAGGATGTCAGTTCCGGGATATAAACTACTCGACGCGGAGATCCCCATAGGTGTACCTATTTGCCTGGGCCTTTTCCGCTGCCAGCGCCTGGGTACGAGAGAGTCTGGGTATGCGTTCGTCTGAGTAGCAGAGACTGAGAGCGGGTGAATATGAGTATGGGTGAGTCTGTGTGTGAGCGAGTCCGAGTGTGAGTGATTCTATGTGTATGAGTGCGAGCTTGGCGAAGCTTAGGGTAAGCGCATCTGAGTGTGAATGGTCTGAATGTTAGAATGTAGGTCTGAGTGCGTGTGAGTGGTCTGAGCGTGAGTGGTCTGAATGTGATTGTGAGTTTGAGTGGTCTGGCTGCATCTGGATGTGAGCGGTCTGACTGTGAGTGTGAGTCTGAGTCAGAGTGAGTCTGAGTGTGAGCTTCGGCTCAGCATATCTGAGACTGACAGAGTCTGAAGTTTGAGAAAATCAAAGTGCGAGTCTGAGCGTGAGCGAGTCTGGAAATGAACGACCTGAGACGGAGCTGACAGGAGGAATGAAAAACACACGGTTTCAGCTCACGGGCGATAGGGTCCCACGCAAAACAAAACACACACACACAGGATTCGAGCCCAAAGAGGAGGGCAATATATGAGACCACGCGCAAAACATACAGGGCGTGCTAAGATCTCCGGTAACTGGTTAACAGTATTTCTAGTTCGCGCGCGCGGGGCGGCCCCTGGGGGTCCCCGGACGAAAAGTACCCCGGCCCCGGCAAGGTCCCGGCAAGGTCGGGTCAGAGATGCCGGAGTTCTGTTACAGGGCCCCAGGACGGGCCAAGAGGTCCCCAAGAAGCCTCCAAGACGGTCCAAGAGGGCCCCGAGACGGCCAAAGATCGCCCGAAGACGCCCAACAGGGCCCCAAGACAGCCCAAGAGGCCTCCAAGACGCCCCAAGGGCCTTCCAAGAGGCCTCCGAAGAGGGCCCCAAGAGGCCAAAATCGTTGACTTTCATTGTCTTTTTTGATGTTTTTTGCGTTCTGGATTTTTCGGCTTCCGGACGCTCCAAGACGGCCCAAGAGGCCCCCAAGACCGCTCCAAGACGGCCCACGAGGCTCCCAAGACGGCCCCGGAACGGCCCAGGAGGGCCCCCAAGACGGCCCAAGTGCCGCCCAAGACGGACCAAGAGGCCCCAAGACGGGCCCAAGAGGGGCTCAAGAGGGGAACCGAGAACTGAAAAATCGAGCCCTCCGCCCCAGAAGGCGCCCAGGAGGCCCCAAAAAGGCCCCAAAGGGCCCCCAAGAGGCCCCCAAGACGCCCCAAGAGGCGCCCAAGAGGCCCAAAAGAGGTCCCAAGAGGCCCCAAAACAGCCCCCAAGAGGCTCCCAAACTCGGCTAGCCCACAACGGTGCGACAATATGGGCCGGTGGAATGAGCGAAGCGATTAAATATATGAGACCACGCGCAAAACATATAGGATTTAAGCCCCACGAGAAGGGCAACCAATAGGAACATCAATCAAACAAACCAGATTCAAGTCTCAGGAGAGGGGCAATTCACAGGGACATGCGTAAGACACCGAAGACTCGAACCTCAAGAGACGGGAACTACACGGGAACATACGTAAAGCACAAAAAGGATTCGAGCCCCGGGAGAGAGGGGCACTCCTAAAGCCTCCTGGCGCTTCCTGCAGCCTCATGTGGCCTCCTAGGGCCTCCTGGGCACCCTCTGGAGTCCCCTGGGGCTTCCTGCGACCTCCTGGAGTTTCCTGGAGCCTCCTGGGACATCCTGCGGCCTCCTGGGGAGTCCTGGGGCTTTCTAGGGCCTCCTGATGCCTCCTGGGGCGTCCTGGCGCCTCAACCGAAAACGCGCAAACCGCCTGAGACATCCTCGCAGCCTGGGGCCCTTGGGGTGCGATAGCCAGCGCTTCCCAACGCACTGCTACGAAAGCAAAGGATGTTGGGCTTGCAAACAGGCAAACCGCCTCAACCATCCCCACAATCTAGGCGCGAGCGGCCCCTTGCAACACCCCCTCTGCCGCCCCTGCTGGGACTGCTGAAACCAGCACCTCGCTTGAGACATCCCCACAACCTGCTTCGAAAAGAAAAGATACTGGGCACGCAAACAAGAACACCGCATGACACATCTCCACACTCTGAGTGCGAAGGAGCCCGTGCAATACCCCCCCCGCCCCCCCTCCCTGGGAGATCTGAAACCAGCGCCTCGCTTGAGACATCCCCACGCGCTGCTACGAAAGCAGAACACGCTTGGGACGCAAACCAGAAAACCGCATTAGGCATCCCACCATTCTGGGCGCGAACGGGACCGTGTCATACCCCCCTGCCCCCCCCCCCCTGCTTGAGACATCCTCACAATCTGCTCCGAAAGCAGAGCATGTTTGGAACGCAAATCTGCAAACCGCCTGAGACCTCCCAACAATCTGGGCGCGAACGGGCCCACGCCATACCCCCTGCCGCACACCCTTGAGGCATCCTCACATGTTGTGTGTGCGTATGACTCTGAACATGGGTGAGTCGGATGAGGAACTGATGTGATTGAGTCTGAGTGAGGAAGAACATATGCATATGAGTGAATATGAGCGGTGGGCAAGCCTCAGCGTAAATCATCTGAGTACAGGCGCAGCTAAATGTGATTACGAATCTGAATGTGAATGAATATGAATGGTGAGCGAGTCTAAATGATACGAATTCAATGAACAAGTCGTGCGAATGCAGAAGCGGCGGAGGAAGAGGAGACGGGCGTCTCGTGTGCTCGGCGCAGTCCGAACAAACACTCACTGCGTGGAGCTCCACATATGTGTCTGACGCGAGTGCCTAAGCGCCAGAACATTTGAATCAAAGCGGGTTTGACCATTGACAGACTGAAGGTGTCTAACTGTGAATAAGTTTGAGTGCGAGTGAGCCTCTGCAGTGCGAACGAACGTTTTCGCATGGGTCTAAGTATGGCCAGTGGACTAAGACAACCACCTGCGACATCCTCACATTCTGGGCCCCCTGGGGTGCCGAAGCCAACGCCTCGCCTGAGAGAGACATCCTCAGACCCTGCGTTGAAAACGGACGAAGTTGGCAACTAAAACATGGAGACCGCCAGAGACATCCTCGAACTCTGGCCCCCCCCGTGGTGCGAAAACCGCCGCCTCGCCCGAAGCATCCTCAAACCCTGCTCCCACAACGGATGATGTTGAAGGTGCACGCAGGCAAACCGTTAAAGACATCCCCCTGCAATCTGGGTGCGAACGGGCCCGGGCAGCAGCCCCCTGACGACCACCGGCGGGCGTGCCGAAACCAGCGCCTCGCCCGAAAAGCTCTCAACGTCTGCGCCGATAGCCGAGAGCGGGGGATGATGAGGGCGCAGCCAAGCAACCCCGCTCGGGACATCCCCCGTCATCCGGGCGCGAGCGGGCTCGTGAGGCAACTCCCTGGCATCCCCACCCGCCCCCCCGTTGGGGGTGCGAGCACCAGCGCCTGGCCCGAGACCTCCTGGGCACCTGCTCCGGAAGCATGAGGTGTTGAGGCGGAACGCACGCACACACACAGAGAGAACGCTCGAGGCATCCCCGAAATCTGGGCACCTCGCCAGAGACAACCCCAAACGCTGTTACGATGTAGACCATCATGATGGCCGTCATCAGGTACAGTATTACCAGTATCGCCATCACCATCATCATCCTTGTCATCATTGGTATCACCCTCATCCTCCTTCTCACCCTTACAATCGTCATCCTCATCATCATCAGCCGCCGCATCACCATCCTAACGCTCCTCATCCACATCACCATCCTGATCCCCATCCTCATCATCAATATCATCATCGTCCTCATCGTCATCATCAGCATCATTATCATCCTCGTCACCACCGTCATTACCATCATCACCACCACCAGCATCATCAGCACCATCGTCGTCATCATCGTCGCCATCATCATCATCATCATCATCATCATCATCATCATCATCATCATCATCATCATCATCATCAGCATCTTCATCAGCATCAGCAGCAACAACATCATAATCATCATCATCAGCATCATCATCATCAACACCACCTTCAGCAGCAGCAGCAGCAGCAGCAGCAGTAGTACCATCAACAGCATCATCACCATCCCCGTTGTTTCGTGGGGAAGAGGAAGAGGAGAAGGAGAAGGAGAACGAGGATGAGGAGGAAGAGGAGGAAGGTGATGAGAAGGAGGAGCTGGCGCCGTCGGGGAGGATTTTCATGGTGTAAACAAGGAAAGAGCTCGAGACATCCCCGCAATCTGGGCGCGAACGGGCCCATACAATCCCCCCTGGCGGCTCCGCTTGAGGGTGAGAACACCAACGCCTCGCCCGAGACGATCTCAAGACCTGCTCCGAATGCGGCGGATGTTGAGGCAGGAAGAAACAAAGCAAACCGCCCGAGACATCCCCACAATCTGGACGCGAACGGGCCCGTGCAATATTCACTGGCGACACTCCTCGGGGGTGCTGAAACCAACCACTCGCCCGAGAGAGGAGGAGGACGGAGGAGGGAGGAGTGAAGAGGACGGAGGAGGAGGGAGGAGGGAGGAGGACGGAGGGCGGAAGGGGGAGCGGGGATGGATGGTTAGGAGAAGGAAGAAATGACGGGTGTGAATGGAAGGAGAGGGGGTGGTCGATTGGTGGCTGCATCTATCGCTCCTCGCACGGGCGGCCGCACGAGTTGGGCTGCTTGGCGATGCCGCGGTTCCGGATGCGCTGCCCTGCAGGCGGCGCGAGGCGATCAGGAACCAGAGGGGGTACGTGGAGAGCAGCAGGGTGGAGTACGAACGGGGGAAGGAGGAGGAGTGGACGAGAACAAGGAGGGTGGGGAGTGAGGAGTGAACGGTGAAGAGTCGAGTGAGAGGACGGGGGAGGTAGCAGCGTGAAGAGAGGACACTCAGGCGGCGAAGGTCGACCACCAGACGGTGGAGCAGGAGACAGAGGGGAAGGAACACGAGACGGAGGAACAGGAGGGCGTGGAGGACGCGGGCAGCAGGGGAGAACGCGGGGGAGCAACGGATGGTAACTTTGGACAGAGGGACTGATAGCGTGACGACAGGGGAAGGATGAGCACCACGAGGATGAACAGGAGGACTGGCAGGATAAAGTGTGCAGGACAGAACCAGTACTTTTTACATTACTGTACAGTCGGACTCGATTGGATAGGACATGCGAGAGGACACAAGACCCTTCCGAGGGCCACATTGCCACAGGAATGTAGGAAGCATGGGTCGCGAGACACAGGACACAAGGGTACCCTTGACTTGGCAGGGTCGACTTACTTATCTGGGCCGGCTGTAGACGATGTGCTGCGCGCGGCTCCACCTGGGAATTGATTTTTAATTTTCCTGGCCAGCTCCGTGTGGCCTAGGGCGAGGCCCTTCTCGAGGGCCCTCAAATAAGACACTCCCGTTCGCGTGGGAGGCTGGCATTCTTACAACAGCTTCCCAGTACGCCTGTAGTGGTCTGCCCCCAAACCACCACAAGTCGAGCAAACAAAAATCAGTTCTTTCCGAGAGCCCGCCCCCCACCTCCCGCCACCGCATAGTGTGAGAGACATGCACAGTCAAGCCATCGCGAGTCTGAGCTTCCGTACTCGGGGCCAAAGGTTCACGACGACGGAGGCACAGTAAGGCTCTCGGAGCCATCTAATTATGGCACCCTTGGATCTCTTACAGGGCTCTGAACCGCACGGGCGACAATGCCAACGGCGACGGTCGATAACCTCGGGCCAAGGGAATGCAACGTGTCAGCAAACGCCTGCCTCAGGTCGAGCTTGGGTCGGGAGGTCCCCAGAGCCGAATTCAACTCCGAAACAGGGCGGGACGCTGGCATCTCCGCCAAAGTGGCGACGAGGCGGCGGCGGATATCCTTCGACTCCACCTCCAGCTCACGCAAGGTCTCAACGGCTCCAGGTGGGCCTTGTGCCTCAGGGGACATATTCTCAGCAAGTTTGTCGACCAGACTCTTGGGCGCGAAAAGAGACCTCACCTCGGGTGAGGCACGCTCGAACTATGATTCCTTGGCGTGGCTCTCAATCTTGACAACTTCAATATCCCTATCCAGGGCAAGCCCACTCACCTGCTTCAAGAGGTCATTGCTTCTCTTTGGCTTCCAGCACGCTTTGGCCCGTAGCCCAAAGAGACCTTCTCTGGACAGGTGCACTGTGAGTGAGGTAGGTGAGGCTTCTGCCCTGGGTTGCCCGAGCGGCTTCCTCAAAGGCGAACAGCTCGGAACGGTTGCTGCTTTGCCTGGGACCTGGAACAGCACCTCCAACATTGCTAGACTTTCACCGGTGACACGCAAGAGTGACCCTGGGTAAGAGTGACCTTTGGTGCGCGGACTGAGGGGGCGTAAGGTGGCCAAATCCAAGGGCGCAAGCAACCACTATCGCATCTCGCTCAGCGGTCGGGGGGGCCCCGGTGAGCCTGCACCAAAGGTCACTCCGGCGAAGGGTCACTCTTGTGTGTAGTCGACTTCAGATGGCTCCAGGGTCCCGAGGGTCGGCTCCCCGGTCAACGCTCACAACCGCCCAAGAGGCCCTGAGGAGCAAAGGGTGGCCCGAACAAGGCCCCCGAGCCGCCCCCGCCGGCCAGATCCGCCCCCCCTCGCGCAGCCCACGCGGGAGCGGGTGGGGGGAAACGCCAGGCGGGAGGAGGGGAGAGACGGGTAACGAGGGATCCAGCCCGACGGCGAGGTCGTCGGGCGGCTCGTGGATTGAACTCCAAATCTCAGGAATGGCCCCTCTTAACTAATAGCAAGGGTGCTCCTCCGCCCCCGCTACGGCATGATCGATTTAATTCTGGGTGGGAATGCAAATGGGACATCTTCGCATTCTCAGGGCACGTCCAGCAGCGGTGGAGGTCGGTCTCGGGCTCACGACAACACATCGGGCACAGATTAGACTCGACCTTCAACCCCGCTTGGAACAACCTGTCTCTTGACCGGAAAACAGCAGCGGCAACAATTCACTGGCCTGCAATCTACTTTTTCCCAACCATCCTGTGGTGTTGGGTCCTCGTTTTGAAGAGACGGTGCCCCGCGTCTCCTTCCTCCTTCCTCCTCCTCCGCCTCCCTCCTCCCCCTCTTCCTTGCGTTTCACCCGCCCAGTACAGCGTTTCGTAGCCCCATAGGGAGCTCCGCCGAAGGCCCCAGTGCTGCCGCCCGCATGCGTCCCGCACACCCACTTCGGCACACCCCTCACACGTTTCGTGGCCCCATAGGGAGCCCACCGAAGGCCCCAGTGCTGCCGCCCGCATGCGTCCCGCACACCCAATTCGGCACACCCCTCACACGTTTCGTGGCCCCATACCCACCGAAGGCCCCAGTGCTGCCGCCCGCATGCGTCCCGCACACCCAATTCGGCACACCCTCACACGTTTCGTGGCCCCATAGGGAGCCCCACCGGGAGCCCCACCGAAGGCCCCAGTGCTGCCGCCCGCATGCGTCCCGCACACCCAATTCGGCACACCCCTCACACGTTTCGTGGCCCCATAGGGAGCCCCACCGAAGGCCCCAGTGCTGCCGCCCGCATGCGTCCCGCACACCCAATTCGGCACACCCCTCACACGTTTCGTGGCCCCATAGGGAGCCCCACCGAAGGCCCCAGTGCTGCCGCCCGCATGCGTCCCCACACCCAATTCGGCACACCCCTCACACGTTTCGTGGCCCCATAGAGAGCCCCACCGAAGGCCCCAGTGCTGCCGCCCGCATGCGTCCCGCACACCCAATTCGGCACACCCCTCACACGTTTCGTGGCCCCATAGGGAGCCCCACCGAAGGCCCCAGTGCTGCCGCCCGCATGCGTCCCGCACACCCAATTCGGCACACCCCTCACACGTTTCGTGGCCCCATAGGGAGCCCCACCGAAGGCCCCAGTGCTGCCGCCCGCATGCGTCATGCGTCGCACACCCAATTCGGCACACCCCTCACACGTTTCGTGGCCCCATAGGGAGCTCCACCGAAGGCCCCAGTGCTGCCGCCCGCATGCGTCCCGCACACCCAATTCGGCACACCCCTCACACGTTTCGTGGCCCCATAGGGAGCCCCACCGAAGGCCCCTGCTGCCGCCCGCATGCGCCCCGCACACCCAATTCGGCACACCCCTCACACGTTTCGTGGCCCCATAGGGAGCTCCACCGAAGGCCCCAGTGCTGCCGCCCGCATGCGTCCCGCACACCCATTCGGCACACCCCTCACACGTTTCGTGGCCCCATAGGGAGCCCCACCGAAGGCCCCAGTGCTGCCGCCCGCATGCGTCCCGCACGCCCAATTCGGCACACCCCTCACACGTTTCGTGGCCCCATAGGGAGCTCCGCCGAAGGCACCAGTGCTGCCGCCCGCATGCGTCCCGCACACCCAATTCGGCACACCCCTCACACGTTTCGTGGCCCCATAGGGAGCTCCACCGAAGGCCCCAGTGCTGCCGCCCGCATGCGTCCCGCACACCCAATTCGGCACACCCCTCACACGTTTCGTGGCCCCATAGGGAGCTCCACCGAAGGCCCCAGTGGCGGCGCTCACATGCGCATGCGTCCCGCACACCCATTTGGGCACATCCCTGACAGGTTTCGTGGCCCCATCCACCGGAGGCCCCAGTGGCGGCGCTCACATGCGTCACCCACACCCACCCAATTCGGCACACCCCTCACACGCTTCGTGGCCCCATAGGGAGCTCCACCGAAGGCTCCAGCGGCCGCGCTCACATGCGCACCCGCCACCCATCCCAGCACGCCCCTCACAACAACAGGTTTCGTGGCCCCATAGGGAGCTCCACCGAAGGCCCCAGTGGCACCGCCTGCATGCGTCACCACCCGCACCCAATTCGGCACACCCCTCACACGTTTCGTGGCCCCATAGAGAGCTGCACCGAAGGCCCCAGTGGCGGCGCTCACATGCGTCCCCGCCACACATCCCAGTACACCCCTCACGCGCTTCGTGGCCCCATAGGGAGCTCCACCGAAGGCCCCAGTAGCGGCGCTTACATGCGTCTCCGCCACCCATCCCGGCCCCCCCCCCGCAGCAGCATCATGTTTCGGGGACCCATAGGGAGCTCCACTGGAGGCCCCAGTGGCGGCCTGCACATGCGTTTCCGCCACCCATGTCGGCACGCCCCGCGCGTGTTTCATGTCCCCATAGGCAGCTTCGCCGAATGCCCCAGTGGCACCCATCGCGGCACACCCCTCACACGTTCCGTAATCCTATGGGGAGTTCCATGGAAGATGAAACCCGCAGCTGCGGTACTGACAACTGCATATGGTTGGGTTCTTCGCCCGGCTAATTCCCAACCGTCCTGTGGTGTTGGGTCCACGTTTTGAAGAGAAGGTGCCCCGCGTCCTCCTCTCCTCTCCTCCTCTTCTCTCCTCCTCCTGTCCTCCTCTCTTCCTCCTCCTCCTCCTCCTCCTCCTCCTCCTCCTCCTCCTCCTCCTCCTCCTCCTCCTCCTTCTTTTCCTCCTCCCACCATGATCATCACCGTCATCACCCATTTCGGCACACCCCTCACACGTTTCGGGGCCCCATGGGGAGCTCCACCGAATGTCAAGGTGTGCCCGCATGCGTCCCGCACACCCATTTCGGCACACCCCTCACACGTTTCGTGGCCCCATAGGGGGCTCTAACGAAGGTCCCAATGGGTGTGCCCGCATGCGTCCCGCACACACATTTCGGCACACCCCTCACACGCTTCGTGGCCCCATAGGGAGCTCCACCGAAGGTCCCCGTG